TATTTCCAGTGATTCTTTACAAAAGATGTAATGTATAAATCTCCTTTCTTTCTTTGTCACTCAGCCATCATGATCTGCAACCGCAAGCTGGAGAGTCTTTGCAACATTCACGAGAACATCAGAGTGAAGAGTGGAGCCTGGGACGAGAGCGGGGTCTTCATCTACACCACCTCCAACCACATCAAATACGCCCTCACCTCCGGGTAAGCGCCGCTTAGTACAGCAGAAGACAAGTCGGTTGAACGGGCTCCAGCGACGACTTCCAACACCCACCTGTAGGTTTTGCAGTGAACGCCTCTAACGTGGCGCTCTCGCTGTGTTTCCCTGTAGTGATCACGGCATCATCAGGACGCTGGACCTGCCCATCTACGTGACCCGCGTGAGGGGGAACAGCGTTTACTGCCTGGACAGGGAGTGCAGGCCGCGCGTCCTCACCATCGACCCCACAGAGTACCGCTTCAAACTGGCCCTGGTCAACCGCAAATATGATGAGGTGAGTCAAGTATCGGAGCCTACGGCGCCCGCTTCTTTGCAGTATCGTACTCGACGGGCAACAGTGTGGGAAGGTTTTTGTGGATTTTAATGCATCGCCTACTAAACCTATGACACATTCTGGTTCAAGACGTGACCCCTTTCATCGTTGTCGCTCCAGGTCCTGCACATGGTGCGTAACGCCAAACTGGTGGGCCAGTCCATCATTGCCTACCTGCAGAAGAAGGGCTACCCGGAGGTGGCGCTTCACTTTGTGAAAGATGAGAAGACCCGCTTCAGTCTGGCTCTGGAGTGTGGAAACATCGAGGTGAGCTGCTGCGAAATGGGATTAATAGCGATTTGAGGGGGACGGCGCTGTAGTTTGAAGTCTCCCTCCTCCTTTTGGATCGTTTTCGCACACGTCAGGTCGCTCTGGAGGCAGCCAAGGCTTTGGACGAGCGCAGCTGCTGGGAGCGTCTGGGTGAGGCAGCACTGCTGCAGGGTCACCACCAGGTCGTGGAAATGTGCTACCAGAGGACCAAGAACTTCGACAAGCTCACCTTCCTCTACCTCATCACCGGCAACCTGGCCAAGCTGCGCAAGATGATGAAGATCGGTGAGCGCTGGAGACTGAATGAACAAAGATGCGCTGGTGTCTTGTTATGTCACTGAACTTGCATCCAATACTCTTTGTTCTGTAGCGGAGATCAGGAAGGACATGAGCGGTCACTACCAGGCCGCTCTCTACCTGGGAGATGTGAGTGAGCGGGTCCGCATCCTCAAGAACTGTGGACAGAGTGAGTTTTAGTGTCCTCTTCGTCTCGTATTAATTCATAACTCCCCCGTTTTGGGCCCAATCCACCTGGTGCCTGCATACCTTCGCTGCTGCGTCCAGCTCATTGTTTCCTGTGTGTTTCCAGAGTCTCTGGCCTACCTGACCGCGGCCACTCATGGGCTGAATGAAGAGGCCGAGGCGCTGAAGGAGACCTTCGACCCAGAAAAAGAGACGGTGTGCTTTAATGAAAAAAACATTCTCTGTACACGGATTGTCCATGTTGCAGGAATCCATAATCTCACTGAAACAATGGTGGGTCTTTTGTCCTGTAGGTGCCGGAGGTTGATCCCGATGCACAGCTGCTGCAGCCTTCTCCACCCATCAACCCTCTGGACACCAACTGGCCTCTGCTCACGGTGTCAAAGGGCTTCTTCGAGGGAGCCATCGCGGCAAAGGGTCCGTCCTAACTGCAAGAGTCAAAATGACATTACGTGGACATGTTGTGGCAGCTTGTTTTGCCGGAGTGAGAACCGTGTTTTTCTGCTTCAGGGAAAGCAGGTCAGATGGCTGCCGACCTGGACATGGAGGCCCCGGGGGGAGAGGGCTGGGGAGACGATGCCGAGCTTCAGCTGGATGAAGGTAAATTCATTGCCACTCAAAGCACTTTTATTTCATATTTTGAAACCGTGGCCTTAAAGTAAGCGGACTGGACCTCATTGTCTGCGCTGCACCTTTTTGTATGAAATACATTCTTCTGTCCCTCAGACGGTTTCATGGATGCCCAGGACGGATCCGGGGAAGAAGGTGGCGTGAAAGAGGAAGGAGGAGGCTGGGAGGTGGAGGAAGACCTGGACCTCCCTCCAGAGCTGGTGAGTGAAATCCCACCAATGACAAAACACCTGAGTCGGCACAGGAACCGCGTCGATAGTTTACACACGCTTTGAGTTGACCGGCCACTTTTTATACTTAACGTCTCAGAAGAACGACACCGCCGTTACTTGACAGGATCTTTCTCTCCATCCGTCAGGACATATCGGGTGGTGCAGGTGGAGGAGCAGAAGACGGCTTCTTCGTCCCACCGACCAAAGGAATGAGCCCCACACAGATGTGGTGCAACAACTCCCAGCTGCCGGTGGACCACGTCCTAGCTGGCTCCTTCGAAACGGCTATGAGAGTATGTGTGTGGGGTTTTTTTTATCATTGTACCTGAGCACAGAGGGACTGACGTGTTTGTTTTTTTTTGTTCCCTCATTATTCTGACGTTCATTGTTCCCCTCGTGTCCCACAGCTGCTCCACGACCAGGTGGGAGTCGTGGGCTTCGAGCCCTACAAGTCGCTGTTCATGCAGACGCTGTCCAGGGGCCGCACCTGTTACCTGGGGCTTCCCTCGCTGCCCTGCCTGCGTGGTCAGCCGCAGAGAAACTGGAAGGTACAGCTTCTTTTTTTTTTTATCGTCGCCTCTTCATAAGAATCACAGCACGTTCTCAAAGGTGCATCCACGTGGACGTTATTCAAATGATTTAATTGACGTGTACTTTAAAGTTGATACACTGATATTGTCCGTAGGACTGCGGCGCGAAGCAGGGATTGCCCGCCGTGGGCCTGCGCCTCTCCGACCTCATCGCCCGCCTGCAGCAGTGCTACCAGCTGACCACGTCCGGGCGCTTTGAGGAAGCCGTCGAGCGCTTCAGGGTCATCCTGCTGTCGGTTCCGCTGCTGGTGGTCGATAACAAGCAGGAGATCGCGGAGGTGAGCGCCGAGCCGGCGGGGAGTTGAAACTTCAATCATGGCAAAGTAGTTTTGTTCTTTTTCCCCAAACCCTTCTGGGTGCCTACACGCCTGAATCTATAAGCGTGTGACGCGTTTCAGGCTCAGCAGCTGATCACCATCTGCAGAGAGTACATTGTGGGTCTGACCATGGAGACGGAGAGGAAGAAGTTGCCTAAAGACACCCTGGATCAGCAGAAGAGGCTGTGTGAGGTAAACGGCGTGGCGTTCATGCGTCGCCTTCGTCGACAGCGCTGCCGTTGTAGAGCGACCACCTAACGCGCCCGTGTTTCCCCTTCAGATGGCTGCTTATTTCACCCACTGTAACCTGCAGCCGGTCCACATGGTGCTGGTGCTGCGCACCGCTCTGAACCTCTTCTTCAAACTGCGCAACTTCAAGACGGCCGCTAGTTTCGCTCGGCGCCTCCTCGAGCTGGGGCCGAAGCCGGATGTGGCGCAGCAGGTCGGTTCGGCGACATCCGCGGCTTCATTTTGTGATTTCCAGTTTGACGATGTCTGGATGTTGTCTTTTTGTAGGCAATTGGTTCCCTTGTAGGGGGCAAAAAAGACAACCAGGGTTTTAAATGGATTTTGTATTATTGCAGGAAATAATCTTAACATTTGCACATTTAAAGTTTTTGTTCAGCGAGATGAACGTCCCCACATCTTAACACCACTTTCAGGATTATATTTTAAAATCCTAAATGCAATCGGTCGGATTAAGTACTCTGGCGTCTTCTCATCTCTTACACGTCATCCTGCTAAATGTCTCCCCACCATTCAGACTCGCAAGATTTTGGCGGCCTGTGAGAAGACCCTGACCGACGCCCACCAGCTGAACTACGACCCCCACAACCCATTCGACCTGTGCGCCGCCTCTTTCGTCCCCCTGTACCGCGGACGTCCCGTTGAGAAGTGCCCCCTGTCGGGGGCCTGCTACTGCCCGACGTACAAAGGGCAGATCTGCAGGGTCACACAGGTACGTCGGGACTCGGGCGTCCGTTCACATTAACAACGATGACAATGGGTTGCAACGATGTTCTATTTTATAAAACCAAACATTTGAGACTAAAAGGGTCATGAAAGCGATGGAAAATAATGTCAATGGTAGCGAATGTTGCTGAGTTAATGATGTTCCTTTTTAAATATGCAAAATAGTATCTGTCGCTTTCCCTAAAAATAGAGCTTAGTGAAGAATTACTGTTTTAAAATATAATTTCCCCTGTAACCTTTTAATTTCCCGTTTTTATCTTCTAGGCGACTGAAATCGGCAAGGATGTGATCGGCCTGCGTGTGAGTCCACTTCAGTTCCGTTAGGAGGAGACCGTGAAGAAAAGACAAACTCATCCACACTAACGGGAGAAATAATACTGATATCTACACGGGAAATAAAAGCAGAGATGTGCGTTTGCTCACAGTGATGTAAAACCTTTTAACTATCATATCCTCTTATCTTATTCCACGCGCCACCTTTTCTGCTAAATGCTCCGACTTGTATGAGCTGCTGTGTGTATCTCTGTGCTGTGGCTTTAAACTTACCTGTTTTCTCTTTACTGTCGTGGATGAGATTAATAATTAAGTGAGCAGCAATTCTCTGTGTATCGAGGCAAAATGAAAATAAATAAATAAATAAAGGATCTGGAGCGTTTGTGCTTTGTATGGTTGTGGTATCTGGCCACAGCTTTGTGGACCGTGACGGTGGTGGGTTTTATGGCATGTGTATAAATGCATATTATCCAAAGATCACCACAGAGCTGAGTCATGAAAGTAACGACAGCACAGAGGTGAAGGCCTCTACTTGACATTTAAATTCCAACAAGTCAAGTGTTTGAAGACATGGATTCACTATTAAAGCTGATAATTATTTTAAATAAATGTACATTATCACAGCCGTTACAGCGAAAGATTTACAAGTGTGTGTGTGTATATTTATATATATGATGGGCTGCCATTTTGAATGAGTCCGTCTCCTCGGGGGAGCGGAACCAAAGAGCGGAACCCGGACGCTTTCCATGTACGCACCTCCTGTTTGTGTTCCTCTGCTTTCACAAACCAGGAAGATGGATTCGCCATCGATCAGATGTTCGTTTCACCTGCTTGTTTGTTGGCTCTTCGTCGGTAAGTCGCGGTCAAACGGTCCCCCGCCTCCGTGCGCGCGGATCCGTTCGTCCGCCGAGTGCGTTTGCGCGTGAGTGCGGTTAGCTCGGTGGACGTCTTTGTTGTGGGAGCTAGCCGGATGCTAAGCTAGCGAGCTGTTAGCCGGGAGCTGCCCCGTCGGTCTCACACAAGTTTTACGCGGAGCTTCGCTCGTACACGTTCCCCGCCGGTCAGAAATAACTCTGCTGCTGGTTTTTATTGTATAGTGAGTCTTTCCCGACTCTTCGCTCCGGCTGTCTCGGATTTCTTTCCGCCCGGTTCACTCGTGATTCGGCGATGACGCCGCCCGATGCTCCCGGGGATCGAACGCTCGACCGCCGCGCCAGATTACAGCGACGCTTTCGCCGTTTAGTGCTGAACGGGCTTTTCGCGAAGCAGTTAAAGCTCAAACTGACTTGTTTTACAATCTTCAGGGTGCCCAGGTAAATTCGGCACGCAGGTGATCGACCTAAACAAATCATCCTTTATTAAAACTTTAAAAAAAAGAGTGCCAGCAAAGTGAATCTAAATATCTGTCTGACTTGTAGAGGAAACGTCATCCGCTCACGTGTGTCCATACGCAAGCCTTCAGTCATGTGACTTACATCTGAGCTTTTATGAATCATTTTGACCCACTCTGCTTTGCCTCGGTGTGATGCTGAAGTGCTTCTTCCCCCTGCAGGTGTCGGCTGTAGTTCCGTGGAAAAGAAGATTTATGTGCATCTCAATTACACTTTGCCGTGTGTGCGGCTGCTGAATGCAACCCATCAAATAGGCTGCCAGTGTGAGTAAAGTGATGGAATAAAGTGATACTTTTGTGCTTTTCCCCAGAACCCAGCGTGCATCCGGGGAGTTAAACAGATTGGCTCGTAGTAAAATGCTTACTTCTCTTTTTTCAAATCATTTTCTGTGCGGTTGCTCCAGACCGAAACCAACAAATGAATTCTATGGTTTTGAGAGGTGATTTTTAAAAGAGAAGCCAGCCAATTGTCTCTGATTAATATGTGACTTAATATGTGAATCTTATGCTGTAATGTCATACTGCAAAAAACCTTTCCCGTAATGTGAAATCGGCCTGCTGGACTCATCTGGGTCAGAGAATCTTGTATCTCATCACTGATGCTGGAGCTCCACTTGTCACCCTCTGATTTTAGCCCATTTGTCGGGTAATGTGGGCGTCCTGCACGTGCTGGAGTCAGAAGAAAACCTGGACTGGGTCCTGCGTTCTGGTCTCAACCCTCCTTACCTGGTGATCCTGGACTCGCCGCTCTTTACCAGGTACAGTTGACGCGTGACGCCCTGTAATGAGACAAACGTCGGTGGTGTACTTCAATATACTTGTTCTCAACGACGATACATAGATTAAATTATAGTGAAAGTACGTGTTCTAAGTTCAATAAGGTCAAAGCACTCAGTTTCAAATATGAAATTCCTTTTTTCTTTTTAGTGAAGCGTTGTTAGGATAAATTGTGACATCATCGTGCAGGACGTTTTAAACCTGTGTTTGTGGCCGTGTCGTCTCCACCGCCCCGCCAGGTCCATCATGATGAAGCTGAAGAACGGCTCCAGCAGAGTGGCGGGCGTCGCTGTTGTGGCGCCGAGCACCAACCCGCCCGATGGCGTCTCCCCGCACACCAACTGTCCCAACGAGAACACAGGTTCGCCCGCTGACACTTTGAAGTTTGCGATTTAATACCCCGTTGTCCAGTGCTGTATACAGTGGGTTGAAATGGGGTTTGCAAAGTGAAATATCTGATCTAATGTCAAATGTTTGTCTGAGGTTGTATTTTGTCCATCAGTTTGACTGACAGCTACTTTACCCACGAGCTTCAGCCACCGCTGCGATGGAGAATAAGCCAGTCACATCTGTAGCGCGTTCAAAAGGCCGTCTCTCCTTATTTCTGCACAAAACCCGTCGCCACAGCTGCTAGAATACAAAACGGTTCATTTAAGCTGCTTTTTCTTCCTGTTATTTTTCGCGCATTTAAAGAATTTTAAGCTGGCAGATTTAATATTTCACGGTGAAATGCACTTGCTAAAGTTTATGTGCAGAACGGAATCAGATGTTTTTCTAATTCAGTTGATCCACCCGTCTGATATTCATGCTCCTGGTACCAATTGTTTTATGGACAAAGTTCCTTTTACTCCCAGAACCGTTTTTTTGTGGATGTGTAGACGCCGACCAAAGATGCTGGAATGAATAAATTCCTTTTCAAAGTCAGTCCTCTCTTCACGAGGACCTGCTTTGGTATCAAAGCATGTGTATTTTCCCCTCAGGCGTGTACACGGAGAAATACGACCCCGCCTTGGCCCACTGTAACGTGACGGTGTGGAACCCTTTGGGAAGCGGCTTGTCGTACGAGGAGTTCGACTTCCCCATCTTCTCTCTGAAAGATGACAACGACACCAAAGTCATACGACAGGTAACGAGACGGTGGAAAAGCTGAAGAAAAAACGTGCAGTTCCAACAAATCCAATGTAAAGGGCTCCCTGTAGTGGTTCAGATCTGACGTTACGCCAATAAAGTTCAAGCAGCACATAAGATCCTCATTGGGGAGTCAACACGTTTGTTGGGTTTTCTTATATTATATAAAACCCTTATATACGAGAGTACACTATAAGAGTACACTCTGGTGCAAGCGTCTCGTCTCGGTGATTTCTTTTGGATCCTGAAAACATTGTAATGACTTTTCATCAGGAGGCAGAATTCGTGCTGCAGTTTATTTCCATGATTTCTACGGTTCCTCCCGTCTCAGATGCGGTGGCCAGACGAGGGAAACTGGCTATGAGGTTTAGAGGAATAAATTGAGCTCCAAAACATTGCTGTGTGTCTATCCTGCACGTTTGCCCCCCTGAGCACATGTTCCAACCTGTTGCACGGGATCGCACACTAAACAAGTCCGGTATCATTTATAAGACAGCAGAACCGGTTCCTTACGCGCGTGCTTCTCCCTGTTGGCAGTGCTACATGGACCATAACCGCGCCGTGAACGGCAGCGCCCCTCAGCACCCGCTGTGCGCCATGCAGCTCCTCTCCCACATGTCCGCCGTCACCGACACGGCCACCTGCATGAGGAGGAGCGACCTCAGCGCCTTCAGCCTCAGCCCAGGTATTCTTCGCCCTGCAACCGCTGCATGAAAATATCCAGCAATCCTGTTTCTAGACCGATCCGCACCGAACGGCGTACTCTTCTTCTTCTTCTTCTGCGTCTCCTCAGGTCTCGACACGGTTTGCGACCCGTTGGCTGACTTCAACGTTTGGGCCTCCACCAGGCCTCTGAACAACACCGCCAAGGGCCACAAGGAGGGCGAGAGCGTGGTCGTGGCGGCGGCCAGGGTGAGCCACTGACCTTTTTAGACCCACGTTTGTTGGTTAGCTGGTTAGCTGTTCGTGGACGTCGTTAACATTTCTACAGCCGCCGTCTGCAGTGATCTCCCTCTGTCCAAAAGCCTCCCAGCGTAAAGACGCACGTGACGTAGCACCAAGAACAGAATAGTCAAGTCAGAATAGTCAAGTGAGAAATAGTCAAGAACAGAAGCCATGAATGGGAGTAATGAGACGCTGGCAGAGGCATTTATGACTTCCTCATCCTCGTCGTTTGAGGTCAAAGAATAAAATATTTTAAAAACGGGTCATTGCAAATTGACCCTGAGCTTTTTACCCAAACCAGCCGTCTCCTGTCCTCCCTGCAGCTGGACAGCAGGTCCTTCTTCTTCGACGTCGCTCCGGGGGCGGAGAGCAGCGTCTCCGGGTTCGTCGCTCTGCTGGCGGCGGCGCACGCTCTCCGCAGCGTCACCCAGGAGGCTCCGCCCCCACGCAACATCCTCTACGCCTTCTTCCAGGGGGTCGGTAATGGACACTTGGCGGCGGGCGGGTGGAATTCGGCGTGGCGACCGGCCTCACGTGTGGTTGTGCTCTTTCGTTCGGCCCCCAGGAGACCTTCGACTACATCGGCAGTTCGCGGATGGTGTACGACATGGAGAAGAAGCATTTCGTGGTGGACCTGGACAACATCCACTCGCTGCTGGAGATCGGACAGGTTTGTCTACTCTCCTCTTCCGTGAGCATCGACCTGCTCCAGTGAAAGTACACTATATGTGTGTGGGATTAGTACCTGAAATGAACAATTACGCAACAATCAGTCGTTGAATTTGTTCACCACAGGTTGGACTGCGGGTGAACTCCTCGCTGTGGCTTCACTCGGACCCCGTGTCCAGGAAGAACAGCAGTGTGGACGGAGAGGTCTGTGTACTTGTCAGCATCACGGGACGTGTACAAATATCATTCAAATTGAGACTGTAATGAACCAGAGGTGTGACAGCAGCACTGTGCACATCATGTGCACACAATGAGATGCAACTAAGCACATTGTAAGCATGCACTGTAAATAAAGACGTTAAAATAAGGTGCTGTATTCCACATATAGTTAACAGTAGTGTACAGTTGAATCCTACATTTAGCTGAACAGTTAGTATAATATAGTATTGAAAGTGTAATAGTGTTTCTATTAAAATCCTGAAACAATAAAAGCACTTGAACAAAATATTTGCACTAAACAAGTGGATGTTATCTAGCGGTATTGCTGCATGAAACCCAATGAGTGTGTGTGTGTGTGTGTGTATATATAAAAGTGTACAGTTGAGTCCTAAATTTAGTGTGTTGTATAATCGTGCAGGTGAAGAAGCTCCTGGAAAGCCTCCGGGCCGGCGCCGCGGGTCTGAACGTCTCGCTGGCGGAGCCGTCTTTCTCGCAGCCCCTCCCGCCCTCCTCCTTCCAGCGCTTCCTGCGCGCTCGCCCAATCCCGGGCGTCGTTATCCAGGATCACCAGTCGTCTTTCACCAACAGGTGATTGGCCGGCGCCGCCGCCGCGCCGGACGCAGTGGAGTTGCGGCGATGGGATCTGGGATGTTAATTTGTTTTTGTGCAGGTTCTACGAGAGCATGTACGATAACGCCGGGTACCTGGACATCTCTTACCCACCCGACCTCACGCCGGAGCAGCAGCTCCAGTTCGTCACCGACACCGCCACGGTAACGCCCACCAATCATTCCACCATAACTGCCGTATCACGTTACAGGTTCCCAGGTGTGTAACCGAAGCCTCTTGCCGGTTCTTGCCGTCTGTCCTCAGTGGGGGCGAGTCCAAACTCGTCGGGCAATATTTTAAGCTGTCAGGATGTTGCCGTCTCATTTTGCCCGTGAGAACTTCCCCCTCCGATGTTGTTGTTTCTAAGTGGGGCGTTTCCTGTGCTCCTCTTGATGCACCTCAGGCTCTGACGGAGGTGGCCACCGTGGTCGCCCGCTCCCTGTACGCGCAGGCGGGAGGAGATCAGGCCCGGCTCAGCAGCATCAACGCCGACCCTCAGATGGTACGTTGTGTTTGTCCAGATCTCATCGACAAGTTCTCTGTTTCTACGCGTCTGTCCTTTGTCGACACCTGGATCGTACGAGTTTTATAAATCCATAAGTCCACGTCTAGTAAACCGTAAAATTGGTGTTTTCATATCGTGATCAAAGTTGAAGTAAAGTATTACTTTATTCATTCGTTTCTAAATTGATGCCGGAAATGCAGATTATCTTCTGATTTTAAATAGTTAGTGTTTTTTTCCTGAGCTTTTCTGGATTCATTTCTTGGCAAAGACGCACGTTTCCTGCTGCTTGTTTGTGACCGACCCGGTTTGACTGTTTTCCCTCAGGTGACCCAGATGCTGTACGGATTCCTTGTTCGGTCCAATAACTCCTGGTTCCAGCAGCTCGTCCCCTCTAACCTCATGAGCTTCCTGGGTGCGTTGAGACACAAGTTCATTCATTATTGAACGCTTTTATTTTGAAGAAGACGGAGCAGAGGAGACCGTAAATTAGCTGTGTTGAACCCGTCCAGAGGTGACACCACAGCTGGCTCCATTGTTTCCAGGCGGGAGGCTTAATGTCTTCTGTCCTCCGTCCATCAGCCGACAGGCCCACCAACCTCTACGTCGGCGTGTTGAATCAACACAGCGAACTGACCATGCTGGTCCAGCACCTGCTGGCTAACCTGACCGGTACCACCGTTAACATCACGCAGGAGAACTGCAACTACCAGAGGGAGGACGAGCAGGACAAGGCGAACAAACACGTGAGACCTTCTGTTTTTATTCTAGGACAAATGATTAAAAATAAATCAACTGTATTACAAAAGGTCGAGATGTGTTTCTCAGATCAGGCTGCAACTAACTGATTGTCTTCGATTTTGTTTTACTGATTTATTAAAAATACATTTGCTCAATAAAAAATAAATCAGTAGACATGTCATAGACAATACTAAAGAAGAAAAAATTCAAATGAATAAACTGAATTTGTTGTTAGAAACAGAAGCAGCATGACTTCTGTCTGTCAGTCACCAGAACGCTTGCAGGTTTTCTCCCTTCAGGCACATCACACATTCTACTGGGCGCCTTTTGACTGCTGCTTCAATAAGGGAATACCGATGCACTAACTTCCCCCTCTGGCCGCTGCAGATGTTCTTCTACGTGTGGGTTCAAGGAGCGGCGCCTCCCAATGCCACGGAGAGGGAGGGGTTCTGCACGCGCTCCACGGTCCGCCTCACCTCAGCACTGTCGCCGGCCTTCGATCTGCAGGAGTACACCTCCAAAGATTACTCCACGTGGACCGAGTCCCGCTGGAAGTCCATCAGTGGACGCATATTCCTGGTGGCGGGCCACGAACTGGAGGTAAACCGGCGCTCCCATCCGCAGAGTCGGCAAATACTTTGGTGCGCAGTACCTTATTTCTGCAGCATCCTCTTGATTGTTTAAATCAAGAGGATCCAGAAGTCGCAAAGCACGGGGGGGTTGATAAATAGTGCGATGGTTGGCTTGTGACCTGATCGAATTGGTTATTAAAGCGCCGTCCTCCCAGGTTATAACGCTGACCGTAGCAGCGACGCAGCGAGGAGGTTTTGCTCATTTGAACAGTATATGAAAATCGGCTGGCTGGGGCGTGATTGATGGGATCCGTCCCCCCCCGAGGAAGACAAAATGCCGAGCAGGGGTTCTGTCGAAACGTCTTTCTTGGGCCGACGAGTGCCGTTTGAAATTAAACGCTCTTTAATGCAGGGATTTCCAAGTGCACATGATCTTTCTCGGATATAATCCATGTTGCTTATCGTTGGGCTTCTTGCGTGTACGCGGGGTTTCCAGACGGGCAGCAAAGAGCTCCGGCAAAAACCACAAAGCCGACTTAACGCTGACGGCTCCGATGCGGCTCACGTCCCGGGCAAGTTCATTTCAACATCCGGCTGGAATGAACGAAACCGTACACCTTTTATCTCCGTCACGCCGCCGTTCAAAGCCGCGACGTGCGGCTCTTGTTTCAGAGCGCAGGTCTGAAAACCGGTGCGTTCGAAGGCGCCTTCAGCGCGGTTCAGATGTGGAGCCGCTAAATATCTTTACCTGCGGGAGAGCTGCAGCCAATGCGGTCTGGGGGGAGGGAAAACCAGAGGGGAGGGTCCTTCTCCTCAAACCGATTTGGGACTTCTCACGTAGAGTTGAGCGTAGCTGCGGGCATCGGCGTCTGCCACCAGGGGGCGCCATAGTCCCCTCTGTTAAAACGTTTACACCAACCACGTAAGGAAGGAGCGCGCGTAGTGTGAGCGGGGTCGTCTTTGTTCATCTGAACCTTTCTCTCCCCCCAGATGTTGACGCTGGGCGTGGGGCTCGGCGTGCTGATAACGTCGCTGCTGCTGACGTACGCCATGAGCGCGAAGGCCGACATCCTCTTCAGCTCGGGGAGGGAGCCCGTCAACGCCACCTACTAATCCAGAGCGCGGCGGCGCGGGCCAAGACCACTACTGCTCCTACTACTACTACTATCCCAACCAGACATGGACAGACAAGCCGCGAGTAGGTACACCGGTTAGACACAGCAGCAGAGGTTTATTATTGTTATTGTTATTGTTTTTAAGAAGACGACCACTCCATGTTTATGGACTCCCATCGGTGAGGCGTGACACGGGAACCGGACTCAAAACGCTGGTCAGGCCGCGTCAGTGGAAGAGATGTTTATATTTCTTTTGTTCGTCCTCTCTTACTATCGTCAAAGAATGTTTTTGATTGCGGTGCCACGGGATAGGCACCCAACATCAGCATCCGTTATGAACATGTAAATGAGACTGTGAGTGTGAGATCAACTGTGTGCGTTTGTGTCTGAGCTTTGTATGAGGATTGCTGTGGTATGTGGAACGCTGCTGCGGCTGTCGTCCCGCTCGATGGAGTTAACTTATCAAGCCGCTCTGAGAAGGAAAAAAAACAAACAAAAAAAACACTTTTCAGTTTGTGAACAATTAGTTAAATTTATGCTTTTGCAAAATCTGAACACGTGAAGTATTTTGATAAGCTTTAGTGTTCTGGGATGTTGACAACAGTCCTGAATATTTATATTTTTCACTCGCAGTGCGCACACAACTGCACGTGCGTGTAGTGGCTGAGCCGCTGCGATGTCACGTGTGGTGATAATTGTGTGTGAGGAGAGGAATTCCCCCGAGGAGCCTCGGCGTGGCAGACAAACACTTTATTCCATATCGACCAGCTGCTTAAAGGAACCGTCAAATCCAGTCCAAAAATCCCGTGTTTTGCCACAGAAAAAGGCGCTGGTACTGTGGCTGTGCGCTAAAAACCTTTTTTTTTTTTTTTTTTTTCAAAGGGTTCGTTTCTATGGTGACTTTTAGTTTAAAAAGTGCATTTTAATTGTGTCGACACTCACAAAAGGTTTTGAGTTCTGTTGTAATTTTAGTGGCTGGAATCGAAGACCAGTTGTGATGCCTTGATGAAGAAATAAACATTGCTTCAATTTCCAGTTTTTCTTTCATTGTCGACAAGATCTTCCTGGTCCAGAAAACACGAACATCAGCACTCAGAAAACAAAACATTTACATTTTTAACATTTAACAAATACTGTGGCCTCAGATTACCATTTTATTTCTGTGCTTACACATTAAAATTTTATCCGTGTTTACTTACCAAAGCACTTAGGAGTGATGTCATTGTTCTTTCAGAATTATTCCAGGGTTTGTAATGAAGAGCTACAGAATAATATGGATGAGATAAATACTTTTATTTATTTGAATTAGTTTTTTTTTTTTTAGTTCCACACACATTTGACCTTTGTCACTTAAGTACAGCTGCTAGAGTGAGAAATCCCAGTTGTGTCTCTTTAGATACGTGACACTGGTTCTCCGCCGTTTGACCTTTTGACCCCTTCAACAAAGTAAGTCAATGAGTTGTGAGCAGCTAATTAGACATCTAGAGAAGTAAGCTTAGATCTAAAGAAACATCTATAGAACTCTGTAGAACTTATATTTTGGTCATCTTGTGACTGCTTGCATCTTTAAAATAATTTTATGCTATTTTCATATTTTAACCTGCAGGTTTGTTCCTGCAGTGATAAAACAACCAGATGATAAAATTCAATAATCATGTCAGGTACATTTTATTTATTTTTATTTTCCAAAGAAATGGCAAAATTGGAATTCCAACATGAGGAAAATTACTATATTAGGTCAAATGAACACTTGCATTTATTATGAAAATACTGAATTGTGAATGGATGGATGGATGATTTTTATACTCCATTCATTTGGGAAAATTTGTGATTTCATGTCAATAAATTAAAAACAATGGTTTTAATTATTGTAATGAAACTTGCGAGCGCTCTGAAAGTCATCACAAGATTTAACCTAATGAAGAAGAAAAAAAAAAGTAAAATGTTGTTGTCTCTTAAATACACAACAAATTGTGAAACAAACAATTAAATCTCAAATAAATACAAAACAGACCTTGACTTTTCTATTTCGTGTTTTTATATATAGACACATTATAGTGCCAACTGAGTGCACTCATCAGCGCGCTTGTGTGCGCGATAATGGCTGTTTCGTGGTCGAACACGCACACAAAAGCGCACATATGGTTTCACAGGAGGAGGCGGAGCCTATGCGGGGCGGAGGCGGGGCCTATGTGGGGCGGAGGCGGGGCATAAGTGCAGGCGGAGGCGGGGCCCGCGGCGCTACGGTTGACTGGAAAGAAAGTGGAAAGTGAGAAAATACCTTGAATGGAGCAACCGGAATAAGTAAGTCGTCTTTCTGCGTGTTAAATGTTGTCGTAACGCCGCTGCTGGTGATGGTGTGCGCCGCTTTAACGAAGGGGGGGGGGGAGGACGGAGGACTCGCGGCTCCGCGGGTCTCCGGTTTCCCCCAAACAATAGTCCAACGGACGCGATGGTCGCCTTCTTTTTTTGGGTGGGGGGGGGGGGGTTGAAAACCCGCAGCGGAGCCTCGGACCCTCGTCCCCCCGTTTGTTGTCCTCGTCGCTCCGCGGAGACGATGGACGGGGGAGTGGGTGGGTCGTGTTTTCAAACGGTTGCGGAGAAGCGTTCAGGGAGCCGAGGACTCCCGCCTGTAGGCCGGGGGGGGGTTTTCTGGACGCTTCTTCCCGCTGAAGGTCCGCGAGGACGGTCTCGAGAGTCCGTTCGTGCGCAGCCAGCCTCGGGGCAGCGAGGGCGGAAGAGCGGGCGGGGGGGTGTGGTGGGTAATTCGGGCATCGGGACGCGGCCGGCGGGGCCTGGGAGGCTCCCATTGTCCTTCCGAACCGCAACACCCTCCCTTTTCTTTTTTTCTCGACCCGGCGCTTCACGTGCGTGCGCGCCCCCCCCCCCGCAGTAAGTCGGCCTCCTCGCGGCCCCTCGTGCGTGCGGGATCCCGTTGATCCCGTTGAATGATCCGCGCCGCTTCACGCCGGAACCCACGTTACCGCACCGGGAAGCTAACGAACAGGCCCCGGATTTACCTGTTGGCCCCTTTTATTTGCTGCACATTTTAATGCTATAAAAGAGAAGCACCGGACCGGGGGGGGGGTGTTATGGTAATAAAGGAGCCCATAATAAGACATAACAATAATAAAAACACCATCAGATGGTAAAATCACAGCATTGAAACGGCAGGTAGGAATCACTGTGGCGTTTGTACACGTATTATAATGACCGTTGGGGCTTAACTATTTTTTATTTTATTCAATAAGTCAATTTAAATTAAATGAAAGAGTGAGGCTTTGGTCTTAAACCCAAAGATACTTTATTGTAGCTAATAAGAAACATGACATTTAAGAAGCTTGAACCAGCAGAGGTTTCACATTTCTGCTTGATGCAACGACCTAAAGCATTAAAATATATTATTAACATGAACCGTCGTTCATCCTCAACTCACTCCGCTAATTGTTTCCATTCTCTTCTGTTTTCATGTTTCAAAAGAAGGGGGAACGTTGCCCACTTGACTGAACTGTCCCATCTGTCCACCGTCTGGGCCGGTCCTCAGAGGCAGCTCGTTGTTGAGGTCTTCAGATGCTCGCTGGACCACAGGTTGAGTTGCACTCGGAACCCGCGAAGGGACGTCCCGGACGCCCTTCTTGACTACTTTTTGACCCAGAATATGTAAAATCTGCAGCGTGGTAACTTCTGTAGACCAGCGACGTGCTGAGGAACCACGTTAAAGGGTTAACGTTGTTTATGGCTTTGTGCTAATGGACCAGAGGCCCCCATCGCAACCCTCATCCAGCCGCTTCCTGTTCCCTAAATACTTTGTTTGGAGATAAAGACGCGGGGGTGGGGGGGGGTCTCTGCCACACAGCGCTGACCAGAGGACAGGCCTGTTGATTCAACCACACACACACACACACACACACCTGCTCCGGTTTGCTGGCCATGTGTGCATGGGGGCTGACAGTAGCAGTTGTCTTGTTGTCTGGTTTTATCTGATGTCGTTGCGGTGGGTGGTGGTCTGGCCCGTGTGTGTGTGTGTGTGTGTGTGTGTGTGTGTGTGTGTGTGTGTGTGTGTGTGTGTGTGGTTTGGGCGGGGGTCTGGTGCAGTGATGAGCCTCTTGCTGGGCGTGTGCTCGCTTATTTTCACAGTTGGCTTATCGGGCCCCAAATGGCTCCTGAGCGGCGCTGGTGATCTCGGGGCCGGCGTGGAATGGCGTTCCAGAACATTTGGCGAAAGCTGGTTTTCTTCATTTCTTTCGGCCTCCTGACGTCTGCTGGTTTTAAACCGTGACGGTAGTTTTCACAGCAAAATTATCTTCCTTTTAAACTGCAGTTGGAGAGATTTACTCCAGATTTAAACTTTCTTATTCAACATCTTCACTTTCTCGAGCTCAACTTAAGTGGAGTTTATTTCTTTTATTGAACCAAAACAAAAAAAAAACATCTACGTTACTTTTCCTTCAGAAAGTCTTTTCTTGTTTAAAAGAAGAAGCCGGTTTATTCTTAAATACCTCAGCGTTTGATTTAGCAGCCAAGTAATAACTTAAGTAAAATAAAACATGACATTAAAAGAGAGATGTACTTTACACCACCTGACCTGTCTGATTTAATATTATATGTTATACACACATTTGGGGAAAGTTCTCCATAAATTGAGCTCCAGAAGGACGTTCTGATATAATTCCATTTTAAAGACGGTTTGGAGCCGATGGCCCATTGTCTCTCTTTAAAAGCAGCGTGAGGGAAGCAAAGGTTGTTTTTCTTTTTCCATTTTTGTTTTTTAGAAGCTGGACTTGGACCTTGAGGCCATGTTGTGAGAAAGGAACAAGTTAAATATCCCGAGGAAACGCCACCGACCCCTCGAGTTCACAGATCGAAGGCCGATGACGACGTCGGGGCGTCACTTTGACGCTCGGCGCTTTTTAATTTAACTTTAACGTCCCGTTGCTGACGGGAAGGATCCCGCTGCGGCTCAATAAGTCGGACGTGTAACGAACCAAACCGGCCTTCGTGGACTGAAGCGCTTCGAGGGAACGTGATGAGCGGACGGACCAACGCCGTCCGCGTTTGCGACGTGGGTTTTGGGTCGTGTCCTCCTGCCCGGTCACCAGCGTGCACGGCTGAGATTACAAACCGGTTTCTTTTCTCCATTCAAGCGTTTGTCTCCCATTGAAAGACGCAGTTTCATGTAGAATCTGCTTTGAACGCCCCCCGCAACCGCTTCTCACACCACCTGTGTCTCATTATGTGGCAAGAGCGTCGTGACGTCATGTTGAAACGGAGGTGAAAGGTCACTCCGGGGGAACTTCCTCGTGAAGCCTCTTTTTTTTTAATTCAGCTTTCACTGAAACGCAGCAGTCAAGCAGAGACTGAAACGTGCTGCAGGACACGCCGACGATTGGTGGCAGTGAAGTCGTTGAAGATGTTCTGGGGATTCATCTCGCGCCTCCATCACCAACGGAAACAATCGTTTTGCTTTCGGCGGCTGCATCGACGTTGCCTGTTGCTCCACCGTCGGGCTGAAACTTCCAGTTCTAAGCGGAAACCAAACAAAATTCCTATTTTTTTCCTGAGGATAATCTTTATAACTCCCCCTCACATGCAATCTTTATTTTAGCTTCCTGTTTCACACAATAGATTTTTGATGAGCAGAGTAAAACCGTGGCTCCTTGTTGTTATTTTTAAGAGGTGGCGGGGGAAACATCATGAGGCCAAGTGATGAGTTCACATTGTTATTTGGGCCGAGGTTCCTCCGCCGGGGAGAGCACGTCCCATCCGAACTCCCAACAGCCGCTAGACCCCGAATCCGCTTCTCCACACAGCGCCGAAGGACGGAGCTTCGTTCTCGCACTGGGCTGCGTGGCAGTTGGGAGAATCCCGCGGTCTGTGTGTGGCACGAAGGCCCCGACTGTGCACGAGATGCTCACCACTGGAGATGGAAGCTCATGATGCACTGGGAGGAGGCTGCTGCTCGTCTCACTCCAGTGGTTTGGAGGATTTCAGATCTTCTCTCGTCTGTTAGGACTTAGTGGGTTTTTTTGGGGGGGGGCCCAGTCGTGCACGAGCAACACGAGGACAAGCTGGAGTCACCGTGTTTGGCTGCAGTGAAAAGCCACCAATGCGGCAGAAACCAGCACATTAAGTGAAATGTGGGTTTTGAGACGATGGCGGCAGCAGACGTCCCTCAACTTCCCCCAGAGGTCCAGTGAGACGAGGGGGGGGGGCGCCGGCTTTATCAGCTAACCAGCATACGACAGCCCAACATCCGTCATGCCAACACTTTTATTGCACCGATTGCGAACAGAGCGACACAGGGCGGCGTAAGGTCGGGTTTCCACAGCAACTGTCAACCTCCGATCCCCCTCCAGCCGAACACCTTCTTTCATCGCCATGGCAGCGGAGAGGCCCCGTTTCCCAGGGGACGGGGGGGAGTGTGGGAGGGAATGTGAGACGGCCGCGGGCAGAGAGAGGGCAAACAAGTTTGGTGAAAACACAGTAATGCAATATGGCCGCCATTGTGTCCGGGGGCCGACGGAGGGCGACGCCGGCGTCTCGGCGAGGGGAGGAAGTCGACGTGATGATTAACCTCGGCGAGACGCGGCCCGAAACCGAAGCCTCGGCTCGGTGGCTTCAGTGCGTGTCGGCGTGAGGAGATCTTAACGCGCTCAACGAGCACTTAACGCTTAAAACGCCTTTAATATCACGTGTACGGCACGTGTATCGAGGTACTGAACCTTTTACACACATGTTTAATAATAATAATGTGTGTAAAGAGGAGGAACCTCCGATGATGGACGTGTCTGGACAACGTCTAATAAAACGCTGACTTCAGCCCCGTTTATTGACAAATGAACATAAGCCCTAAAACTGTGTTTACAAAGCTTTAAGTTCAGTGTGTTTCTGACGTCATCGGCACATAAATCAGTCACTGAAAGGGGCCTTTGTACTGTCTCTATTTGTTACGGGCAAATCTTTTTTTTATTTCTTCTTTTTAGTATTTAATATAAATTCCGCCTGTTTTTGTTGCTGCGTTGAACCATCGCGGGAGTTTTAAACCAAAACATTACTGACTAAACCGTTTCTAAAGGTGCCGTTTTAATGCCAGAGTGTTTCCAATCAAACACCAGGTCAAAGCCTATAATAGAATCTAGATGCTCTGGTGGGAGAACCTCTGGAAACACTGGGGCAGGAAGTCAGCCAAGGACCTCCTCCGTTTGACCTCTGACTTAAACGTCTCTCTCTCTCTTTCAGATCACGTCGCCTCAGCTCTCCCCTGCTGCGACTCTCCTGCCCGCCTCCCCCCCCCTCCCCTTGCTCCCCCTTCTCCGGCTCCCTCCCCGTCGGCCTCCAAGATAGATTCCCTCAGGAGCAAGGTTGACCTGCTCAAGCTGCCCCTGGCCCTCACCACCAAGTCCATCGCCGAGCGCAAGAGCCAGCTGGGAGGAGTCGGCGAGCAGCGGGGCACGGGGGGCGGAGGAGGAGGAGGAGGAGGAGGGGTTCGCAAAGCCCGCTCGCCGCCGACCCGAGACATGGACAACGAGTCGCAGTACTCGGGCTACTCGTACAAGTCCTCCCACTCCCGAAGCTCCCGCAAGCACAGGTCTGTGAGACCCCCGTGGCACGATGTCCCCGATCTCGCCTCATTTCACCGATTTCCTGCACTATTAAAGCATTCAAGCTATAATTCTTAGTTTACTAATCATTCAACCCGAGGATGGAATACACGCAGATAAAATCCCTCTTTTTTTTTCCCTCCCTTCCAGGGATCGGAGGGATCGCCACCGCTCCAAGAGCCGGGACAGCAGCAGTCGTGGAGACAAATCCGTCACCATCCAGACGCCCGGGGAGCCGCTGCTCGATGCCGAGTCGACCCGGGGGGACGAGCGGGTCGGTCCCGCTGCTTTCTGCCGCTTACTAGACCCACGCGTCTGCTATTTGTTGGGATTACAGAGCTCGTTGTGTTACTGTAGTTTACTGTCGTCTGCTGGTCTTAAAATACCAAAGACGTGTTGAGTTAAGTTTTAAATGTCATGCGTCCTCAGAGGGACTGAGGAGGTTTGTTTCTTTCTGGAGTTTAATTATTTTAACTGTTCAATCTGCTTTCTGACCAGTCTTCTTTTTTACGTACACAACAACACACAGAAGCATCTTCGGTTCCTGCCTCGTTGTTTAATTAAGAACTCGACTGTTTAAACGCTGGTGAATCCTGACATCCGTCCCTGCGTCTGCCAGGATGACAACTGGGGCGAGACCACCACGGTGGTCACCGGCACCTCGGAGCACAGCGTCTCCAACGAGGACCTGACCCGCGTCACCAAAGACCTGGAGGAGTCCACGCCGCTGGAGTGCAAGCGCTTCGTGGGCCCGGCCGTGGGCGGCTGCCTGAGCTTCTTCGCGCTGGTCACGCCGTTGGCCTTCCTCGTCCTGCCGCAGGTCCTGTGGCGGGAGTCCCTGGACCCCTGCGGCACGCCCTGCGAGGGCCTCTACGTCTCGCTGGCCTTCAAGCTCCTGGTGCTGCTCATCTCCTCCTGGGCGCTGTTCCTGCGGCCGCCGCGCGCCACGCTGCCGCGCTTCTTCGTCTTCCGCTGCCTGCTGATGGTGCTGGTGTTCCTGTTCGTAGCGTCCTACTGGCTGTTCTACGGCGTGCGCGTGCTGGAGCCCAGGGAGCGCGACTACAGGGGCATCGTGGAGTACGCCGCCTCGCTGGTGGACGCCCTCCTCTTCATCCAGTACCTGGCGCTGGTGCTGCTGGAGGTGCGACACCTGCAGCCGGCCTTCTGCCTGAAGGTGGTGCGGAGCACCGACGGAGCCAGCAAGTTCTACAACGTGGGCCACCTGAGGTCAGTGAGACGAGGACCGAATATTCTCTTAAAGCTTCCTTCGTCCGCTCAGCTGCCGCGGCCCCATTAACGGGATTGTTGGCGGCTTAAATGAGGCTGTTGGACACCAGTGTGATGAAACGCACGGACGCCTTGATACATAAAATGATAGTTTGTGTATTGTAGATGGGGGTCTGTATTTTGAACAGAGGTTATTCACATTCGCTGTTACAGGAGTGACCTGTTTTGTGTCCTCGTGCAGACAGACACGTGATGTTTGACACGCTGTGTTTCAGTATCCAGCGGGCGGCCGTCTGGGTGTTGGACCGTTATTACAGCGACTTCTCCGTCTACAACCCGGCGCTGCTCAACCTGCCCAAGTCCATCCTGTCCAAGAAGATGACCGGCTTCAAGGTCTACTCCCTGGACGGTAATCGCATGTTTCTAGATCCATAAACTGTTACCAGGTTCATCCTCAAAGCAGCCGAGGGTCTGAACGTGAGCTCACTCCCCTCTTCCCTCGCGTGCGTCTTCTAGAAAGCACCACCAACAACTCGACGGGCCAGTCGCGGGCCATGATCGCAGCCGCTGCCCGGAGACGAGACAACTCCCACAACGAGTTCTACTACGAGGAGGCCGAGATGGACCGCCGGCTCCGCAAACGCAAGGCCAGGTCAGATGGATGTTCCTCCCCTGACAGCGACAATGTGGCGCCGGGGGGTCACGTCGAGCTCATTTTAGAACGAACCGTTTGCCGGTGTTAAATCACAGAAGATCGAAGATGCTCTTCTGTGTGAGTCGAGACTCCGCTGAGCTTTTGCCCCCCCTCCCTGCAGGTTGGTCGTGGCGGTGGAAGAGGCCTTCACGCACATCAAGCGCCTCCACGAGGACGAGGTGGCCTCGTCCCCCAAACACCCTCGCGAGGTGATGGATCCTCGGGAGGCGGCTCAGGCCATCTTCGCCCCGATGGCGCGAGCGATGCAGAAATACCTGAGAACCACCCGGCAGCAGGCCTTCCACAGCATGGAGAGCATCCTCACGCACCTGCAGTTCTGCATCACGCACAACATGACGCCAAAGGTAACGAACGAGCAGCGAAAACGCCCGACTTTGAAAAAAAGCGTTTCCACGGTTACTGACGGCCTGCGTCCCCTCCGCCTCAGGCCTTCCTGGAGCGATACCTCTCCCCCGGGCCCACCATGCAGTACCAGCAGCAGACCGGCGGGGGGCGCCAGTGGACCCTGGTGAGCGAGGCGCCGGTGACCTCGGCGCTGCGGCAGGGCCTCGTCTTCTCGCTGCGGCGCCTCGACTTCTCGCTGGTGGTCACGGTGACGCCGCTCCCGTTCCTGCGCCTCGGGGAGGAGTTCATCGACCCGAAGAGCCACAAGTTCGTCATGAGGCTGCAGTCGGAGACCTCGGTGTAAAGAGAGTCGTCGCGCACACACACACACACACACACACACACACGCCCCAAACCTGCCGCGCCGGATCCTGCAGGATCACTGATGCAGCGGGACGTGCAGAGAACGTGTGGTTCACTTCCCATCTATTCCCTCTTGGGACGAAATAAACTATTGACTCCTCCCCCGGTTTTTGTGGTCGTCACAGTCGCTCTGATATCAAACTGTGATCCACTCGCCGATCGATTGAACCTGGATTTAAACGGATGCCTTGACTCCTTCTTCTGTCTTTTACAATAATAAAGGGGGCTTTTTTTCTCCTCTCTTTGCCGTGACCACTGGACTACTTTACTGTGCTGACTCGGCACATGACCATCAGGAGGATGGAGACGGAGGAGGGAAGAGGAGGAGGAGGATTACATCACTTTTGTCACTTCCTCTGTCTTGTTGGCCTCTCGTTACAAACAGACTAACTGACGGAGACGTCGGCGTATCGCTGCCTTTCTTCAAGATGCCAACGACTGTTTGTTTTTTTTACATTAAAGGTTGTGACATTTATCTTTTTGTTTTTATACTACACAGAATGTAGCATTATGTACTTTATTAATTATTTTTAACACACGGCTTTCTGTTCTTTTGCAGCCTTAAGGTCAAACTTTCTTTTTTTTAATTTTTTTTTATCTGACTAAAGAAAAATAGAGGAACACGGCTCAGTTCCTCCAGACTCTCTCTGCTCTTCAAGTGGGTTTTATCTCTATCCTACACTGCCATTTGTACTATTCATTTTACAAAAAGACTAAACAAAGACCCCATCGGTGCCTGTTTTTATCACGCAATCTTAATCGGCTTATTTAACGATAAGGATTTCAAAGTAAAAGCCTGCTGTTATTCCGAACGATGTGTTGCAATACTTTCTGACTTCACAAACATGGTGTAATTCAATGCGCTGCAGTAAAGACAGCAGCTACTGGGGTCCCTATTTGAAGCGAGTGACTAATACGCGCCGCCAGGCTGACATTAACACGTATGTCAGTGCTGCAACGGTAGTTTCACATCAGGCTTTAGTCACACAAATAATAATGTTTATGGAAGATTAGCTCATTTCTTGTTTCGATCTATTCGTGGGATTCAATAAGGTTGAGACGTACGTAGATTGCGTGTCCGGACTCGTCAGACTTCTTTTTATTCAATTGCATTGTGATTGGATTTGTGTATGCAATTTGTAACATTGAAAACGCACAAACACGAGAAGAGGCCTCAGATGTGAACGTGGCTGTAACATTTATCCCCATGACAACCGAGCAACACGGCAACATCATGTACAGTTGTCTACTTCTACATCTATTAATATATTCTGATATAACGTATTCATAGCTGAAAACTTTTTCTTTTACGGATTTAAATGCCAATTTTCGGAGGTCAATTTTCATATTCATGTCCAATCACAATGCAGCCAAACAGCCCAGCGGTTAACGCCAGGAGCTGACCTGTGATCAGATGTCAGATCCCCACCAGTTGGGTCTGTTTTCATTTTTATTTTTTATTACAGGCCGCTGTAATAAAACTGTCAGCTGACTCTTTTTTTTTTTTTTTTTTTTCTTTTAATCCTTTGCAAAATAATATCCCAAACCAGACGTGTGATTGTAACTCCTCCGTCAGCTTCACCGCGCCTTATGCCTCCATCCGACAGCCTTGCTCCTCCCAGATGTGGAGGAGCAGCGACGGGGGGGGGGGGGGGGGGCACATCTGTCCCCAGCCGGACTCCTGCGGGTCCCAAAACTCGCCTGATGTGGAGACTCCAGCCGATCTGCTGCATCCGCTTTACACGACGGACTCTTTTTATTCTTTTCAGTGACAAAATGGTTTAAAAAAAAAAGACCAACCAGCAGGTCCGTGTTAATAGAGGTGCATGTCGAATTTATTCTGGGTTCCAAACCTTTTAAAAATAATAACTTGTTTTCTATCATTTGAAAGGTGCCTAAGTTATTACGATGCAGTCGTCCAATGTTTTTACTCTTTGGAAAACAAGTGGCTTGTAAAAACCTTTTCGTAGATCTGTCCTGTGTTTCGCTGCGTTTGGTAACTGTAGCTGGTGTCGTGTTGCTCAGCTTCCATCATTAAACCATTTATTGCTCACCAGGTCTCCGTCCCGTGTTGTGTAACCGGAGGCCGAAGCCCACAAAACAACACATTCTGCTTTCTGTTTAAAATGTCGTCCTTTTCTTATTCGACGTTTTTGAAAGTGTATCTGTCACTGGAGAACATTTCACTCTGGGGGAGGGATGGGGGGGGGAGGGGGGTGTTTCGCAATAGTTTTAGAGGAACTTCTGTGGAGGGGGGCTGGCAGTTCGGTAGGCGTGTGGTTTTAACAGCTTAAGAAGAAAAAAAAAAAAACCCACCAACACGGACAGAGAGCCCCGGACTTCCTGTTCGCTCACTGAGTTTCACTTCAGAGGATCCATCGAGAGATCGACGCAGGCCGCCGAGACAGACGCCAACCCTCCGCCCCTGAGGCCGCCCCCCCCCGCAAGACTCAGCGGGAATCGACCCCACCCGCACCTGAGAGGACGAAGATTCTTCGCTAAACAGTCGCTGGATACAACGACGTAGAGGCGCTTTCCTGCTGCAGGTGATGTTGATGATGAGGAGGAGGAGGAGGATGATGATGAGGAAGAGGAGGATGATGATGATGATGATCTGCTGTCTGTGTGTTGCAGTGGTGGCTGGAGACATGGACGTGTGTTTCATCTTGGATGGGGTCCTCATCCTTTACGGGATTGTTCTCACCGTTTTGTACTGCAGGCTGAGGGTGAGACAAACAGGAACAACGCACACGCACACACGCACACACACACGGCAGCATGATGCGTGTGAGAAAGTGCACGACTGTCCCTTCAAGGTTGTGTTGGCGTTCTTCAGAATTCTACTGCTGACAGAAATGTGTTCATTATCTGCATAGAAGAAACGAACAGAAGTGTAGATTATTGTGCGATTATGTGTTTGTATGTATTTCTTTGTGTGTATTTTGCTTTCGTGCTTATTGTCGCAGTGTGTATCAGACAGCTGTTCTCCTCCGTTGTCTCATTTTAAAAGACATCTTGAGATTAGGTTTATTAATCTTAATAATTAATTTCTAATCAGTTAAATCTCACACGTTGGAGTTTTTAATTCACACCTGATAAACATTACGTGAATCTCTGGATCATTTGTGCTTTTCGATTTGTCTTTGACAGATGACTCCGACCAACAAGAAGCCGGCCAAAGCCCCTCAGGTGAAGTTAAACTTCTGTGTTGTTCTGGAGAGAAGAACGCGTCAGACGCAGGAGTCATTTCACAAAACGTACCGCGAAATGTTTGATTTTTTTATGTTGGTATTTGCTCCTCAAAAACACGAGTTCTGCTCTAGAGCCCAACCTGGTCCGTTTCCTGTGAGCTCGACCACCGACCGACGTTATTTATATTCCCACACAGTCACAGTGTCCACCGGCTCTTCACACCAGCTTCCTGCATTAAAAGTGCCCTTAAATCTTGATCCTAAAAGAAGAAAGACGCACTTTTAATAATTCCTCCCAACGTTTCTTTTGTCCCGCAGAAGCAGACCGACGAGGGAGGCATCTATGAGGTGAGACCCCCTCATGCAAATGATTAAAAAGACATTTAAAAAGCCACGTGACGGACAGGTGACATCTTAAGGCAGAGGTCTTGACGCGTTAACGTGACGCATTGAGCTTCTCACTGGTCTGACGTTTGTGTCCTGCAGGGTCTGGCCGTTCAAAGCACCGACGTCTACGAGACCATCAAAATGGACAAAAGTCCCGCCAGATGAGGGATGGCGGCTCGTTGCAAAGATGGCGGCTCGTTGCAGAGATCGCGGCGCGTCGCCGGCCTCAGAGCTTTATACTGTATATCAAGAGTTTCTATACGGGACTTTTCTACCCTTTTTCTTTTTGTTGCAAAAACGCTTGTGTGCGAACTGTTCCCAAGAAAACAGAAGTTTAACTTATCGCTCTTTAACTGATCGTGTTCCCGTTTTCTAGTGTTTTTTACTTCACTGTGAGAAGAGAAGCACATAATTCGTTAACTTTAGAAGAAGGGCCTTAACTAATGATCATTTTTACTGTCATAATTCTTTGTGTAAAATGCTAAAATGCTATCTTCTAACGTCTTTCTTAAGCCCAAATACTCCGTTTCCAATGATAAGTCTGAAATATTAGCCAAGTTTCTTGTGTCGGATAAAAGCTGATTCATATTCTGATTCCAAACAGAAATTATGGAGATTCTCACAATTAACAAGATGGAAGTGTAGATTCTTTGTCTTAACATTTCATTAGTCCTGAACAATAAATGATGAAACGCCCCGTAAATACGCTTGGGCTCATTCTTTTAAGTTTCACGTCGCTGTCGTGCAGCGTGTGGAGTCCAGCTCACTTATTTACAGAGAAAACAGTTGTTGATGTGTTTACAGCAGCCGGTGCTCAGCTCGCAACTTCACAACTACACAAGAAACGCACTCATCCAGACTCCTGTTGCAACACAAAACACTCAAGTTGTGCGACGTTTGAATAACATTTTTTTTTTTTTTATCAGGCTACACGTTTGTGTTTATTGAGTTTCAATGTTTTCCTTTCTGCAAAAAGACAATAAATGTATTAAATCAGTTCCAATATGTTTCTTTGTGTGTTTTATTCTGCTGCTTTAAAAAGTTTCCACTCTTGGATTTGATGATCCTAACAGATGTTTTGTTCGGGGTTTCACTTCCATAGAATCTGTATTTTGGGGAGAGAATTGGAGAAGTAAGTGTGTCTGTCTGCTGTTGTAGCTGCGGGTCATTAGATCATCTTCCTGTCTGAGAAGAACCGTCAGGTTTTTTGGGGGAAAAACTGGATAATTTGACATTTCGCACATATTCGTGTTGAGTTCAGGTCTCCTGGGAACTTCAAGCTTCTACAGGTGAGACTTGTTGGTACCACACGCTGCGTGAAGAAAGAACATTTAAAACACAGAAACCTTTTTTAAAGAAAGTGTTGTTGTGGTTTAACACCTGACACGAACAACTGCAGAGGAACTTAGAAGTTTATAAGTTTCCCTCTGTTGTTTTGGGCCATTGAAGCAACGACAAACGATTTTCCGAAGGACACCTCAACGCCGCACCGAAGTGGGCGTGTCCAGGTGTCGCGGGGGGGGGGCGGGGCCGGACGCAGACAGGTGTAGAGGCTCGAACCTGTGCTGTAGTTGCGTCTCCCTGTGCTTGACAGACAAGTAGATGTCTGTTTGGTCAGTACCCGCTTTACTCTCTTTATCTGATACAATTACACGCGTTTACCTCCGTGCGTGTACTTGTACCTCGTGACGCTCCAGGCCGCAGCAGGACCTTTTCGCCGTTCAGGACTCAGCGGTATCACACCGGAGGACAGCGCGTGCAGCGATCCGTATTTTGATTTGACTTCCGATGACGTCCTGAAGCAGAAATCGACCACGAGCGCCCGATAGGAGACAGGAAGGAGATTCCCAGCTTTTATTTTGGTACTTAAGATGGAGACGAAGGGGCACCGACTGGCGGTGCTTTTACTTCTTGGTGAGTTTTCTTTATATTTTACGTAAAAAATTCAGGCAGTTTTTTTTTTAATGACTTGTTCAAAAGTGTCAAACAAATGTGTTGCTTATTGTCTTCTAAATGTTATTGTGATCTGTAATCTATCATGTTTGTGAACAAGAAGATCACTCAATATGTATAGTATAATACTATAATATAGTATTTCTGTGCATGTACTGTGTAAATCCTCACTGTTCATTTAATTAAAATGTCCTCTGATGCAGTAGTTTAGTTCTCGTGGGGGTTACGTACTTCCAGTGGAGGGGAATCTAAAATCAAACTGAGATGGTCTCTTTCGGTTCGGTGCCTCCGTCCTTGGAGCTTCGGTAAAGGCCCTCTCGTGTTTCCACCCGAGTACACAAGGCCAGCTCCCCCAGGAAATAGTCTCACCCCAATGTGGTGTGCAAGAGCTTAACCGCCCCCCCCCCCCCCCCGAAACCCCTGAACTCCTCGGAACGCTCCCTAAACCGCTCGACTCTGAGAAACATCCTGGCAGAATGCCGGTCCCTCCCATTCTTACTTAAAGCCGAATCCCAAGTCATTGCTCAACGTGCATCGTCCTGCTCTCATATTTCTGGTGATTAGCGCTTTGGCCGGATGGCTGCTCTCCTTTTGCCTCCTCGGCCGCGGTTGATTTCAGGCCGTTCTGCTCCAGTTAAAAGGGCCGATGCGCCTCTTAGACCTGTTTTCTCCTTTTGAGCCTGCGGCCGAAGGTGTGATAAACATTCTGCCGTGCAGGAGGGGAACAGGAAAAGCTTGCGTGGCTGCTTGTGAACCTGTGTTTGTCTACTTTGTGTGTGTGCGCCTGACTCCTTTTCAGTCGCTGGTTTATCTCTGTTGACTTTCACCACATGCGTTGATTCCTCGTCGCCGTCCTCTGAGCTCGGTCCCGGGTCCCATGAGGCTCTCTTGCAACTCTTGTTCTTTTCTCTCTCTCTCTCTCCGCTCCTCAAACGGGTCACTGAGGTTTCTTTGTTGGGCGAATTTTAAACTTTCAGCGCGAGGAGGCCCGTGTGTCCTGCGTGGGAATCGATCTGTGAGAGGCCTCCCCGTCCCACGTCGGCCTGCGCTGTAATCATTAATGCAGCTCGGGAATCAGTAACTACAAAAACAGAAAAGTGGCTTCACCCCACAAATCAAAGGGCAAACTGTTGAGTTTTTTTTTTAAACCTTTTTCGAGGTGTCGACGCTCTCTCACGCCCGCTCTCACTCGGTCCCACGCCTCCGCCGAGACTCGACCCAGGTGTGATTAAAGCACAGTCAATCTTAGTCATCAGTCGGGCCCCGGTGACGGCTTCCATTGTGCAACGCCTCCCTGATACGAGGCTCCGCGGGCCGCGCTGCTAAACGCGACGGGCGCTTTGTCGGAAATGTCTTTTGAAATCATTCGATTTTTAGTGCAAAGGAAGCCAAGTAGATGATCGAACGCAAAGGAACAATAGAAAACAACTGAAAGTACAAAAAGGAACATCGGATATAATAAGACATCAGGTGGGTAATGGAAAGAACCATGAGGTTTATCACTAATCGACAGGTAAAATAAAGGTCAGGTGGTCAGACATTAACCAATCTCATATGTTTGACCTTTAAAATTGAACAATTGATCAAGAGAACTTCAAACAGCCGGACGCTCCTTCTGCTCGAGGCTCTTCACACACACACGAGGACCCATAGAAGCACTTTTGTTGCTCCTTCCGCCTGCTTTGTGCGCGGCCGCTAACTGACGGGCGGGTCCGGTGACCCGCCGGAGGCCCGTAGGTGTGTTCTATCTGCGCACTAAGCTGCCGGGGGCCCGCTCTTCACCTCCTGAAGCAATGCATCGTGGGAGGAGGTCACGGCCTCGTGCTCGGGGAGTGAAATAGATGGGGCTGTTTCTCGCGATGAATGCGTTGACCGCGTTAAGAAGGAAAGCCGGTTTGCACTCAGTTCATGTTCGATCAGATGATAAAATACCACAAATACGGCGACGCACTCGTCTGTGGAGCCTCTCCTGAAGTTTCTGACATGGTCTCTGCTCAGCGGCGTGCGCGCAGGCGGACTTCGAGGAGCCCCCTCAGCCCGTCTCCTCCCTGCGCTCCTTCGCCGAGGGCGAGACCCGGCTGCCCTGCCGCTACCGGGCGGAGGGGGAGGAGAAGGTGGTGCAGGTCACATGGTACAAGGAGCTCCCGGACGGCAGCAAGGACCAGATCATCACCGCCCACTTCACAGACGGCCAAACGGGTAAGCAGCAGCAGGGGCGGGGGGGCGGGGGGGGTCATGACCCCTGGCTGAGCGGGTGTTTGGTCATGTGATCACATGATCCGCCCCCATCAGGCTTTTTGGTTTCAGGATGTTGGATATCACAACAGGCCGATCAATGATGCAACGTCCTAGTACGGAAGTACCGCTGATACTTCCTGAAGCAAAAGTACTCCTTCAAAGATACACGTCTTGTGTAAAAGTTCCTCTGCGTGGTAAATTACTTAAAGATACGGATTCATCTTAAAATGTCATTTATAGTGAAGTGAACAACTAAACATGTTTCAACAAGAGAAGCTACTAAAATATTTGAAATAACCAAAGTTGCAATTTAAAAAATCAATGTAATTAATTGCCCTTAAATTATCATTGGGAGTTTCTTGGGGAATTGACACACTTGTCGTTAATCATACTTATAACCTCACAGACGTTTTTAGATTGATTGTTTGCTGGAGTAAAACAAAGCGAGCGTTTATTAAAGGTTTCCCTGTTCCGAGGCCTTTTGGGGGCATCGTGCTGTTTGCTTCATTATCTCCACTTCCTGCTGCTCGTTGCCGCTCCGAGTCGCAACGCAGTTAATGGTTAAGATCGGATCCAGTGGGGTGTGAACGGGCAGCAATAAAAACCCTCAGAGTATTTCATTTGTATTGTTATCTGCATGAATTATTTTAGTGTTTAACTTTCGTTTGGTTGTTTCAGGATTCTAAAGGTAATCTTTCTCAACAGTGACGCACTATAATTATCAGTTGGTTGCGGTCAGAGTAAAAGTGAGTGTATATTCAGCTTAAAGTCCACAGCAAACCAGGCCTGCGACACACAATAAACTATCTAATTCATATTTATTTTGAATTTTTTTACAATTTGGGCGTATTTCACCAAACAGAAGTTAAGCTTCATTCCAATAAATCTTCACTCAATGAAAAGAGTTCAGTTGAAAGTTCAACGGAAGCTAAATAACTGATAACGGCCTTTTTCTTCACTGCTTACATGCAAATGTACTGATGACATCATTAAATGTTAATGGGCACTAATGTCCCGCAGGGTTTATAAACTATTTGAGCATTTGAATTGTCCCCATATGTCTCCGGTCCTTCCTCCGTCCCGTAGAGCTCTTTCTGTGTGACGGGACGATGGACGTGTCGTCTTTGCTTTTGTGCGTCAGAGTTCGGGCGCTACTCGGGCCGGGTGAGGTTCCAGAGCGGGACCCCCACGGTGGACTCGACCCTGCTCATCCCCAGCACCGAGGACTCGGACCAGGGCAGCTACACCTGCCACATCTCCACCTTCCCCAACGGGAACTTCGAGAGGCAGATGACGCTCACCGTCTGGGGTGAGAGAGGCGTCCCCCTGCTTTCTCCCTCTCTCTCTCTCTCTCTCTCTCGCTCCCACACTCCCCTAATCCCATCAGAGCTGCTGTAATGATGCTTCAACCGCAGCCGTCTTTCGCGCAAAAGACAAAAGGACATTCCGCTGCTCTTGTCAACGTTTGTCCCCGACGGCGCGGCGCGTCTCCAGGCTCCTCGGGCGGAAAGAAAAAAAAACAAGCCAGGAGTTTGTAACGACCTGAGATTACTTGAGTTTTGGAGTTGAACCATAAAGTGAACGAGTGATGTTTCCAAAGTCAAGTCATCTTTATTCCTGGAGCCCTTTTACCCATTTTATTCACGCGATAGACGGAGGCAACAAGAACCAAACTAATATTTAAGTGCAGACGTGCATGAGTCACGGAGCCGTCAGCAGGTGCAAGGTGTCCAAAACTGTGTCTTCTCTCCATGAGGTGAGCTAGAAACGTCCACCAGGTGTGTCCTCTGTCTCATTGAGCACAACCAGCAGTCGGCTGGTTGTCTTGCGTCCCTGCTTGTTGAGACTGTTGACTGGATCCGCCTCCTATCCGTCCTAAATGTCTTTCCCTCGTTGCTGGCGACAGCTCAGCGGGGGGGGGGGGGGGGGGAGGGGACACATGTCCCGACTCGCCGCGCTAACTGCAACCCGACAACCTGCAGCGCCGGATTCCCTCTCCGCTCCTCGAACGCGGGGCGTCGGGGAGTTGCAGCCCGTCCCTCGTTTAAAGATTAAAATGCTCCTTGACATTTGCAACGTGCAGAACATCGTTCCCCGCGGGACGTTTCTTCCCACAGGCCGCCTGTCAATCAACGCACCGGGAGCGCTGCCGTGACGTCACGTGTGTGTGTGTGTGTGGGCCTTTTTCCTTTTGTGCATTAATCCATGACGTGTATTTCTGCCGATGCTAAGCACCGGTTTGAGTCTCCTGCGTTAATAATCCCATCGGCGGTGGAGCGCTGGGCCGGAGGGCGCGGCGCGAACCAGCAGCGGGTTAAACAGGTCGCTGGCGGAGAGCAACAACGCGAGCGCTTTCATGCGGAAATACCTCGGGTGACGCTCGCGTACACGTGGGTTTTTTTTGTCTTATTGCGCGTCGTCCCCTCGGAGGATCGTCTCCATTGTTAACGTGAGGTCGGTTCACCGCTGTCCTCCGTCTGTCTCTCACTCCTCCAGTAAACATTCGTCTTAATTGGGACTTAAGTCTGTTTTTTTTATGACGACATTCTCATCTGAATATTTCAGTGGTTGTTGCTCAAACTTGTCCCGCGTTGACAATCACTTAAGCATCCAGTGACGTCCTGGTTCTAATGAATCTAATTACAGCTTCTTTAGGTAATTTCAGGTAATGACGAAGTTACCCGGAGCCGCCGTTAAGAAGCATTAATTAACTCTTAATGCAGTAATTCTAGGCAAGATGACAATAAAAGTGTTTTTGTTCACGTAAAACACACAAAGTAGTGTCGTCTATAAAAGCAAGAACGATGATCCACAACATAGAAAATACTTTATTTAAAAAAAAAATGAAGTTGATTTAATTTCTTTTAGGAAAGTCCTTTTGTTGTTATTGACATACTTCTTTTAAATAAGAACCGACTGATATTTAAGAGTAATATCATGGATTTTCATTTCGAGCTCAATTTAAAGTAAAGTAAACATTTGACTTTCAGCAGATTGACGTTCCAGTGAAATGACAATAACCTCTTCTTCTTCCTCCTCCTCCTCTTCCTCCCAGTTTTACCCATCTCCTCCCTGGACCCCGTGCTCCTGGTGGAGGGCCAGTCGTTCCGCGTGGCGGCTTCCTGCCGAGCGGTGGGCCGCCCGGCCCCCCGTCTCTCCTGGGACACCGACCTGCCGGGCCAGTCCCAGAACCGCTCCAAGGAGGGCGGGTCCGTGTCCAGCTACTACTCGCTGCACCCCCTGCGAGGCATGAACGGCAAGAAGCTGGACTGCCTGGTGTGGCATCCCGGCCTGCAGCAGCCGCGCAGGATCCCCAACAGGCTGGTGGTCCAGTGTGAGTACGGCTGATGATGATGATGTCAGTGATTTCAGGCCAATAGAAACGGTGGAATCGGAAGTAAAGCAGATGGAGAGATGTGCAGATTAATGTCTGTGTTCTGTATTGACTCTGGCTCAGTGTTTGACTCGTAGCATGAAACCGATTAATGGTCATTTAGTGAGTTTGTGCTACCAGAGCAAACCCGCCACACGCGACGTGGTTGATGACGTCTGACTGCTGACTTTGTCGCTGTGACTGTTTAAAACTTCTCTGAATTAGTACGCAGTTTATAAAAAGGACTCTGGTGCATTTTGGATGTCCGGTTCAACGCCCCCCGTCCCCTCCCTCCACTACGTGAGGTATTTGTCCATTGCTATTTGCTTAACCTTTCCATTGGGAAGATAAATGGATGGCAGCAAACTAAACATTGGAGAATATTGTCAGGCTGCTGGGAAAGTGTTTGACTAATGCGTCGACCTCCAACATCACTTTCCTCTCCGGTTCCTTGCGAGCGCACAAAGGCTCTTTGTCCGGTTCAACGTGAGGCCTCAGAGGAGGGACGTCCCGACTTCACACTCCACCAGAAACCAGATGACTTCCGGCTCCACCAGGACTTCAGATTATAAACCTTAAACACAAATCTCCTCAGTAATGTTAGTCCAGAAACATCGTGCGTGATCATCTCACTACACGACGAGCACTTTCACTTCTAAAAAGTGAGCGTTGAGACTGAGAAGTGCCGCGTGAATGTATAAACATCACCGCCGTGTGCTGCAATTAGACCAATTTCAGTGTCACTTTGTATCCGGTGGCTGCGCGTGTCTCTGACGGCAGCCGACAGGATGTAAACCTGCAGGCAAGCGGTTGCCTGGCAACGCCGTTCTGCTGTAGCGCGGTCAGACGAGTACCGGTGCGTTCAATGGTTCAATGGTACGAGGAAGTTTGAGAAGAGCTTTTAAGTGCGGCCGTTTTTTCCAAAACAAAACCGTCTTGCACGTGTACGCGGACTTTTCACGCCGCCGCTAAAAACTCCCTTTTCCCGCCTCAGACCCCCCGGACGCCACCATCTCGGCTGAGACGCGCGACTGGGTCGTGGGTTTGGAGAGAGCCGAGCTGTTGTGCGGCAGCGGAGGACAGCCCAAACCTCAGAGCGTCACCTGGACGCGGTACGGTGATCGCACGCACACACACACACACACACACACACACACACACACACACACACACACACACACACACAGACCAAACCCCTGCGCACAATAAGGACGCGTGTCTTGAATGTAAAGGAGGGCGTCTTCCTCTCCCAGAATAAAAGCTGCGGTGTCCTGTTGCACAGTTTGGAGCAGATTGAGGGGGCGGCGGGGGGGTTATTTTCACACGGGGGAGGGAGGAGGCGACGCGAGGAAGAGCAGGAGACGCACGCTAAGCGCTTAATCACAGTGCCGTGCTTTAAATATCACTCTTAATAGCTGGTAAAACACCGGGTCCGTGCTTAAATTAGAGACACCGTACCAGCCAATTACGGCTCCGAGCCAACACACGGGGCTCAGGTGTTGGATGCGATTGGAACATATTTCATATCTGGAGATACCGACAGTATTCCGGATTGACGTTTTTCCATCGAGGCTCGTTCAGTCGGCGTTAAAGCCGCTCGGAGCCTCCGGCCCGCGTCCCGTCCCGTCCCGTCCCGTCCCGTCCCACCTCCAACTCATCCCAATAAATGCCACACGCTGGGAAAAAAAAACGCACGGAGAACCTTAATAGAATAAAGAGCAGTTTAGCTTATTTCCCGCAACTGTGAAATCTGAGCGTTTGATTGATTCCACGGTCGCGTCTGCGGGGGTAAAATGTGAAGCTCCGACCTTCAGAGACTGGAAACGCCCGGAGTGACTAGAGAAAAAAACATCCTGCCTGCAACTAATTTCATGGGTATTTTGAGCAATCTCACAGATCGAGGAAATGGATTAGGATCTTTTTGGCTGCCGAAGCTGGTTTCGCTCCCTTTATCTTTTATCTGTATCATTTTTCATCCATTTACCGCCTGTCAGATACGATCTTTCACCTGTGACTCTGTTATAAAAGGCTGATGGGGGGGTTGGAGAAAAAGAAATGTGAGCCTGGGCCTGTTTCCAGGGGGGGGCGAAGCTGCAGTTAAATAGCCGCTGCTGCAGCTCCGGAGGGCAACATGACCCGTCTCAGAGGACCCGATCACAGACCGACCTCTCCTTTTTGTGGGACGTCTTCAGCTGCACTCGCTCAACTCGTTTAAACACCCTCCACCCTCTCCCCCCCCGCCCGTAACGCAGCATTCACTTGCACCGTGCAGATCAATGGGCGCGCGTTTCACAACGGGGTTGTTGTTGTGAGCAGGAATGCGGGTCGGCTCACATCGGACGGCAGTGAGTCACAGGTTTCTGTTTGGTTCAATCGATCGGGTTCCCATGGTTGCGAAATCGCCGGTGACGCCGCCGCGCTGCTCTCGCCCAGCAGGAGGGGAGGAGCGCTGCCGGACGGGGCGTCGGCGATTGGAGGGAAGCTGGTGTTCGTGCGGGCCCTCCGCTTGAATGACAGCGGCGTGTACGAGTGCCTGGTCAGGAACGACGTGGGAGAAGGAAGAACCGAGTACACGTTGACGGTTAAAGGTGAGCGTGGTGCTCGAGGTCCCACAGGAGGAAGATGAGAAGCTCTCCCGTTGTTGTGTCCTCATAAAGTAAAGTCTAATGTGATTTTTCCCCAATGTGGGATTAATCCTGTTTCAAAGTGTCTTCTGCTTAATTGTGCGAGTCTTCTGCCCCCTTGTGGATGGATGAAACTGATCGACCTCGTTTAGGATCTAAATGGGGCCCCTCACAATATTCACCGGATGCCTCCCCGTCTTCGTCTTTCTCCCAGAGACGTCTCGACAGGAGGTCTCCGTCAACAACATGCTGCTGATCATCATCGGGGCCTCGGCCGGAGCTCTGGTCCTGGTCCTGGTCCTGATCGTCCTGCTGGTCAACCGGCACCATCGAAACAAAAACAAAAAGCTCGAGTTGGAGCTCAGCGAAAAGACGTAAGCCGGCCCACGTGTTTGTTTTCCTTTATTCCTCACAACCCGATGACTATTTAGTTCTTAACTGCCAATCAAACCAGTTTACACGCTATTTTCTGAAACCCTCAAAAGGCCTCGTTTTTGTTTTCTCAGAGAGGAAATTCAAAGTTTCTCCAGACAAGCTTCCTTCAGGAGGCTGAACTCCGTCAGCACGGACCCCAGATTGCACGTACGGACACACACACACACACACACACACACACACACACACACACGACAAACCTGCAGGTAGAGACACACATTCAGCGTTCTCTTACTTTCTCCGTATTGCAGCCTGAAGATTACGCTGTGCTCCGGGTAGACAGCCGGATGAAGAGCAGCCAGATGTCTCTGGTGAGTCTCAGCGCTGCAGCAGTTACTTCGTTCCGGGATCTGAAATGTGACCGTGTGGAATCTTCTCTGTCACATGTTGGCAAATTGAAGGAGCGTCGCAACAAAAGTCGCAGCATTACTGACCCAACGATCCAATATCACGGCTGACGAGAATAAAACATCCAAACAAAAACTGTCACAATGTTTTGTTTTTTTTCCCCAAAAAACGCAGGAGCGACCCGCCTCCACAGTGAGCGGGAGGTGGGGGCCCCCGGCGGGGGTGGAGGTGGACGAGCTGGGACGCCCCGTCGTCTGGCGCGTGGGCGGGGACGGCACGAGAGGAGCGGGGAGGGACGGGGAGGAGGTGGAGGAGCGCAGGAGGAGGGTGGAGTCGTTCCTGAAGGACAGCAACATGTCACTGGTACGTGTCAGCGGTCCGGGGGGGCGAGGTCGGGGGGGGGTTATAAATAAGGACCAATAGCCGCTCACCATGCACGACCCCTCATCCTCAGGGGATGGGATTTGTCTTATACAGCAGCATTGTACACTTTACATTTAGATTTCCTCTGTTTTTGAAGCAGATCACTTACATTGTGTAATACAGCAGTGAGGCGTTGAGACCAAACAGGCACCGTGTGAACCAATAGGAAGGAAGGACGCTTTGGAAAGTGTCCCCTCGCAGACGCTAACGTGCTCCCGTGCCGTTTACACCAGGACTCAGGTCTGCCTTCTTCCCTGGTTCCCCTGAAGGCCCGGCAGGACGACGGCGTCGGGCCCAGAGAGCCGCACCTGGGCCACCTGACGGAGGTGGAGGACTGGGGCCCCGCCCAGCCGGTGGCCGAGGGCCATGGGGACGCCGGGGACAAGGACGACGACGAGGAGGAGGAGGAGGACGACAGCGGCTCCTACCAGCTCTCGAAGGCGCTCAACAATCACTTCTACTCCAGCGGCGGGTTCCTCAGGCCCAAGCCTCACTCCAACGCCATCCTGCTGCACCCCAGGGGACAGATCATCTAGACGCCCGTCTGTCCCCCGAAGCAGGACGGGCGGCCGGTGCCGTTCTCTCTCATGGGGATGTTTCTGTGCAAACTGACTGCAGTGCGTTTATTCGCTCATTGACAATCCAAACTTTTATTTTTAACACCCGGACCGTGAGTTTCGCTCACGTTCTTCTCACCCAATGAGTTTTTTTTATGCCTTTTTTTTTTTTTTAATTGGATGGCCGACAGCGGGGAGACAACAGGAAACGAGGTGCGAGTGAGTCGGCGGATAAAGCCGCCGGCTCTGGCGTGAACCAGAGCCGGCGGGGAAGCTTTTTCACCCACATTACTTAGCTGACGGAGAGTTACAGGAGCGGGCAGTCGAGTTCTGCCTTGCACAAACCTCCGGGGGGGAGTGTGAAAGTCCTTCTCTCCTCGAACACGGGCGGAGTCGAGGTTCCGTGACGCTCGCTGTGGCGTCTATTGTACCGCAAAGACAAAGGCACACTTGATCTCGACAAACCGCTTCAGGTGCCGCGTTGACATCGAAAAACATTCAGGGACGATCACACGGACTCGACTTCTCCAACTGTCCCAGCGGCCCAGTCGAGATGAATCTGTAGTGTATTTGGTATTTTCAGCTTTAACGCACCTGTAGCTAAGCGGTGTGTACGTGTATTATGTGAAAGGAAACACTATGAGGAGATACTTTATTATTTTGTCAAGAGGTCAAAAGGGCACAAGAACACAACCTGGATGTTAAAGGGGTTTAAATCAAATCGCTGCACAGGAAGGACGGACTGGACCAAACATGCAGGAGATGAACTAAAGGCAGCTGCGTGTTTCGTCGCGTGAATTGTTTATATTAATTGTCTTTTTCTATGAAACTATAAAAAAACAATACTGCCATGTAAATATTGAAATGTTTATTCATAAAAGTACAGCATACAAAGTAATTGTTCTTAATGATTTGCCTCTCGTGAGGATAAAAGGGCGTCGCTGATCCAGCTGCTGCAGTAACATGGTTTTATATCACATCTGGTTTATTCTAGTTCAGATGTCTGACTTAAGTTTGTGGATAACAGGCGAAAAACAGATTTTCACAGGGTGGCTGGTCTCTGTGTGACCGAGTGGTGAGTTCAATGACCTCGTAAAACCTCCCTATTTAATGAATAAAGCGTCATTTTGGGAAATAGGCTTATTCTTTCTTTGAAAGGGTTGTCATGTCTTCGTGCTAAGCTCATCGGCGGGTGGTTGTGGTTTCACATTTAACAAAAGCGGAAATCGTACCAATCTTTTTCCCAAAATGTTAAGCTGTTTCTTTAGGCTGCTGACCCTCCGCTCAAAAAGTGCTAAGAGGAGCCGTCCCGTCCCGACGCGCGGTGGGACAACGGCGGCTCGGCAGTTCGATCCCGAGCTGCGCCGCCACGTCCTCGGAGGTGATGCGCTGCCAAACAGCTGCTGAAGGCTGTGCGATCAATTTTTTTTTTTAGATCCTGATCAGTGGGTGAAAGAGAAATGTCTGCATGTAGTATCGAGTGCTTTGAGTTGGTCCACTTTTTTTTTTTTTTTTCTTGGATTTTTACCACACAATTTACATTAAATGAAATGCACATGTGACCGAACCTGGCGTTGGCATTACAAAGACAACACACGACGCAAAGGCGACCGTTCGATGAAGCCGAGGTGAGTCCCGCCCTCTCAGCGCTGAGGTTGCCTTCTTCATCACGCGTGTTCTTTTTCAGCCACGTTGAGCCCGTGGAAGTCGTCGTTCAGCCGTGTCCCTGTGGCCGGACGTCTCCTACGGGTTTTTCTTTTTCGACCGGCTGCCGGGTTTAAAAACCAAAATCAGTCCTCACGCTCAAAGCTATGTTAAAACTGATAATTCTCATCATAATAATCTCCGAAAAAGAAAGGAAGTGCACAGTAAAATCCGTGGGCTACATTACTTGGCGGTAATATTCAAAATATAAATGTCATCTGTTCGTTCAACTACGCGCGGACACTTGTGGCTTGTCGCTCACTACTGGATCAAAGCGGCGTTGTGGGAAAGCGCCTCTTTGTGCGTCCGCATGTGCGTGCGCAGGTTGCTCCTCTGGGAGAAGCACTTGCCGCACGTGTCGCACGTGTACGGCTTCTCTCCCGTGTGGATGCGCTGGTGGATCTCCAGGTGGCTGACGCGGTCGAAGCTCTTGCCGCAGAACGGGCAGATGAACCACTTCTCCTTCAGGCGGCGGCTCGCTATCGACTTCTGCGTCTCGGCGTCGCTGAGGAGGAAGAACCTGCTGTCGGGGTTGAACGCCGACGCGTTTTTAGTTTGCGGTTGTTTCTCCGCCAGGAATCGGATGGACACGCCGCCCTCCGGGTGATTCGGCGCTTCCACGGGTTGGCTGTGCTGAGGTCGCGCGGGAGTCACGGGAGGCCTCGGTTTGCTCGAGGCGCCGCGTCCGCTGTCCCTCGCCAACCCGTCCGAGTACGCCGTCTCCGCTGAATCGTCAAAAAGGTCCAGAGCGTTCTGAATGAGCAGGATTTCGGAGTCCAGGTTTTGCGACAGCTGCTTCGGCTCGAAAAAGCAGTCGGAGTCGTCGTCGGTGTCGCCGTCTCCCACGGAAACCGACGACCAATGCCGGCTCTCCTGTTCTTCCGCGACCTCGGCGGGTTGGAGGTCCAGTTCCATCTCCTGGTGACCCGCTCCGTCGGCGGCGTGCTCCACCAGGTCCACCACCTGCTCCACGATCTGGACATCGTCCTCGTCCTCCAGCTTCACGATCAGGTCTTCGCCGTCGTCCCTGCAGTCGCTTCCGCAGACGTCCGACTTGAGCTGCTCGCGTCGCTTCACCTCGGGCTGCGATGGGGGCGGCGTCCTGTGATTGGCCGGGGCGTCCGCCGCCTCTCTGGCGCTCGGATCCGATGACAACGTCTGGACAGAGTGTATAATCAGCCCTGAAACAGCAGAGCGGGTGCATGTTCACCACGTGCGTTGAGGTACGTACGTGCACAACGTAGATGTGACGATCACCATTTTTTATAAGTAAGGATTTGAAGCGACGTTGAACCAGTTTTAAGTAAAAGGCGACGCATGATAAACATAAACAATGGCTCCTTATCAACACAGATCAGGGCTGCAATTCATGGTTAATGAATAGATTCATCGGTTAGTCTCGTAATCTGATCAAATGATGATACTGTTTTTAATCCGACTACCAAAACCTGCAGGTATTTGGTTTAAAAAGGATATAAAACTTGTGTTAAACTATTTTGGAACACATACATTAACTAAAACTAACTGAAAATAATTGCAGCCCACGTCTAATGAACTAGACAGAAGAGAACTGAGAAAAGCAGAAAACTCAACATTTGAGAACCCGCAACCTGTAAATGTCGCAGAGTTGTTGCACACTGCTTTTCCCTTTCCCGAAAGGTCAGAGGTCACCCTCACCGTCTGCGGGGCGCGGAAGCTTCGAGGCGGCCGGCGGCGACGGACCCGTCGCCCGCTCGCTCTCCATCATCGCGAGCCTCCTGCTCAGGGCTTCGATCTCGCCCTCCCGCCGGCGGAGCTCCAGCTGCACCAGCGCGAAGCCGTCCTCCCACAGCTTGCTGATCTCCACCACGGCGGCTTTAGCGAGCATCTCCATGATCGAGGTTAACTTGCTCTGGAAAGCCACGCAGTTGGCCATGTTTTAAACCCCTCGTTTCAACACTGTCACACACACACACACGCCGGGCCCCGCCCCCCCTCCCCCCTGGCACCAGCCCCCCCCCCCCCCCCTCTCTCTCCCCGGGGTCGGCCGCTCCGACAGCTGTTGCCACGCGACGGGACGTCGAAACTAACTTGTGCGAAAAGAATCACCCGCTGTTGTTTTTACATCACGGTCGCTGAGGCGAAAAACATGGGAGCGTGAAACAACAGTAGCAGGAAACGCTGGCGGTCACGTGACGCGGGGGAGATACGGCGCGGGACGTAGGACAAAAGGGCGAAGCGGCGAAACGATAAGATAAGCGAACGTCAAAAGAAGGTTGGTATCGGACAAACAACGTGGTTGTAAGCACACAGAACACACAGTTCTACCAATGAACATTGATACTTTTAATAAAAAATATATTTTGGTCAATGTATGTGTAAAAAATCCTCAAATAAAATAGTTACATTAAACATGTTAGGCCCATTACAGATGCTTTTCTAATCTTTGTCGCTTATTAACTTAATTTATGGATATAAAACTTTGAAAAACCAAAAATAAGTAAAGAATTAACAAGACGAAACTGATTAACATATGTTGTGTTGATGCTTAAATACACTAACATGTTTTCCGGTAGAAGGTAAAATGACATTATGTCATGGTAAGTCTACAAAAATATCTTTAAGGGTGTGTACATTTTACAGAACCAAGAGGCAATGGTTTCAGTATTGTGATCTCATAAGGCCCAGCTAAAATCCGTATTATTGAATCAGACAAAAATTAACCCTAACTAGATAACACTTGAAATCATTCAGAAATAGTTGTCCAAAAAGTTGAAAGCAGAGAAAAGTCTGGTTATTACGACAGTAATATTATTTTGTTCAATTACTGTAATTTTGGATTAATGGTGCAAAGGTATTCACATTTGTAAAATAAACACATAAGTACTAAACCCAAATCTAGGGCTTTTGGTGGAACTAGCCAGTTGCACGCTTTGTACTATTATTAATACATATATGTATAGCAGGACTATTAGATGAGCTTCTATTAGTAATACTCAGTGAATACTATGGACAATCTCTGGAAAATCAAAATGCCTAAGAAGCCATAACAGCGACTGATCAAACATTTTTGTTTTCTATGGCTTATTTTATGATCATGATAATGATTTTAATCATATACACACTATAATCAGTGGTGAAAATGGGCCTTCATCATATGAAGCAGCACAGATGAAAGCAGTGTAGTTCAGTGCTGTTGAAAGTCTGATCCTGTTTGTTACTCTTACAGGACGAACTCGAGGAGTGACAGAGATGACGCGTCCCGTATCAATGCTTCAATCCTGGACCAACACCTTTTCAAATAAACTGCCCGTGTTCCAAACGTATGAATCCATTTTCACTAGAACGCGTCACCAAACTGATGCCTAATGTATGTTTAAAGCAACTGAGCACACGTGTGCAGTGTTCTGCTGCTGTTGGAGATTAATGTGCACAGCAGCGCTGCCTCGCATTGTCCACCAGATGATGCTCTATCTCCATGAGAGCTAATGTCAAAGCGCCTGCCCTTGCATTCTATCAAATTAGATCCTATTTAACCCATACACATAACTTATCCATTAGTCGATCAATTCCCAAGGGGATTTTAGTCATTCACAAAATCTGCAAAAGTTTTATTCAGTCTTTAAGAATTTCACCCACTGTCAAAATGAATAGAGGCAATGCCTTCATCTTTTTCAATTTGTTGCACATCGAAGAGATTCTGGAAGACGCATTTATGATTAAATAAAAACAAAAGTAGCAGTGGCTGAGTTTGCGATTATTAACTAAAAAGTTTTTTTTTAATTTTGCAGAACATTTTTGTCAAAAAGTAGCTGTTACCTGCCTGAATAATATTGATCTATCGCATCATACTTTTTTCCAATGTATTTATGGTGTCTTTCAACTGCTTGGACTTATGCTTTCTCTCATTTTGTGTTACCTTCCTATAGTATTCATCTTCAAAAGAGATGTACATATAGACTTGTACTTGAAAACTAATTTAAGATAAGTGTGAAGTGAACTTCAAGAACTCTAACACTTGTTTTCTGTTCTTTCATTCTTACTTTTAAATTACGTCATACCCATACTGAAATACATATATATGTTTGTTCCGTTACTTTTTCATTATTATTATTAACTGTCTCAGTATTTAAGACGCGCCTTCACATACGCACGGATTCCCCGGCCAGTGATTGGTCAATCTACCTGCCAATCAAACGTGGGCGGGTTAAGCCCGAGTCACTCGGTGAGGGCGAAGCGGCGGCGGAGCTGTCAAACGGCAGCAATCGGCTGAAATAATTTCACGGACGGTGCGAAACACGTCGTACTTTGCTCTTCAGCGGCAACGAGCAGGACGGACGCGTACTTCGAGAGCACTTTGAGCATTCCGCCTTTGGGAATTTGGACTTCTTAACCGCCGGCGACGAAAAACTTCCTGTTTTTTCGTGTGTTGCTGTTGCCGTGCTAACGTTTGTTAGCTCTTCGCTTAGCTAAGAGTTTTGTTGACATTTAGCCGCGCAGCTAGTCGCGCAGGAGCCGCGGGACCTACTTTTTTGTCGTTTCGTGCCGGTTTCGCTCGTCGTTTTCCTTTAAATGCGACCCGACGGGAAGGCATGGCGCCCGGCTTCTACTGCACTCATTCCCAGGAGATAATACGAGGTAAGTCCGCGCAACTTCATCGACGAGTTCAATAAAACAGCGACCTGCGCTGCTTTTTTTTTTTTTAGGTTTGTTTACGTTGCCTTTTCTGGCGTTGGTTCATCTCTTTTTCTTACTCATCCAGTCACCTCTGTTTAACGCCACATGTTGCATGAAGCTGTTTTTGGCAGCATCGGCTCATTAACTGTCCGCGGGATAAAGATAATGTGCAGGTTTCGGTTCCGCCCCGCGGACTCGTTCATCGCTTTAAACCCCGGAGGAATGACAGGTATGTCATTACCGCCCAGCACAATGGATGCGGTCAGATGAGCGGCTTCTTCTTCTCACTTTAGTCCAATATGCCTCTGCTCATCTACTTGACAAAGATGCCTTTTTCTCCCTGTGTGAAACGAGACCGCTCAGTTATGTGAATGCTCTGAGAAAAGGCGTGTTTGTAGTTTACATTTATCTTTTCTGAATAAGTGATTTTTGTTGTTGTTGTTGTTTTCTCGTCTTTTGTGATCCAAGTATACACAACCACAGTGTGTCACACACACATTCACTCACGCCCGTTTAATTCCCCATGCCCTTCAGAGACACTTTTAACCCTCGCTGCAACCTGTCATTACAACATCACTTAAGTTGTGATTCATTGCTGACGTTTTCTATGGGCCTGTAATCCAGTGGGACACAGCTGGATACCGCTCGGTCGTTGGAACGCGTGGCCTGAGGCGGCTTGGGAGACGTCCCATCTGGTTTGGAGAAGCAACAAGCCACATTTTTACAGACCCCCTCCAAAAAATGAGAAAATTCCGCCCTTTTCCACGCCGCGCGTCCCTTTGCTGTGGTGTCGTAAAGCCGAGCCCTGAGAGCACGCGGGCAGCAGCCGGTAGTTTAGAAACAAATATAGTATTGCACGCTGGTGGCGTGTCAATTTCCTTTCTAATCACTTTCATCAAAAAGATTTCCTGCAGGACGGCTCATTGCGGGTTATCGTATTTCTCAGCATTCCGGGATTGTGTGCTGTCGTCTCATTTTTAAACGGTGTGTAGTTGTTTTGTAGCATGTGGCCGAGGTGGTCCTCTTTGTAGTTGGGATTTGTTGATAGATTGACGATGTCTCTCTTTTTTTAATGTTTACCGCAGAAGTGGGTGTCAGTTTGGTTTACTGCCTCAGGCTGGAAACTTCATCCTGAAATGAAGATGGATATTTACATTTCACAGAATTCCGCTTACTTCGTTAGAGTTGGCGGCATTTGCACGATTGACATTCTAGTTCGCGTGGGACGTTTGGCTTTGAGCGATGATGGAGGTGAGTGTGGGCACACCAGCTCTTCTCTGTGGCTTCCAGCTGTTTTGAACCTACGGAGAGTTTCCGTCTCACTTGCTGACCTTCTCTGATTCAACGACGCAGAACAAACTGTGTGTCCTCTCTGTCCCCCGGATGGGGAAGCTGCTTAAATGAGCGAGAATATCCTCGCCCTCTGCACTTGTGGCACACTGGCACTTCTATTTGGACCGTACGATTTCAGCAAGGCAGAAAATAAAATGTCCTTGTAGAGTAAAGAGAACGTGGATGATGAACAGCTTTGTAGGGATGCGGCTGGAAGAGAGAATCGTGTCAGAAGTCGTCCGCTAGATCTGCAGAAACCCTCCGGTCTGGTTTCTGCGGCGTAACGCTGATGGACCAAAGCACAACCATGTCATCTCCATGTGGTTTTAAGTTTCTGATCTTAGGAGACCTCTTCTTGACCCAAGATGGTCTCTGTTGTTTCTGCTCGGGCTGAAAGTAGGTCACTTAAGTGTATTCCTTTTAAAAATGCCACTGCTCCTTTCCCATTACTGGAAAACAACCTACATTACATCAGACATGTATGACTGATGTGTTACTGCTAATAACAATCTGAACGTCTACAATGGGAGACTGTTGGTAAAAGTGATGGTGTTAACCTTCTTCATGATGTGCATGACCTCCTTTTGGGTAATATATAGTATAGTAATACATTCACCTCAAAGGAAACGTTTGTCTGGGTTGAACTTTTCTAAATTTCCATGGTGAAATCTTCTGTACAAGCCAACAGTCATTTCTGCTCCAACAATAATGAATGATTAACTGATTCTCTGAATAGGCATTTCCATTTTCTGCCAATCATTACAGGCACTCTGTGCGTTTTCTCATGATTTAAACTAAAGTAATGTTTACATCCGGTGTTAATCACAAAAGCTAACCCCACCTCCAAGTGTCGCAAAACATATTTACATTAATGATTCATTCTCTGGAATAAAGTGTTCCTAAAAGTTGAACATGAAAGCCACATTGTTTCGGACCTTAAGCCACAGGCTCCCTTTCCCGTTGCCCTTTGTACCCTGCTGACTTTGTTTTGGATGGCAGGAAGGTCCCGGACCCAAACTATTCCTTGGCTAATCTCCCATAATTGGACAATCGGCCCCTATTACAGCCATTACATCTGGGCCTGTTGAGCAGTGGTGGCTTGTCTCGTCCATCCTGAGGCCTTTCCCAGATAGCAACACCGTTTTAATGGAATTGTAGCGCGGCAGCTTTTGTTGGATATTTCAAGGTGTGTAATGCTTCACTATTAAAACAGCATTCACAAAAAAGATGGATTCTTTTGGCTCAATCGTTGATTGCTGATCACTAAATTCCAACCATTGTACTCTTAAAATACTCACAGAAAAAAATATGTAAATAAAGTTTTCTCTTTACTGTCTCTAGGTCTCCAACGGCTCCCGATACATCTGTCGGCCATGTGAGAACCCTCTCGCCCTGGTGGACTTTGGTGGACCCGACCAGGCTGCGTCACCAGCGGGTGCCCGAAGCTACAACATCAGACTGAAGTCTATGCTTGTGACACATTCTCTCCCAGGACGCAAACCCAGTAAAGTCCGTGCTGCCGTGGAACCCTCGGCCCCGTTAAAACAATCCAGTGCTCCTGTCATGTGGGTACGTTGCAGAAAAAGGCCCATAATACCCTCACTGGTGTCCCCGTCTTTCACGTCACCATGGACCGGAATAAACGCAACTCCATCGCTGGGCTTCCCACGCGACCCGAGCGCATCGGCGAGGACGGAGCGGGTGTGGGAGGGGAAGGGGGCGGCGAGATGGGCGCGGGGTCGCCTTCACAGGTCAGTCGCTGTTGTCTTATTTCAAGCGTTGTGCAGCGCATACGTTCTTTATAGCAGGCTTAAGAATGTAAAACAAAGAATGTTGAGTTATGACACGCACACACGCACAATATTAACAATCACGACCCCCCACGGGGGTGTGGAATCAGTATTCTCTTCCAACCCCCCCCCCCCCCCCCAGCATGCCCATCAGATCAAGGTGTAGGCCTGTTGGTAACCAGTCAGGTCTTGTCTTCTCCAGGTGGGCAGGGTGTGGCCGTCGTCCTACAGAGCCCTCATCAGTGCCTTCTCATGTCTCACGCGCCTTGATGACTTCACCTGTGAGTGGATTGGCTCTGGATTCTTCTCTGATGTCTACAAGGTGGGTTGTAGACGATCTCCTCGTCCGCCGGACGCTCTCCGTCAGATAACACTCGACTCGTTTGACCCGAGGAATGATTTCTTTTTCGTGCTTGTGCCGTGGTCACGATTAATAACGGGGAGCCTGCTGTGCTGGGCCTTCGCATTGACATGCACCCAAACTGTTGCAGCCAAGCTAACATTCCATATGGTTACATCGTGTCGCGTTGCATCACGTTAATGTACCGGGTCGGTCGGAGACGGGTGGTTTCTCTGGTGTCTTCGACCTTCGCTCAGTTGACAGTTTCAGGTCACGTTAGACCGCGGCCGCTTCAGAGACGTCACTTGAACAGACTTCTTGACCTCGTTATTTAGTTCACTCCCCATCTTGTCCGTGATCCGTATGGCTGATTATGTTAACCGATTGAGCACCAGCAGATTCATTTATTTAGTCTTGTTTGTATCAAAAAGGCCACCGTTACCTATTCAAGCTGTGGGTGAATAACGACAACTTACCTTTGAAAGGGTTGAGACGGATCTATGAATGTGGTCTCTGGCACATGGACGGAAATAACCCGATTAATGAAGAATAATAGCCGGGACGGTTTTGGATGACATTAAGCCAGGCTCTGTTTTAATTGTGCAGCATTGATGAATGTTGTATTATGATTCAGAAGGGATTCTGTTTCCTTGCCACTACTGAACGTGTTCATTGGAATTATAATAAGCCACCCGTCCACAACAATGAGCTCTCTATCAGATTGTTGAAGTGGTTTGAAGTTTCAGTGTGTGTTACTGTCTGGCTGAAACCCAGCGGGGGGGATGATTGATGATAATGATTGATGATTGATGGTGGTGTCTGACAGTTATCGGTGAGTTCTGGCACGGCCCTGTCTGACCTTTAGAGATGTCCGCTGCAGCAAATCGGGGCTTATTTGATTGGCATTTATCAGCCATATTAAACCATTTGTTAATTATGACCCGGCTGTCACATTCACCTCATTGTGTGTCTGTGAAGCTGGAGCTCGTTCCTTTTACCGCTTACTTCAGCCATATACTCCTGTCTATGGAGGGTGACCTCACCCTCCATAGATGTTATATAAAGCAGCATAAGACTATGAACCGTTTCTCCCTGCAATTATGAACACTGGTGGACCCATGCTGAACAAAACACTTTATCAAACTATGTAAAACAACGTATTTATTGTTTCGGAAAGTGTTAGTCTTTGACTCATGGTGGTATTTGCTCATATAGAGTACGATTTGTTTCTAACCAGAAGTGAGGGAAAACTATTACAATAGGAGGTTATTTTTTCTCGATCTACTATGACCTGCGTGCATATTATGAACAATTAAACCGGCTCAGTCTCTCATAAATGTTCAGACACGTAATCAAGCGTACCAACACGTTTACGTGGGCCGTGCAGCCGTGTGTCATTTATTATAAGTACCACTTCAGCCCTTTGCTGAGTAATGGAAATATCTGTTTGTGTTTGTTCTTTTCTGTGAGCGAGAGGAACACGGCGGTAAACAACGAAGGGGAATGTTATCAGCTGCTTAAAGACTGCAGCTCTGGAGAAGAAGAAGAAGGAGGAGATGTGGAGGGTTTCTGCAGCTTTTGGCTGAGGAGACGAGCAGAAAAGGGAGAAAAGGTTTTTATGGTAAATCTCCCCAGAAATGTGCAATGGATGAAAACAGGAGACATCAGAGAGGCGAGTGTGCAGAAAGGTGAGAGGAGGAGGAGGAGGAGGAGATGAGGGAGAAGAACTAGGGCTTTAGTAGAGGGGAGATGAGTAGATGAGGATTAGGGGCGACTGCCTGTTGGGGGCCACAGCGAGGGGGGATCGGGAACACGTGCGGACGGGGGGGGGATGTGAAGAGTGAGGAACGGGGGGGATGGGGGGTCGGAGGAGGATAGACGGATGTGGGGGAGGAGGAGGCCTTCAGAGGAGTGGCCATCTGTTGTTCCTGCGGTGGAGACCGCCGGCTCGTAGCCACGCCCCCTTTCCTTTGAACTTGAACAGGGCGATTTCTGTCCCTGTGTGACGGAGCCGGACGGGGGGGAGCCAAAACTCCCCCAATCTGACCCAAGATCAGCAACCTTTTTCTCTCACAACTTCGGACGTCTCCAAATGTTGAAGTCGAGAGTTTAGCAGAAGATCGCTTTTTAATTCAACACCTCCCAAATAATCCACCCTGACTCGACCGTCCGTTTATTTCACCTGCTGGGAAGTATTTGCTCAGAGAAACCGCGGCGTTAGAAGCCGCTCCCACTCTGTCAGTCAATACCACCGGTAACATATTTCCATAGATACACATTTTCCGGACTTTCCCTGTCCGAGCTGCTGTCTTTTCACGGAAGAGCTGTTTGCAATGATTACACGAGGGGGGAAAGAAATGCGAGCTAACCAAATTATGCTGTACACGTATCTGTTAAATGTCTAATCACATATTATTATTTTTGTTTTCCGCAACTCACCATACTGTGTCTTTGGCTGCTGGTGAGTGTGTGTGTGTGTGTGTGTGTATTTTAGCTGCAGTGTGACAGCAAGCAGCGCCTCTGCTTTGCATCTAACTAGGACGATGACTTCCTGTCCTGCGGAGCCCTCGATAATGTTTGAATAGGCTCTTTGTTGCTGCAGGCTCTTTACCTTCAGACACACCGGTAAAGGTGGAGGCCTATTAAAATGTGCATTGTGTGTGTGTGTGTGTGTGTGTCTGCAGCAGCTGCTCTCTGTGGTTGGACGTTTCCTCCCTGCACGCACTGAAGTGTATTCAGAAGAAACCCAACGATTGCTAATTAATGCACTGCCTTGTCGCGCTTTTGAAACAGACCTCGGGTCACTTGACTCCTTCAAAGGCAGTGGAGTGATCGGGGGGGAAGGGGGCAGGCAATGAACGCCTCCCCCTCCCCCTAACACTCTTTAATGGGAGCCAACAATCATAACAAACCCATTTGTATTGGCTTCATTACAGAGATTAACTGTGTTTAGTCCTTTTTCCGAGAATTTGCAAACTGTTAAACAGCCCGCAGTGATTCTTTGGAAGCAAGCGAATTTAAATCCTTTTTAGTACTGAAATACCGGCTGGGATCACAATAAGAATTCAGTCATTTTAATCACAGGGGAAGATTAGAGAAACAAAACTATTCTACTTCTCTTGGAGCCAGATTGATACTGCTTGAAAGTTCAGTAGGAAAAGCTTTGGTGTTTTCTTCCTGTCGTGACACGTCTGCAGTGTTTCCACCCGAGGCACGCTGGGATCGGCTGCAGCCCCCCGAACCCCCCGGCCCCCGCCAGGATGGATGGATGAGGTTGATGATGCTACCACCATCTAAAATTGCGATGGAAACTAAAGTCCAAACGCCCAATAATACACAATTGATTGTGCAGCTCTGGGGTGACACATCTACTTTGTCACGGCTGGTCAGCAATGAATGACCCCGTTTCAGTTCTCCTTTTATAAGCTGCTCTCCTGTTTCCTCTGTTTCTTTTCCCGCAGCAGGGGCCCCAGCTTCGATTTTATCCTCTTTTGTTTAGTTGCAGCACATTGAAGTGTGACCCGATGTGTTTCCCAGGTGCGTCATCGGGCTTCAGACCAAGTCATGGCTCTGAAGATGAACAAGCTGAGCAGCAACCGGGCGAACATGCTGAGAGAGGTGCAGCTAATGAACCGGCTCTCCCATCCGTACATACTCAGGTTGGTAACCGACTCACCGAAGAACCGAATACGTTTCCCCCAGACACTTAGTGAAGGACGTCTTCTGTCACAAGGGATTGGGACGAAGCTACGAACCATCAGGTTACAGTGTTTCATCGGTAGAACTAAACGAGCTCGGCATGAGGAAAACTTATATCAGAACTTTTATAACAAATGCATCTTTATTTTAAATGCTGACGCTAATTGGTGCAACCAAAGGCCGTTGAGAACAAGTATGTTTTGAGGTTTGTGTCCATGACGGATCAAATTCTGACAAAAAAATCCCCCGTTGTCCCGCTGCGATGGTTTAGTTTAGTGTCTCTGCTGCATTTTGTATCCTAACTTGCATTACGGGAAACATGTTTTGAATTTATATTACCCTTTTTTTTTTATTGTTCTCCTGATACGCTTCTTCTTCTTGTGTAAGACTTTAAGCTGCCTCTGTATTTAAAGGGTGTTATACAAATAAATGGACCTTGCCCTGCTATTTATGACAGGAAGGGGGGAAAGTCTGTAGACTAAATAAAACTTTATAGCAACCAGAATTCAAAAAGCTTCAGAACCCCAGAATAGAATCAGTGTTTGCTTCATTGTAGTAAACACGCTCACATTCTGCTCCGCTCTCCTGGGTGGGAGAGCGCGTGTGTGTGTGTGTGTGTATGTTTCAACCAACGCGCGTGCACACACACGCATGTCAGCCCGCGTGTGCGCGTGCACACGCTCGCTCTGTATCTTTCACAATGGCGTCTCTGTTGAGCCGAGTGCGTCTGTGTGTTAACGAGCGGACACTGAGGGGGTCGTTGTTCGCCGAAGCCCGACGAGGACCCACAAAGTCGACCTCCTCACTGCCGCGAGCGTTACGAGGCCGTCGGCGCCGCGCGTGAACAAAGTTGTTTCCTTTTCTGTTAATATTTTGCAACCGCTTTGACGTCACAAAGCCTTTTCTCTCCGACGTGTCACACTGATGGAGAAACACTCTCACAAGCAGAAGAAGCATCGTGCAAGGTTCGGTGTTTAAGAGGAGAGATTGATGGGCTCCGCTTGTGGAGCAGTGGGTGGTGTGCAGGTGGAGCACCGGAGCTGTTATTATCTCCCTGATAACAGGCGGTCTGCCAGTCTGGTCTTGTCCACTCGTATCTTAATCCTTTTCCAACTATTCTTCGTGCTTTCTCTGTTTACTCGAAGGTCGCGCGAGACTTTTCTCTCGATGTGGCCGCGCTATTTTTCCCCGCGTCCTTGGCTCGTCTCTGAGATTAAATCACAGCGTTATGACAACTTAATCCTGCCCGTCTTCAGTGTTTTCTCCTTCTTTTCTTCCCAGGTTCAAGGGAGTGTGTGTCCACGAGGGCCAGCTCCACGCTCTGACCGAGGTAGGACGGCACACCTCACGGCTTTGTCACAAGCACACAATAAGCAGGATCAAAAGGGTATTTTCTGACCGCGTTGGCTGTATTTAAGCCGCGTTTGCGTGTCGGAGGAACATATCGCCTCTTGTCGGTGAGAATCATTAGTTTCGTGCTTATTTGTCTCCTTTGTGACAAGGTCAGATAGCTAAGCCGCGGGATTTATGTCACACCGACACACCGTTCGCAGCGGATGTGACTGTAAACAGAAAGACGCGTGTAACTGTGGACAGATGGTACAAGACGCTCGATTCATCGCACTCTGAAGAAAGCGCACACTGTTGGAAACGCTTCCAGGCGCACGCACATGTACGTGATTACACTGTTGCTTTGCTCGGTGAATGCAGGCATTGTAGCTCTGACCAACAAAGACAAAACTTTCTGCAGGAACACAACACACTTCTTAAGAAGCCACACACACACACACACACACATTTTTCTTCATATACTGCAGCTGATGCAGAACGAATCCAAGCGTTGTGGGGCGCACGTATAAATAAAGCCGCTCGCACGCTGCGGTAGGTCTTGTTTTCCTGCCGCACAGTAAACAGATCCTGTTGTGTCGCGCCAGCAGCGAGATGCGTTCTGTGACCCCGGCAGCGGGCTCATGCCGTTTTGTTACCTGACCCCTCAGCATGAGGCCGCGCTCGAAGGAAATGAGAGTTAAGTTACTGCGCGGCCCCCCGGGGCCGTCGCACGCACACTCGAGCGCACACAGGGATGCGTGCGAGTCCAGAGTACCCCTGCAGAATACACAAAAAGCAAAAAGGAGCCACTTCTGTCTGGGAGGTGTTGGATCGACGGCGCCTTGCCCGTCTTCAGGGCACCCCGGGGTGCAGCCTCGGACCCGCCGCGCTTTGTCTCTGCAGGATCTCAATCGAATGCACTTCATAGGAAAGGCTCCTGCCAGCATAATCTGGGCTAATGGTAATTCATGACCCTTGGCAGGATTACACTGCTGTTTGAAGCTGCTCCCCAGCAGACAACGATCTTTTTGTTTGAGCATTTCCAGGTTTTTTTTTTTTTGTTGTTTTTTCAACCCAAAAGTGTAGCGGAACAATTTCCGAAAACAGCATGTTTCTCATTTCCTGAGCCATCCAGGTTAAACGCGGTCATAGCGAGGCCCATACGTTGTTCAAACGTGGGCTTTGTCAAGCAATTACTGCGGTATATCAGTAACTCCACAAATAGGATGAAGCAAATTCCGGGAAAAATGCTGCGCAACAAATAAGAGGCTTTTTCTTTCTTTCTTTTTTGAACGCGACTTCGCTCCCATTCGGTCACTTTCAGCCGTGTGTCGGAGCGCTTTGCCCATCGCTGCGCATTCTGCCGTTAGAGGGATGACGTTGGATTCGTCTTGAGTTTTAAATGCCCCTCTTAGTGGAGTTTACCCCCCTCAAAGCAGGCAGAAAACAGATGTGGAGAAAGGAGGCATTTATTGGACCAACACTGTAATCCTCCGACATCTCGAGCCCTTTGTCATTTAAAAATGATAACAAGGAGGTACAAAATAAAAAAGAAGCACTAGACAGGACAGATTATTTGAGTCTGGTGGAATATTTTTAATGGATTTATAAAGGGTCCAAGGAGACGGAAGGATCATCTCACTTCTTGTCTTTAATCGGGTAAACATTCCATTAAACACTTGCAGGCATTAGGTGACACATCAACAATCTGAGCTAAATGTGTCTCATTGAATTCAAACTTGGTTTGTAAAGCAGGTTTTCCATGTTTGAATGATGTGTGAATATATTTGGCATATTTTTATTTTCACTTTGGGGTGAATTACAGACCGAATGTACGAGATGAAGATGAAAACGAACGTCCTTATGGAGGCTGAGCCGTCACAGCGTTTGAGATTTAAGTGTGATCAGGGTCGTGAACCGGCATTCAGCTGGAAAAGTCACGCACAGCTTAGTGGAAATAATGTTCTTTGTTGTAAGAAGGCATTTCAATGAGCAGGAACCCAAACATTAGTCAGTTTAGGCAGCCGTCCATCACTTGAAGGCTTAAAAAGAACCAGTTCACTCCAAAGAAGTAGACCCCTCCACATCAGCCCCCTCGATGTCCTGACCCGTCTCCGTGTCCCACCCTGTCTCTGTCTAGCTGCCCACCGCTGCTTGGTGCTTCGTGACGCGGGATTACCGGGTCAGGGTGTCTGCATGCGAGCGAGCAACGAGGTCAGACGAGTTATTCTGGATCAAAGCCGACAGGCTGAGCGAAGGACCCCGGATGCTTTTAAAGCCGCTGAGCCCATCTGACCGCGGGAGAACACCAGCACTTCTGCGAGCGCGTTGAGCGAGCCGCCGGACAGATTCGATTCAGTCGATCCATCGACCCCCCCGACTCCCCCGGGCCGGTCACCAATCAGCCCTCCCCCCTGTGAGCCAGCTGACAGACAGTCGATCGGTCGGATGGAGTTCGCCTGTTATCTTCCGTGTAGTTACGTGTCACCAAGTGGCCCGTGAAGGCCACCGACCGGCCCGTGGCGTCTCCGCGGTTACGGCTCGCTGTGCCGACCACGATCAGAACACGATCAGAACACTGGCGTCTCCTCAGCTCGCCAACATGGCGGCTTGGTGCAGCCAAACGAGCACGTTGTGCTTCCTCGGCTGAAGATCATTTCATGTTGTGAATCCATCATTGGTTGTTTTGGAGAATTCTACCTTTTATTCTTTACAAGAAGTCAAAGAGTAAACTATTAAATATCGCGATACATAAAGTCTTAGGTCCGTTTGGTGGCCAAACATCATTTCATCTGTCGCAATCTTTTTTTTTTTCTACCTTCTTCACATGTGTGTCTTTGTTTTCCTCCAGTACATCAATGGTGGGAACCTGGAGCAGCTCATAGACAGCAACAAACACCTGAGTTGGGCCACGAGGGTGAAACTGGCCTCTGAGATCGCCGGCGGTTTGTCCTACCTGCACTCCAAGGGCATATTCCACCGGGACCTCACCTCCAAGGTGAGCGAGGCGACGGCTTCCTCTGTCAGAAGCTCTAACTGGAAGTACTGACCAGTTTATATTCAAATCTCTGTGTTTTGGTCCCGGTATGATGCTGCAATCTCTTAAGACTGGTCTTTAGATGTCGGATAGAAACGCTGCAGCTTCACGTGGTCTCGAGCCGCGTGTCTGCTCTTTCACTCCTCCAGACGTTTACGACCCTGCAGAGAATTCTGATGTGTTCATCTGTCCCACGTGGGGGGGGGGGGGGGGGGCTCATATCATTTGCATGTCTAAGCAAAGAATAAAAAACGAAAAAGGTCGATGCCTCTCGGATTAATGTTCCTTAGATGAATACAAAGTGCGTTTGTTTATGACTCGTCTCTGTCAAGAAGCTCAACATGCGAAGCGACCTTCCCTCTAGAGGTTACAATGTGTTCTTTATAGAGTCCCATCCCATCTCTGTAAATAAATGATCAAATAAGAGGTCAGAGAATAAGCCTTTGATGCGACTGTATAAAGGGCAGGAGGACACTTTAAAACAACCACATATGGAAACCAAAGGTACCCGTAACATTAAATATTAACTGTGCAGTGAAGCAGCGTGCTGCATTTATCCAACACATTATTACATAGTGGAGGGATATGTAGAAAAACATGATATTAAGTGTGTAGAACATTAATGTTCGTTATTGTTTAAAGTGCACGTGCTGGATTTTACTGGGAAGTTGCAGTACGTCTTGGGCAACATCAATGACCTTTGTAACATCTACAGTGAAAAAGAAACCACACATCTCTGCATATTTATGTCCTCTTACCTCCCGTTTTGTAATGTACAAAGAATGAAAACAATACAACAGACCCCACTTCAATCAGGAAGTGGAGCTTTTGGATTGTTTTCCTGCAAAAGTTTTTTTTATTTTTTAAATAACTTCCTCAATAAAACGTGAGGAAATGATGATGACGATGCTTTTCTGTGTCCACAGAACTGCCTGATCAAATGTGAGGACAACGGCTACACGGCAGTGGTGGGAGACTTTGGCCTGGCAGAGAAGATCCCCACCAACCTGTAAGAGTTCTTTTATTGTGAAAGGGCCAAAGAACATACAGCCAACGTCAATGCTCATTTCCTTCATGAATACAACCTCTAAAATGATCCTTGGGTGATATAAAGAATGCAGGAGGATACTTTTACATTGGAACAGCATAAAATACTAAATAATATTCTAAATAAATATTATTGAATAGATATGGATAAAGTGATATCTAAAGGTTTGGAGAACGGCGGTGAAACGCGACTCCAGCAGAGCGTCGGCGTGGCGCTCGACGTGTGACTGGGCAGCTTCTCGCGCCGTGAGCGACACCGCTTCAATAATCCAGTGATGTGGTGGAACGGTCGCCACGGCGACCAAGAACCTCACCGGGCAAAATCGTTCATTTGTCGTCATCGTCGTTTGCCTTTCGAGGGACGCAGCGGATTCAACAGCGTTCACCTTCTCGTTTACATTTATTCCGAACTCCCTAAGAAGAACCACAAATAGATCAAAGGTTCAAAGTCCATTTCTGCGCCATTTCCTGTTGCAGCGTTTTCTGAGTCACTTCAGCGTCACTGACAAACGCATCACATTCCTGTGATTTGATGGCAGGAGGATCCCATCGGAAGTTATTTTCTCTTTGAATGCTGCAGTAGCACAAAGAGGGTCATTGTCTTCTGTCTTCTGAAGCATCTGCGTGTAATCTCGATGTAGTGTCATTCTCATGAACCTGATATGTCGGTTACACCTTGAGGGAACTTCCTCAAAATAACTTTGACTCCACGATGACCTGAGTAGAAAGAAAAAAACGCTTTTGGCCACAACTCAAGAATTCTTAATCCTAATTATACAATTTCACACAAACGTGGGATGAAATAACGATGAAAGGGCTTGTGGACGGACTTTGAGCCGTGGAACCGCGACGAGGGTTTGGTTAGCCGGGGAAGGTCATGTCCTCCCGTCATGTCGACTCCACCTCATCGGAATCTGGACCGAGAACAAGCTGCTCAGTCTAATTTTGAGTGGAACAATTAGACTTTTTCTTCCTATAAATGTCACAAAGACGTATTAAAGAACTTTCTTCACTCACTCACACAAGGTTCTCTGAAGCTGCTTGATTACAACGGACCAAAAGCATTAACGTGTGTGTGTGTGTGTGTGTGTGTGTGTGTGTGTGTGTGTGTGTGTGTGTGTGTGTGTGTGTGTGTGTGTGTGTGTGTGTGTGTGTGTGTGTGTGTGTGTGTGTGTGTGTGTGTGTGTGTGTGTGTGTGTGTGTGCGTGCGCAGTGCTGAAGTAGAGAAGCTGTCGGTGGTCGGCTCTCCTTTCTGGATGGCTCCGGAGGTGCTGAGAAACGAACCCTACGACGAGAAGGTAACACCATGAACTTTGACCTCTAACTTTAAGTAGTGGTGTTGACTGCGATGAAATGATTGTTTTTAACTATGTATATCCCTCTCATTGGGTATTACTTATACATTTAACACTTATTAAGTATCAGTATGATTCATTTTACATGTGTTTGAATCTTAACAAACACCTGGAGGGAGATAAATTCTATTAACCAGCAACAACAAGGACATACAGACATTTTCCTCTTTATGAACCAGCGAGCTGCATATTTGGCGCCTGCGTGCGTTGACGTGCGTCTCTGTTCTCAGACCGACGTGTTCTCCTTCGGCATCATCCTGTGTGAGATCATCGCGAGGGTCCAGGCCGACCCCGACTTCCTCCCCCGCACGGAGGTGAGCGCTCCTCCGCCTGCTGGCACCTCCGGTTCACTCTTTGTCCCATTCACATAACTCACACGCACTTTAACGTCTTCATTAACCTGCCTGAGATCATCTGGCATCAATGTTTATTATATATAGTTTATGTATCTTTGAGAGTATTTTACAAAATATCATGAAAATAAGAAGCCACACAGTGTTATCGGAGATGTCGGAGCCAAAGTGGATCCTTGGCAGCGAGCAGCCGCGTGTCACAGGGATTAGTCTGACACGAGTCTGGCTTTGGCAGCGCAGAGTCGCAGCCTGTCAAACATCTGATGAAGCTCCGTTGATCTTTGTCCTCATCCCTCTTTCTGAAGACGGACTTCCTGTTATAAATAAATCCCCCTGTCGCTCTGTCTTCTCTCCCTCCCCCGAGCAGAACTTCGGCCTGGACTATCACACCTTCCAGCACATGGTGGGAGACTGTCCGCCCGACTTCCTGCAGCTGGCCTTCAACTGCTGCAACGTGAGTCCAGCTGCCGGTCCGTCTCCCCGCGTGGAGACGCGTCTCCGTAGTGTAACTGTCCGCTTGTGGAAGACGTGCAAACGTGCATCTGCCTCTCTAACTTATCTCCTCTCAATGTGTTTTATTTCTACCTTCTTAAGTAATTATTATTCCGTTGTTCAGGAATAGAGGAGCAATCTGATTATCTGAGTAATCTCCTTTGGGTTACCATCCGGGGGGGAGGAGGGGGCTGGAGGGGAGGGGGGGGGGTCTTCTGTTCACTACAAGCTGGTGGTCAAACACGCTTGTTCAAATGAAGTCACTTTTAAGAAGAGGAGGATTCAGTGAATCAGTAAAGAGTTTAGTTTTGTTCACCTCCTCGTGGACGGATTTGTGATTTTTAATTACAAACCTCTGAGGAGGAGGAGGAGGAGCTTGTTCCAGATTGTGCGGCACCCTGCTGATTGAGCCTGTATTACATCTCTTCTCATCCGGTCTGTTGTCTCTCTTTCATCCTCCTTTCCTCCCTTATCCTCCTCTTTTTCTTTTTTCCCTCCCAGAGGAGTGTAATTAATTACTTTAGTTAATTGCTCGGCCGTATGTCTTCATCTTCAGCTACATTTTTGTGGCTTGTTTTGTTCTTTCTTTCCTTCTCCCTCCCACATGTTCCCCTCTCCAACTCTCCTTCGTCTACTTCTTCTTTTTATGGCTCATTTTGTTTTGCTTCCCTGTTTTTCATCTTCAGTTTTTCCTCACTTTTAAATATTCTTTGACAAAGACGCTCGATGTAACGTGGCTGATACGCGTGTTTCCTTTGGACAGAAATCCCTTTTTACAAAACCTCTGGTTCTCCAGTGGAGCCCAGCAGGGTCCCAACGACAGGAATAACTGATATGATCACCGTCTTATTTACTTATAAAAGTTCCGTGTTATACTTCTGGGGGATTTCTTCACTCTGGCTTCTCGTTTTCATGCTGAGAAACTGAATATTTACACAGCAAAGGGCCAATAAAAGCTCTAAAACATTCTTCTTATACGCCACGAAAGAAATATGGATTTCCTAAAAAACATTAACTTGTAAATGCATCTTTCTATTGGTTTATGTTTTACTTTTCCCTGATGTGTTACTGCATGTTAACATCTCTTATTTTCTCCCCTTAGATGGACCCTAAACTCCGTCCGTCCTTCCCGGACATCGTCAGGCAGCTCGAGGGGATTCTCGCCGGCCTCAAAGTCGAAGAGATGGAGCACGAGTGCGACCCGCTCGGCGGGGACATCGACAAGAAGGCCGCGTCCAAAGGTAACGAGGTCTCACCCCACAGGGCGTCTCACCCCACAGGGCGTCCCGCCCCGCTATGCGTCTCACGCCACAGGGCGTCTCACCCCGCTATGCGTCTCACGCCACAGGGCGTCTCACCCCGCGATGCGTCTCACCCCACAGGGGCGTCTCACCCCGCGATGCGTCTCACCCCACAGGGCGTCTCACCCCACTATGCGTCTCACCCCGCAGGGCATCTCACCCCGCGATGCGTCTCACCCCACAGGGCATCTCACCCCGCGATGCGTCTCACCCCTTGATGCGTCTCACCCCACAGGGCATCTCACCCCGCGATGCGTCTCACCCCAAAGGGCATCTCACCCCGCGATGCGTCTCACCCCACAGGGCATCTCACCCCGCTATGCGTCTCACCCCACATGGCGTCTCACCCCGCGGTGCCGGGATTCGTCATTTCAGCCGTTGCTTTAGTCGATAAAAGTCACGCCTGTGAAGACGCCGTCCTCGAATCGGAAAAGAGAACAGAAAGCTGTTTTGTGTCGTCCTCTCGGCTCGTGAGGATTTCCCCTCCAGCGCCGCTCGTCGAGTCCGGCTGTCATCCACTCAGCCGATCGACATTTCCCTTTTCATCCCGTTGAGGTCGATGATTCCGCGTTTGCTTCCGTCGGCTACAAACAAACTGTCCTCCTTCCCCAAAAAACACAGCCGGCTTTGTTCAGGCCGCATTCAAACTTCCCTTTTAGTCCGACAACGAACTTTCCAGCGGAGTAAGATGTGTCGTTTTTTTCCTCCATCTGGATCGCTTGTTTCTTTGCACCGTATCGCACTTCAAAGAGGTCTTTGCTCGCTCATCACATAAACTTCACCGTGACGTCTAGGTGCCCACTTTGGGACACCTGATCCGTGCAGGCGCAGGTTTCACTTCTAATTCGGTCCCGCGTGTCGCCGCCTGCATGTCTGACCGTCCGGCAGTAATGTTTTTGTTACGACGGGCCAAGCGGCTGCTTTACCGCCGTGCTGCAGGACGGAGAACACAAACATGTGACGCAGGAGGAGTTTAGTGAAGCGACACTTCTGGTGTCCGGTTCAATCCGCCGACGTTTAGGAATCGCAGTCTGGGCCGGTCGGCACAAGTGATGCACATCTCGTATCTTGTTCTGCGGATCCGACAGTTCTCACTCTCAACCTTTTAGATTACATCATGAGGCTCTTCTGCCGCGTCGCCGTTTACCCGATAACATCGCCGCTTCCTCGAAGACTTCATCACACCCGCAGAAGGAAATATTTCTGTTGCTCAACAACATTTTAGCCAAAGGTTTTGGTCGAGCCCTCATGATTAATTCTCAGATATTTACTGACAGAAGTGCAACACCGACTGAGATCTGAGATCTGATAGGAGGGTTTTCATGGGTCGCTGGTTCGTTCATATGTATCAACTTTTGGGGAAAAATGTACTTTCTGTTCTGTTCTCTGAACAACGTGATTATGATCAATCGCTGCAAACCGAGACCCAAAACAGTCAGAATTTGGCCTCTATCGCCACCTGCTGGTTTTATCAGATCATCTATTTTATTTTCAGAGGACTACTGACAAGACATGACTGCATGTGAAACTTTTTCGACATTTCATTTGGTACATTTTACGTGAAAAGTATCTCACGCCGCGTCTGTCTCCTGGTCCCAGGGGAGAAGATCCAGGGCTTCAAGCGCCTGAACCCTCTCGGTTTCCAGGATGATAAAATCCCTCCCAAGTCGCCGCGCCCCCGGCGAAACATCTGGCTCAGCCGCAGCCAGTCGGACATCTTCTCGTGCAAACCGGGGAAGAAAGTGAACGTCCAGGACCCCTACTACAACCCCACCATCGCCCAGAGGGCCTCCAAGGCCCGCAAGGTCAACCCCTTCACCGCCCGAGAGGACCTGTGCGGCGGCAAGATCAAGTTCTTCGACGTGCCGAGCGCGTCCGTCTTCTCGCTGGTGTTTGACCTCCACTCGCCGCCGGGGAGCGCGTTCGGCGACCGGCCGGCGGCTCACGGGGCCGCGGGGGGCCAACAGCCGACGTCGTACTACTGGCGGCAGCTGCCGGGGAGGCGGTGTCACTCTCTGCCCGTGTCGCCCCAGCTGCCGCGCTCCGAGGTCTTCCAGCTCGCTGCCGAGGTCGGCGCCAACCACAACGGTTCCGTCACCTGTAACTCCAGCCTGCTCGCCAACGCGCTGCCGGGTGAGAGCGCCTCTTTGAGCTTTCCTGACTTTAAAAGCCTCCAAAAATATTTGCTTTTTTGACTTTTAAAATAGAATTGGAATGTTCATCATGAAAAATAATCTGATCTTTAAAAGAATAAAAAATGAAATGTGGAAATAAAAATAAGAAATAAAAATTATATAAATATATAAATAATGTATAAATAATATATTTATTATATATAATATATATAAATAATATATGTATTACATATAAAATATATATAAATAAAAGTACACTATAGAAGTATATAAAATGTTGATGTATAAAGATAAATAAATCAAATAATAAATATAAGCGGCAGTTTATATTCAAAGTGGGAAGCAGCTCCACAGAAAAAGATCAATAATCTTTTTTTGTTTCCCTCTTTTCTCGCAGCGATTAACTTCAGGCCTGACGCCGTCCTGGCGGCGAAAGCCTTGCTGATCAGCTGGGCGAAGAAATACGTCGTGGTTGAAATCCCACCTTACTGCAGGCAGCAAGGAGGGGAGGAGGACGCGGCGGAGGACAGGAAGCAGGAGGGGAAGGAGGAGCTTGGGGAGAGCGGCTCTCCGATGGCCCCCAGCAGCGAGAGGAACAGTGGGGAGGCGATGGAATGTTCCAGCATCCTGGAGGAAGAGGAGGAACGAGAGAGAGGGACGGACCCCTGCCCCATGTAACACACACACACACGTGGGGGTTTGGGGGGGTGGATGAGGACTTCTAACTGAGGATGGAGGACACGGAGGCTGGTGACTGAAAGAATGAATATATTGGGAAACAAAGCAAACCGTTGACTGTATCACAAGTTGATTCACAAATCAAGCGCACCCGCGGGAGATGAATAACATCTGTGCAAAGATGCAACCAGCCGGGTGGGACGGGACAAGTCGGCTTTTTTCAACGGACACTCGGCATAGAGATTATTTTTTTGAGACGGTTGTTTATATTTAATATTGTGAGATGATGTAGATGTTTTCTTTGTAAAGGTGTCTCATACAATGCGTCTTGTGAATGGAGATCCCTTGTGTTGTGTATTTGTGACTGTTTGAGAATCAAAGTTTTTTTGATATTTTCCCTCCGTGTTCTTTGACAAACGTTTATATGAAATCAAAAAAAATCCCTTTCTGATCGACGAGGCAATTTCAAATCAACTGAGACAGATGTTTCTATGTTTTACTCTCTAAACTAATTGGCATTTTTATTTGGTCAGATATGCTGTGAATCAGTCAAACTAACAGAATTCATCAATCCAAATCTTAAAGAATCATATTCCATATTTGGTCATCAGTCCACCGGAAAGTCGCCCTGATTCGGCTCATCGTTTTAATGCGCCGCATCGAGGAGAAGCTTCTCCTTCATTCAGTCTCATCCTAATCTCACCTGGTTAAAGATGTCTGGAGTAATAATTTCAGTGAAATCCAAAGTAAACTTCAACATGAAAGGAAAACCAGTCGGATGACTGATATTTATATTTGAGGTAAACGGCTAAACAGCGTAAAGAGGTTTGTTCTGTCACGTTTTAGTTCTAAATAGAAATTGTTCCTTCATTTCCCTCCTAAAGAGATGGTACAACTTGCAGTGGCAGGATTTTACTTCAATGTGTATTTTATTTGAATTAATAGCTCGTTTATAGCACATCCAGCTGGCGGTTCATCTGGTGACATTTCCTCTTCTGTCGTGATGTTAGAATAATATTTGTTGCTCCTCACGTCTCTGATGATGACGAACCGAACCACTCACTACTTTTCCAGCGTCGTTTTACAATATAAAGGATCTAATTTGATATTTATGAGAAAACATTTTGAATGTCTTTTTGTATATAAAGTTTGTTACCTGCTTTGGTGAATACAGATCAAGATGCTATAACGAAGCTTCTCAGTTTTCCTTGTTTGTCTTTTCTTCACTAAAATATATATTATGAAAACATGATTATATCTGATAAATATATTTTTTGTTTGACACATGGTAAAAATCACGCAGTGACTTTAATGGTCACACAAACTGGGCTTGAACTTTCACATTAAATTAAAATTTCTACCACAAATAACCCCACTAATAATCATAATTGGTACCGATTTTAGTTTTGTGAGACCAGCAGACCGTTTAAAAAGTTTTAATTACCATACGCTTCATATCTCATGTAACAACAAAACCTGTAAAACAAGAACTATATATTATAATATATAATTTGACTTTTGTTGCTTTTCAAAAGATTAATACAGAATAATGTAATTTTGAAATTTAGAGTTTTGGGACCAAAGTAGTAAAAGTATTTGTTGAAAATGAAATCTGGACCCATTTAAAAATCAGAAGAAACACATTTACTGTGTTTAGTAGGTTTATGTATTCTTCCCTCTGGTCTCAGACTGCGTTCTAGTGGCTGTCGAGAGGAAGGAAAAATAAAAAGCACAAACTCATTGTACACAAATTGAGTGACCACCTAAAGGAGGATAGTTACGCTTCCAGTCTTCAAAGAAACAACTAAATATATAACAATAAAAAACAAAACCCCGCGCGCTCAGTGCGCCGTCTTCTGATGCGACTTGAGGCTGGAGCGCTGCGTGAAGCACTTCCCGCACAGCGAGCACTCGTAGGGTTTCTCCCCGCTGTGGACCACCGCGTGCCGGATGAGGTTGCACTGCTTGGTGAAGCTGCGGCCGCACTGCAGGCAGCTGAAGGGCTTCTCCCCCGTGTGGCTCCTCAGGTGCTCCTTCAGCTGACTGAACCGCACAAAGCTTTTGTCGCAGTACGTGCAGCTGAACCGCTTCTCGCCGAGGCCCGACCTCCACGGCGTCCTCATCCTCCTCGCGAGGCCGAAGCCGCCGCGGCTGAGCCCGCAGAAGAAGGAGGAGGAGGAGGAGGCCGCCGGCGTCGCGTCCTCGTTCGGGTTCCCGGCTCGGGGCGATTCTCTGCACTGAAGCGTCGATTGTTGAGGCGCCGAGCTCTGAGCCGCGGCGTTGATCCGAGAGAACGCGCCGGGTCCGCCGTCCGGCTGTGACCTCTTGAACCCCAGCGCTCTGGCTCGTCTTTTCGCGCGCGCCGCGCTCACGGAGGCCGAGTGCCATTTCCCCGCCGAGAGAGTCGGAGGCGCCGCGTCGGCCGCAGGCGGTCCGCTCTGGGAGGGGAAGGCGAAGGGGATCGGCTCGAAGCGGTGCTCGCCGCAGGAGAAGCCGCCCGGGTCGCCGGCGTCCCCGCACAGGCCGGACGGCCACAGCGACCGGTCGGCCTCCTCCGTCAGGAACCCGGGGGCCGAGTCCACAGGCGCCGCACTCTGGTCGTGCTGCTCGAGGTTCTCGCATTTCACCGCCAGCTCGGGCTCGTCCAGGTGCGCGTCCAGGTGCTCGTCCAGCGGCTGCCAGGGGAAAGTGTGGTAGGCGTCCGCCGGGGGAACCGGGGTCCCGGGGTCTTCGGCCGAGCGGTAACGCCCCACGACGGCGTCAGCGACGGCTCCGGAGACTAAAGAAAGCAGAAGGGAACCACACGGCGTCTCATGAAATCCTTTACTGTGACATCTCTTTATTAATATGCTCACTCGGGGGGTTTATGGTGAATGAGTTGCATTAATGTTGCATGTGAGGCTGAAACGTTGTGTTGTTTATATGGTGATGCATCATGGTGATGCATCATGGGTAACGGGTCGTTCACAGCGCAGTGACTCGGAGTGAACATACGCGGCGTAACACCGAGGGGTGTTTTCAGTCACGCGACCGTTAAAAGGTTTGAGGCGATCGCGATTGTGTGAACGAACTCACTCAGTTTGTCCCGCGAGTCGTTCGCCTCTTCTTCACGCTCCTCTTCTTCACGCTCCTCTTCTTCACGCTCCTCTTTGATCCGTATGTGTTGAGCGTCATTGACGGGCTCCACGTCTGCACACTGCAACAACAACAGACCGATATATACCAAGGAAACACCCACCTGCGTGTTACGGCAGAGATATTGTGTAGATTTAGTGAAGTTACACTTTTACATTAGCATTGATTTTGTCTTTATTTCTAAGTGTACAAAAAGTAAACTTGTATCTATGAATCGGATAGAAAATAGCACTTTTCAATTACCATTTACCAAGTTGTAAATGTTAATAACATTAATAGTTACAGTGGTGGATCCAACTTATCAAATGTGAGGATTTGTTGTGTTTTATTTTGTTGTTTCTTACTGTTGGTCAGAGAAAAAACAAGCAATTTAAAGACGTGACATTTGGGCTGATGGTGACCAGTTGATAAGAACATGCAGGTTGTGTAGTGTTCTACCTGCTGGTGTTGATTCTGAGCCTCAGCATCCCACCCTGCGCTTGGTCTCTCTTTGTTGAGCACTATTTTCACTAAAGGAGAGAATCTCTCTGCTGCAGGAGGATAAAACGCTGCAAAAGAAGAACAAATACGGGTCACGAGCTTAACGACACACAACACCAGATAGACACCAGCATCGTGACAAAAAGCCCACCTTTCCTCCTGGCCCTCATCCGGGTCCTCCTCAGCTCTGCCTCCATCCCCTCGCACTTCCTCTTCAGCAGGTCGATGTCCCGCCGGCTCCGGCTCGCCTCCAGCCGCAGCACCGCGCAGCTGTCCTCCACGCTGCGGTGGATCTCCGCCACGGCCGCCTTGGCCAGGACCTCCACGACGGCCAGCAGCTGGCTCTGGAAGCCGCTGCTCTCCATGTCGGGAAACGCTGCTAAAAAGAGTCGAGTCGCTCACTCCGCGGGTGGGAGGCGCAGGGAGGGCGGGGGAGGATGTACACAAATGGCAGGTCGGCGGAGCGAGTGCTACCGTGGTGCTGCGCTCGAGCTGCACGTTTACTTCCGGGGTTGTTCGGGGCGGGGGGAGAGAAGCGCTCGTTTTTGATCAGACGCGCCGTCTTGCAAGGGCGGTGTTGCTGCTTCTCTGGTTTAGTCACACAAATAGTGACTCGTTTTTTTATTAACACACCACAACACATTAGACTCTATGAAATGAACAAAATTTAGGATGTAGGTAGTTTATTTATGTTTACAGTGTTGTTGTTGTTTACCGTTACTTCCGCCACTAGGGGACGTACTGTAACATACAACGAGGTTTCCCTGGTCGCGTCACTCGTTGTATTACCGTAAGTACGCTAATACGGAACTCGCCTCCACACGGGGAACCAGGTGATTTAATACATTGCAAAGTTATTCAAATCGCTTGATATGTTCTTTTTCTCGATTTCACACATCAATAATAACCAAACATAATCCTTCAGTATCAAACATTATATTTCACAATTTTAGGAGATACATTCTCAAGCATGGTCAAATTGTAAATAATGAGCCATATTAAACTATAGATGTCTCATAGGTCGTATTTCAATGTATTCAGTTGTATGTCAAAGAGAAACAGACATTCAGTGTATTTTCTGTACTTATTTTTAGCAAGTCATCCTTTATTAAGTGTTCATATGCTGAAACGTATGTATTAATTGTGTATGTATCCGATACAACCCATTAACAGTGAAATAAATGTGCTCTAATTCTCTAATCTAGTCATTTTTTACATTTGACCTTGATCAAAGTGCACACTATATAGTACCCTAGCTTTTAATTATTTAATCTAATTATGAGCTACTTGTACTTCTCTTGAGTATTTTTGCTGCTTCATACTTCCACTACATAACAACGAGTATATTCAGTTGCTAATACAAGCATTATAAATACACAAAATTTGTTTGTAATGGAGTATGTTTACTTAATATTCCTGTAGTTTTTTGTTTTATGGTAATTTTTTCAATTCTTTGAATATTTCAACAGTGGCCAATAATCTTTAAAAACTCTACTACTTTGTAGTGATTTGTGTCCATCATCTCTAGTGATTGTAGTGGTACTTTCCAGTAATTGTTTGTACTTTGTGGTACTCCTACAGCACTCGCTGGGGCTCAGTGTGTTGCGTGGGTTGGCAGGGCGTCGTGTTCAGGTGACGCACTGATGTACAACGCACACGTTCAAAGGAAATGGGCTGAAATTAGTTGTCATTTTGTACAACTACTGTGCATTCCTCTCCGTCGGGGGGAGAAGCACTAGAATAAAGTGAAATAAACGCATTGTGCCGTAAGACCAAACTGGTTTCCCCACTCAGTCAGCAGAGGGGGAGAAACTGCGGCCCACACGCAGAGCGAAAGCACAAGAGAAGCAGAGACACTCAGGAAGTTAACAGGGGAAGTTTAGCGGTTTCTTGCGTCATCATTTTATGCCGCTACTTGTGTGCCGCTTCAGAGTTGAAGGTAAGAACCGTCGCCTTTTTCTAACGTTCCATACCCTGACTTCCCCACGCTGAGACGTCTTTTCGGGGCAAAGTGGGCCGACGAGGACGGATGGCGGAGGGACGTTGAGCGGCGGCAGGTGTCAGTGAGATGGAAGCTGTGGAGAGTGAGTTTGAACGGCTGTGTGAGTCTATATGCTCAGGCGTGAAGAGCGTTTTCGACATCCGCTGCAGAGACAGAGAGGGGGGAGACAGGAAAAAAGGAGGCCGCGATGGCCGTGACATGCGGTCGGGGAGTCGGACCTGTGCCGAGGGCCCCGTCCTCAGACTGGAGCTCAGGGTGGAGGGTTTAGGTCGGTCCACAATACGGCCAAACATTGACAGGCTCACTTCCCTGAATAGGAGAAGTACTGAGGCAAGGGTGTGGCCTTTCATTCGAAAATGTATTTGAGTGCATGTTGGGGGGAAGTGGAGCGCCGCATAAGCACGCTGAGGATTCAACACCATTTGTTGTTTGATTCTTGGGGGGGGGGGGGAGATTGTTGTTCGCACAGTGAAAGACGGCTTTTTTGTTCTCATTTGTGCTTTTTCGCAGGGTGGGAGATAAACCGGAGCATGTCCTAACGCTCGAGGAACCCCCCCCCCCCGATGCAACGCGGCCTACAGAGGAAACGACCTGCGCCCAGCGGCATGCACTGAGGCAGAGGAGGCGAAAGCAGCAGCCGCACGGTCAGACCCGTGAGGGTCGGCAGACAGGAAGAGATGCGGAGAGTTCGGAGAAAGGGGGGCAACAAGGAGAAGGTGTTTGGATGTGACCTGCTGGAGCACCTGACCGCCTCCTCCCAACAGAGTAAGAGAACTTCTGTGACCACTTCCTCCACGTCGCGCGCCGTGCATCCAAAAAACAGACGAGTGCAGAATGAAAGCAATAAATCAGCAGAAACAACAGCGTTGACTAACCAAAGACGCTGGAATGAACATATAAATACATATATATATATGTTCTATCTGACAGGATCAGAAGTGTCACTCAATTTGTGAACATTTCAAAACCACAAATGACATCCTCTAAGCGTCACACCCTGGTTGGTAAAGGAGTCATTGAACCGGATTGATTGTCGACACCTCGTTGACATTTATTCATCCAATCTGGTCACAACAGTTGGTTGTCATTTGGCAGACATGAGTCAACAGAGTGCATGTTCATTTATTTCTTTATTAAGACTCAAACCACACATGATTAAACCCACCGGGTCTACTCGGATCCTCTTGGTCGTTCTGTGTCTATCGGGAGACACACAGGTGCGATCAGAAGAACTTGAAATAGCAGTGGTTGAATCTTTAAAAAGAAAGCATATAAGGGCTACTTGACCATGAAACATGCAGATAAAATCCACAACAGCCATATGTGCAGGTTCCAGGTCAACAAACACTTTAACCGTCCGCCACAGTTCCTCAGGTCCTGCAATGCTGCGGTGAGTTTGTTGAGACGCATGGGATCGTGGACGGCATCTACAGGTTGTCCGGAGTCTCGTCCAACATACAGAAACTCAGGTGAGTTTCCCCATATCTGTAAATGTGTCGTAGCACACGTATGTATTGCGTGGTTTCAAATGTGATCGATGTGCATCCGAGGGGGGAGTTTGAGAGCGACGGGACTCCGGACCTGAACAAGGACCTGTACCTGCAGGACATCCACTGCGTCAGCTCTCTGTGCAAAGCTTACTTCAGAGAGCTGCCGAACCCTCTGCTCACATACCAGCTGTATGACAAGTTCGCCGTGAGTAGCTCGATGCCCACCAACGTTTCCCCGGCGGGCGATGAACGAAATGTCCTCACTTACCGACTTGGGGTCTGCGTTACAGGAGGCCGTGGCCATCCAGCTGGAGGAGGATAGGCTGGTGAAGATCCGAGACGTACTGAAGGAACTTCCGGAACCGCATCACAGGTACCGTCCGGTAGCACACGCGCAGAAATCTGGCGCCGCCGCTTCCCCTGCGGCGCCGACGTGACACTGGACTTTGTCGCCGACAGGACTCTGCAGTTTCTGATGCGGCATCTGGTCAAGATGGCGTCGTTCAGCTCGGAGACCAACATGCACTCCAGGAATTTGGCCATCGTCTGGGCCCCAAATCTGCTCAGGTTTGCTAGTATTATGGCGTACGATAACATGTGTGGTTCTGATGTTCCGGTGCTGTTTCGGGGGGGACGTGAGGCGGGTTTGATTTCTGCTGAAGTTCTGCTTAACAGCAGCGAGTTTTAACAACAGCCATGTTCGTTCCTTTGTTGCGATCACACACTCTTGGGGATTAGCGCTCTCGCTAGCTTTAGCTTTCGGCGCTGGTAGATGCTTTGGAAAAGAGTTTTAAAAAGGGCTGTAAATAAACACACCCAATGTGCAGTTGTACCTCGTAGTGCAGTTTTTCTTGACAATATTATAAATGATTCATGTTTTTTTTTCCTCATTATTCTCGGCATCAATTATTCTGTGTGTTCAGGTCAAAGGACATCGAGGCGTCTGGGTTTAACGGCACAGCGGCCTTCATGGAGGTCAGAGTTCAGTCCATCGTGGTGGAGTTCATCCTCACACACGTCCCTCAGCTGTTTCCAGAAGAAGGTACGATAGTTGCACTGAATATTGTTCCATCTGTTTTGAATGAAATGCAGTTGTTTGGGCGGCAAATCTGGAGCCGAGCTGAAAACGGCGCCGTACTGATCACCGACTTCTGCCATGTTCAGGTTGGTCAAATGAGAGAAGAAAGTCCCTCCCCTCCCCGGCACCGATGCTCAATCAGGACGATGGGTTTTTCAAGACCGCTCATCCTTTCCCAAACTTTGGTCAAATCAGCCCAGGCGACGGCCCGCTACCCATCAGACCATATCACGCCATCATTGAAGGCACTGACAAGTGAGCAGACTCGTACAAATACTCAAAATGATGAGCGCTGCAGCTAAAATGAACACGTGTTCTTAAAGGCGACGAGAGACCCGTATCTCACGTTAACGGGACATCGTTAAATCTTCTTTCTTTCCGTGTCTTGTTCAGGAGGAAAGGGTCTCTCAAAGGCAGGAAGTGGATGTCCATCTTCAACATCGGAGGGCGATTCCACGACCCGCGGCGGAAAAACAAACACTCAACCAAAGGTACAAAACGCGCCACAGTTATGAGTCCTGGAAGCTGCTCTTATCCTTAAAAATTTGCTCTGTTAAGTTTATGTTCAGCACATTCAATTATAATAATTAATAGTAATAATAATGTGTAAAAACCTCTCATGTAAGTTTATAAAGATTAGTAATTTCTCTGATATTGTTGTTGAACTCCGATGCTCATTTTGTACTTTTATTCAATGACTTTCAAAAAAATAATATATTTAGACTTTTGCAAAACATTTTACAGCCATATATATTTTTTACTTTTTTTCTATTACATTTTACAACATAACTTATTTGGACTTTATTTCTAAAACATTTTTCGACCTAATATATATATTTTTTCAAGGCCTTTCTTTAACATTAACAATTTGTTTTTTCAAAAAAATGTTGACCAATATTCCTAGATTTTTTTTCTTTCTCATGATATTTATTGACCTGATATTGATTTACTTTTCATTCAAAACATTTTTGGAAATAACATATTGAGACTTAAAAAAAAAAAAATTTAACCTGATATTTTTGACTTTTTATTAAATTTTCCATGATAGTTTTCGACCTAAATTTGGTTGTTATGGATCTAATTAAACTTCCCTTTCTTCATCCTCACCCCACTTTCACACGATTGGTCCTTTCTGTTCTGCAGAGAAAGAAAGGCCTGCTCTGAGACCAGCGAGGAGCATGGACTCCCTCAGCACGCCGTCGTATCCACATGAAGGTGCTACTTCTGTCACCCATTTACCCGATTTAGATTTATTCAGAACTATAGATAAATATTTCAATACAACAATAGAAGAATACTTAACTCCTCACTCACAGATTAGAAACATCAATATATATAATTAATTCAACGACCAAAATAGTCGCACTTTGCCATAAAGTATTTTCTGTCTTTTCGGTTCCAGGTTCCAGACGTACGGCCCAGCGGCCGCCCTCCACCAACATGTCTCCAATCGTCACCTCCTCCGCCCAGTCCGGCGCCGAGGTCACGGCCTCCACCGGGGCGCTGGGGGGCAGTGAATACGCCGTGACCTACCGCAGGGGAACCGGGTTGGTCAGCGGGGGCTCGGGGACCCAGGGCACCTACACCTGCCTCGACCCCGAAGGTCTGGGACTCTCGGACAACGAGACTCTGCAGTCCAGATCCCCGGGGATCTCCAGCAAAGGCCGAAGAGCGGCCATGCACATCACGGGCCCCACCTTGGTTACGGTGCCCCTGCATATCACCTCCAACCTGGCGTTAGGGGTGCTGCAGGGGGGCGGGGGCGACAGGGTCATCCACCGGGCCAGAGACAGAGACGGAGCCGACCGGGTGGAAGGCCAGGAGGGGGGAGAGAAGATGAGGAGGAGGGAGAGCAGAGGAGTGGAAAGGAAGGTGGAGGAGAGCAGAAGGCTCGAGGAAGAGGAGAAGGCGACAGACGGGGGGGAGGTGGAGGAGGCGGGAGGGAGTGAGGGGGCCGGCGGTGGTGGGGAGGAAGCAGGGAAAGGAAAGGAAGAGGAGGAAGAGGAGGAGGAGGAGGAGGAGGTCGTTGAAGAAAGTGGGCCGATGGGAGAAGCGCGCGGTGCCTCCGGAGAGCGGCGAGCAGCGAGCCGGACCTCCGACACCGAGGGAGACGGCGTCGTGGAGGATGACGACGACGTGGATGAGTACATGGGTAACGCCCCCTATTCCGTGACCACGCGCGTCTATTTCATCCGCACAGCATGAAAACATGATAATTCAACATGGTCTCGTCCTTCACCTACAGACATGAACGAGGCGAACCGTCGGCCGGAGGCGACGCAGCGCCACGACGACGACGACCGCGTGTTCGATGCTCCCGACATCCTCCATTCAACTGTGGTGGAAGAGGAGGACCAGGAGCTGTCCTGCTACGTTCAGGATAACTTTGACTTCCTGGACCACATGGACTGCAGCGCCCCCTACCAGGTACGTGGGGCTTGAGCTTTGCAGTATTTAAAAAAAAGGGATGAATGTCAAAGTGTTCTGCTCTCGTCTCCTTTTGGCCTCTCAGGTGAGCGAGTTCTCCGTGGAGCCTCCGGGCCACTCGGACGACGAGTACGAAGTCATGGAGCAGCCTCAGCTGGCCGAGCCGCGGGCGGACGCGCAACCCGCCGCCGCCGCGCCAACTACCCAGTCAAATCCACACAGGCACCTCAGCATCGACTCACAGGGCCGACACACTAAATCGCTCAGCTTGCCGCACATGGCGTCGCCCGTCTTCGGATCGAACGAGTCCTGCTCCGAAGAGGAGGCCGCGGTGGAGGACAGCGATGACAACGATTACAGCAGCGAGGAGGACGAGAGCATGTTTGTGAAAAGCCTCCCCTGCAGCTTCTTCACGCAGGGTTCGCCCTTTGACACTGACCCCGATGAGCGCGGCGGCGGCGCTCTTGCTCCTGAGCGCCGGTCGGGGAGCCCCGAGGAGGAAGAACGCCCGACTGTGGAAGTGGACTCTTCCGCATGTGAGGAATCAACCGCTGGAGACCAGGAGCAGATAGAAGTAGAAGACGAAGGAGATGAAGAGGGACTGAGAGGAAAGGAGCAAGCAGAGCAGGAAGAGGAAGATACGCAGGAGAACCAAAGGTGAACCACAATAAGTGCCCCTGCAGCCACGACGTATTTATTACAAAGTGCACATTTTAAGGCGTTCTTATTAAGTATTTGTATATTAGGTGAGAAAACTGCACGTAACATGGAAGCAGTGGCTTGTAGTGATGAACTCACACATCCTGCTGAGGGAACATTTGATCAATTTGATAAATCTGTCATTCGTTCGCAGCCAAGCGACAGCAGAAGACGTCCTGGAGGACTCTCAAAGCGACGAAGAACAACCTCTCCCTCCACCCGACTTCCCGCCGCCCGGCGACGACCAATCGGCCGCCGCCGCCCGCGTGGACGTCGAGGACGAGGCGGACGCGTTTGGCGACCATCGCGGCGGTTGTCCGCCTTCCCGCGACGGTCCTGGCGCGACGCAGAGCGACGCTGTCGACGTTCCCTCAGAGGGGTCCAGGGACTCCGCTGTGGCGGCGACAGGACAGCCGGCGAAAGAGAGGGACGGGGGAGAGGACAGACAGGTGAACGAAGAGGCAGAGGACACGTGTCCCGAGACGTTGATAGAGGTGAAAGTAAGTGGCGGTGACGCGTGGGAGGGAGGCGGGGGAGTGATAGCTGAGCGGGGAGGTGACGAAGAGCCGCACGGCGCTATTTGTGGTGAACTCGAGGACGCCGTCGCGTGCGAAGGGATGAAGGTCGAGGAGAGCGAGCAGACGGACGGGGAGGGGGACACGATGAAAGACGCCAGCGATGGAGGAGAAGACGCGCCGGCAGCAAAGGGTCCGGGAGAGGAAATGCTGGAAAGCGACAAAGAAGGAGGCAGCGCAGAGGTGGCGGAGGAATCGTCGGCGGAGGCCGAGGAAAAGCTCGCGGAGCCCGAGACGCAACCGCAGTTTGAGGAAAACGAGGCGAAGACAAGTGAAGGAGAAGGAGGGAAGCCTGCCGCCAGCGACAGAGCACAGCACCACCAGAGAGTGGAACTGGTTTTAAAAGAGAGAGAAAGACACGACGAGGATAAAGACAGAGCCGATAAACAACCACAAGAGGTCAGGGGGGAAGCGAGCGAATCGATGGAGGGCAGAAAGTGGGAGGAAAGTGGTCGAGGAGGAGGAGGCGTAGGGAGGAAACTGGTCATCTCCAAACATCCGAAGGTCTACCAGGCCAAAGCGGTGCCGGTCGTGCCGCCGAAGCCACAGCACTGCAAGATCACCGCCATGTCCCTCCGACAGCAGCAGCAGCAGCAGCAGCAGCACGGAGAGACGAGAGGCGAAAACACGGCGAGGGTCGCGGCGGAGTGGGAGAAGGTCTGCGCGGGAGACGGCGAGGACGAGGGCAGGGGGAGGAAGGAGAGGCCGGCGCTCAGAGGAGGGGAGAAGGGTGAGAGGGGGGAGAGGGAGAGAGGGAGGGACGGGGAGGAGAGCGCCAGCAGAAACAGTCCCCTCAGCATGTGCTTTGACGAGGCCGTTGCCATAGCGACCATGAGGCGGGAGAAGGAGAAGGAGTGCGGGAAGGAGAAGGAGAGGCAGAGGGGGAATGAAGCGCAGTGAAGTTTTTTTTTTCTTTTCTTTATTTGTATATTGATTTGAATTGTTTGTGACTGTACAAACTATTTTTCGACACGTAGCAAAGGAGCTTTTGTACTTTCAGAATAGGATACAGTGTTTTTCTGAATGCTACTAATGATGTTATGTATTTTTTTATTAGATAAAGAACTGTAGAGCTGACAGGTGACGAGGGAAACGTAATGGATGAAATGCAAATCTCCAATCGGAGAGCTAATAAAGGAACAGACCTGAAGTTAGATTGCCCTAAAACTGTAAAAGTCAAAGAGCTGCTGAAAGATGTTGATGTTACATGTAAAACCCAGGATTTTCACAGCTTCCACACTCTGGATCCATAAGACTTTAAACTTTAAAGTGATGAGTCTTGAATCCAGCTCACTCCTGTGTGCAGTTGTCGTCCAAATATACCGAACTTATATAATTATGTAATTATAAAAAGTAAATGTACCGTATTCAGTATATGTATGAATAAAAAGCGGCAGGTATATTGTTTACCATATAGTTATATGGTTCTATTTTCAAAGACGATAAATGATGAATATTATGCAAAAGTAAGTGTTATTTTTTAGACATGGGAATAAAAAGATGTTTCCAAAATGTCTGTCATTTTATTTTTTATAAATATTGTTTTTGTTTGTTTCATTTCGTTTACATACAAATATTAACATACAAAACATTAATTCATTCTCAGTTTTGTAAATAGGTTAAAGAATTTGCTGTCATCATTGAATATTATACATTTTTTTTCTTAACTGAGATGGATATTTGTGCTGCGCGTGTATTAAAAGAGTTACGCCCGCCGCCTTCTACGTCACATCCGCCCTGAACTCTTTTCCCGGAAGTAAAACAAAATAAAACAGCCTGGAAGGCTCTTCCATTCGCCGCAGAAGCCCCAGCTGTTCAATAAGGATCAACAGCCGCTTCTGCTGCGTTTTCACTTCCACTCGGCGGGATGTCGTTCGCCTCCTCGTTAACCGCGCAGATCGCCGCCGTCGTGGATTCGTTGTCGAAAGCCGCGGTGGCCGAAATCTCTCAGCTGGTGGAGGAGGGCAGTCTGGTGCTGCGCCTGGAGATGTGTCGGAAGGACGCTGAGATTCAGGAGCTCCGAAGAAGTTTGAAGCGGATGGAAGTTGACCTCTGCAACGCTGAGGAAGCGGCCACGACCCGAAGGACTGCGGAGGACTTCGTGCGAGGAGGTGAGCGCCCGTGGTTCCGCGCGGGAGAACCACCGGACCAAACCTCACTCAGAAACTCTGCAATTCAGATTTTGTATTCCTTTAAAGTAAATATTCTGCTTGTTAAAATATGACTTTGCATCCTTGACGATTTTGCATTGCCTACTGTTTAATTCGGCATGAAAATGAACCCATCATTTTAATGCAATTACACTTTAAGGACAAATATATTTTTGTTTTTCATTTGGAAATACAAAAATATAATGTCTAATATGAAATCATACCATTGTTTTTTCTCTCCAAAATAACAGCTCAAAACCAAAACGTAGCAGATTACTATAATCTAAGAACAACAAGTAACCAACCCAATTGAAGATTAATTTAACTTTTTATTATTATTTTTTGTAGTAAGTCGATGAAATGGACACATGAGGAGTGTTCAGAAGAGTAATTTAATGCTCCTCCAGTTGAACAGGATATGTAAATAGCCACGGGCCCCTGTTGTCTTCAGGGTTAACGAACAAGCTTCATACCCAAATGTGTAATTAGTCTACCAGTCCAACATCAAACAGTCGCCTGCTGAAATTACGGATTCAACCCTTTTATGTCCTGAAGACGGGAGTAGTTCTATTTTCAAGTGTTTCATTTAAATGTAAAGTATAATTAACACTGACGGGAATGGAAAAATCGAATTTTAATACAGAAAATAGAATCCACAGAGCGCCACAATGAAACGTTTTTTGTGAAAGATGCAGCGATCTCTTGTCTGATGCTGACTCAAGTAGCTGGATGAGTTATCAAACACTGCGAGCTCGGACAACCATACATCCTACGCATTTATGGTACCTTAAGATGGGTAAAGTTAAGAGAGCAAAAACAAAACCGTTGCTTTTTTCCCCCCCTGTCAATTCCCAGATGAAACGGAAGCTCAGGAAACTTGCGCGGTGTACCTGGAACCCGCTCGCTGCCTGTTCCTGCCCGGACCCGGTACCGAGGAGCGCCGCGGCACGAGGCCGCCGGTGAAGCGCGAGCCGGCCGATGACCTCGCCCCACAGGAAGCCACAGACGACACCTTGTCCACGGACTTCTGCTTCGAGGCGGGAGATCCGGACGACCCGATCTGGCCTCCTCCGGCCTGCGGCATGTTCGAGAAGAGCTCCGCTGCGATGCCGCCGCACCTGCACGTCCCGCCCCATCAGGCTGAGGGATACGCTGCTCAAAGAAACGCGGACGGTTCCGGTAACTCTTCGCCAACAGCAGAAGAAGTCACCGATGAGCCCTTGAGCGTGCCGATAAAGGTGGAGGTGGAGTTTCGACCCATGTGCATGGTAAGCGAGGCTTATGACTCTGCTCGTGACGAAGAGACGGGACATTCCTCCCACCCTGCGGCCACTCCGGACCAGTTCTTGCAGTTTGCTTCGCAGCAGGCCGGCCCGTCGCCCGCCGCGCCGCGGAGCTCGGCGGCGACTGCGTCGGGATTAAACGCAGACGATCCCGTCGTCAATGGCAACAGCCTGAGGGCAAAAAGGCTGACGAATGTCTGGAGGTCGAATCTGAAAGTGTTCCAGCGCATGTCTCAGCTGGAGGAGCACAGGGCCTCCCACCAGCTCTTCAAACCATTCAGGTGCCTCAAATGCGGGAAGTCCTTCACCCAGAAGACCCGGCTGAAGACGCACCAAAGCGTGCACACGGGCGAGAGGCCATTCAGCTGCAAGATCTGCGGCAAGATGTTCTCGAGGCAGGACAACTGCCTGAGACACGAGCGCTTCCACAGCGGCCTGAAGCCCCACATCTGCGGGCAGTGTGGGAAGAGCTTCACCGTGCTGGGCAACCTCAAAATACACCAAGCGATTCACCTGCAGGGAAGATAGCCACAGGCCGCCGGGCCAGTAACGAGGGACTTTTGGTCAATGCACTTTGACTGTTTTTGCTACAGCGAATTCAACCATAGAAAGTACATCAACCGTGCGTTTCAGGGGGCGAAGAAGGGGAAGCTGTGTGCTCACTGTGGGAGGAAAACCCGTTGTTATATTTATAGTTTTCTCCAACCAGTGTACTGCAAATGTTTGAAATGGAGGGTCATCGTATCGCCCAATAAAATCCACCTAAATTATTGTATTTATAGTTTTTTTTAAGGTCCATTTCGGCCCGTTCCCTGCTTATTTAAAAGATTTCTTGTGGCTGTTTTGAGGATGGCCTCTGATTTACAGATGCGTGGTTTCTATCAGAGATGCAGCAAGCTGCTTTGTTACGACCTTATGAAGCTGGTATCTGGTAACGGTCATCTTTTCCCTTATTGGTACTTTTGTGATGTTCCTTTGTCTTCATGAAGACGGACCTTTCCAGACAGAGACTGTTTATTTTAACCTAAAATGACTTTAGGTTTATTCAACTTCTCATGTGGTTAATGAAATCATTTCAGGTGCATCAGTAATTATTTAAGAGTGTCATATTTAAGGGAGTTTAGGGGTCTGTGACTTCTTGTTTTAATATTTGCACTTAATTCAAATCTGTGTGTATTGATTTGTTCCTCTTGACTTTAAAGTGTGTAAACTTTTCCATTCTTCTTTTGTTTTTCATGTTTCCCCTGCTGTATTTATTCAAAAATACATACAGATATAATTATGTAACATATACTAGAAATTAATATATTACCTATTGTTTATTTTATTAGTTTTCCCCTCGTTTTTGAATATGAACTTCCTATATTATGAGAGGGAATGTCGTTGAATGAAGTCATATTTTGTTGGAAGAAAAGGCAAATCAAAAATGCTTTTTAAATAAAATAAGTTAATAGTTGTCTAATCCTGCCCATCGTGTCTTCCTTATATGGTCTTATAATGCTTGTTAAAGGTGGTGAAAAAAGTTTAATTTCTTAAGGTAAATGTAAATTATTTTAAAAAACATTAGCTTTTTTTTTACATTTAAATACTATGATTGCTTCGTTAAGATGATTTAAACAGAGTTTAATACACACTGCCGTGCTGTTTTCCTTTGTGTTCTTTGTGTTTTTACGTTTTAATTTAAATTTCTTAATTACTTGCCGTGTGTTTTAAAACCGGTGTGTTTTTGCATTGTGTGAAAAGAAGATAAACCTCCTCGGCCACGTGCGTTGCGCCTCTGCTCACCCACTTACGGTATTTGTGGCATCACTTCCGGGAGACGCGAACTTGTGTTTATTCTTTGTAGCAATTAGCCGCCGCTAGCTCGAAGCGGCGCGCGCGCACACACACACACACACACACACACGGTAAGGAAACAGCCCCGTTGCGTTCACGGTCAGCGGCTTCAGCCGTGGCTCGTTCACGGCGGCTGTGACGTCCGTGGAGCTCAAGGCGCGCGCGCCCCCCCCCCACCCCCCCCGTCCGCGTGTGTGGGTGTTGTGGTCCCAAAAACCAAACGGACAAAAACCAACAACAACAATGCAGAGCGGCGTTGCCATTCGGGCTCAGATCGCCTCCGTCATCGACGCGCTGTCCGTCGCGGCGGTGGCGGAGATCGCCAAAGTGGTGGAGGACGGCCTGGTGGTGCTGCGGGTGGAGATGCGTCAGCGCGAGGACGAGATCCACAAGCTGAGGAGCGACATCGAGGTTCTGCACGGCGACCTGAGGACGCTGCGGGGCGGCGTGACCCCGCGACCCGGGAGCCACGGGAGGGCCGGTGAGACAGACACACACACACACACACAATCACCGTGTTAACCAGGATACACACCATTCCCTGCCCTCCTCTCCCATCTGACCTTTAGTCTGACACATCCTCCACACGCACGACTCTCTCTACACAATCATGTATTTAATAAAGGTGTTAATGACTCAACATGGCCGTGTTTACCTGAGGGGGAACCTTTGGGTGTGTGTTACACCTGTTATGGCCCCCACTGATCCCAACTGGTGTCCTGATGTTCCATGTTGACCGGCACCTTGTCTCCCGGCCTTGATGCCCCCCTCTCTCCCACTGAGCTGACCTCATGTGCACACGTGACCTATTCAACTCTCAGTCAACGCGTGTAACCGCTGTGTGCTGTCGTGTAACTCTCACCCTGATGACCCTAATGAGGATGGCCGTGGACACATAGTATCTAAAGTGATTGTAAATGGATGTATGTTGGAACAAGCAAAACACATTTACTGGTTCCCACTGCATGTTCCCAAGGAACCAAAAACCATGTAGTATTACAACCCTGGGAATAGAGGACACTTTTAATTTAGGGCCCTCAGAGCATTCGGTCCCTTGGTAAGTATTGTTTTATTCGTACATTGAAAGAGTTCTAAACCCAAATATCTGCCCTTCCACAGAGAGTCAGAGGATCGCTGCCGATGAGAGAACCTCGCTTGACAAGAACCAAAACCACGCGGACCACAACGGCCTGCCGCTACCTGAGGTGCAGGTGAAACGTGAACCCGCGGAAGAAGAGGGCGGCGAGAACGGACGGCGGCCGGCGCCGCAAACCCGCCCGGGGAGCCGCGGTTCAGGTCATCTGAATCCAGCGCAGGTCTCCTCGCCGCGTTTCCCGGAGCCCTCCCCGGGGGCCGGGCCGCCCGCGCCCCGCTGCTGCTCCGCCGGGTTCCCGCAGAGCCCGTTCAGCCGCGGGCCGCCGGGTGCCGGCCAGTACCGCGGCTCGTACGGCGCGGCGCGGAGGAGGACGGCGGCAGCGGCGGCGGCGAAGAGGTTGATATTCAAGAAGGGCTTCCTCTGTCTGTACTGCGGCAAGTGCTTCGAGCGCTCGGGGCACTTGGAGCGGCACAAGAGGATCCACACCGGGGAGAAACCGTACCGCTGCGAGACGTGCGGGAGGCGCTTCAATCAGAAGTGCAGCCTGAAGGAGCACACGAAGATCCACCGGCGATGTGAGTAGAGCGCCCGCCGCGCCGGAGCAAACAAAGTCCCTCCTTCGGTCAACAGCCGCGCTTCGAGGCGCCTTTGAGCGCTTTGTCCCCTGAAGCTCGTTCCCGTGGGAAAAAAAAAATGGGAAAACCTCGTTTGAAGTCTCAGTTTGATTGGATCGTAACGTGTCTCCTGATCTGAGCTTTCCCGGCTCAGGGAGGTCATGACCTTTCAGCTGTGGAGCTGCTGGGGATTCCTGCGCGTGGGATTAGGGAGCCTCACGTGGTCCTCAGGGATCTGCAGGCAAATCACTTTTCACATTTAAAACAACCGCTAAATAAAGCATTTTGAACGCGCGTGGAGAAGCGATAAGCGCGTCTCTTAATTTGAAAGTCTTCTAGCACGTCTTTCATCGGCAGCCGTTGGAGGTCGTACCTCGGGGTCACGGCAGGCAGAGAAGCTGCGCGGTTTAAACTGAACGCGGGCGGCGTGTCGAAGGGGGGAGGGGCTTAAATGCGCCCCGTTGACAGCTGGGTTTTCGCCCGGCTGGATTATAAGATAAACGGCCTTTTTATCCTCTTTACTGCCCGGGGGGGAAACACTCGCTGGATATTCATTACTGGTTTCATGTTACGTACTATGAGGCCTTTTTTAAGTGGCAACGGTTCGATTCCCGCGGGATGCGTGCTGGGAGGACTGGGATGCAAACAGACGACCCGGCTGGTTTGGGAACAAATGAAACTGTTGTGAGGAAGTTGTTGGTTGGATGGAAGAAGTGACCACGCCCCTTTTTTACAAAGTGTCTTCTGTTCTTAAACAGCTGTTCAGGCCGAACCCCTGGAGATGGAAGTGGCCGAACGGAAGCGCGTCCCCGAGGAGAATCGGCCTGCTGACGCTCTCCGCCAAGAGGGCGCGGTCAAAGTGGAGGACGCGCACGTGAAATGCGAGCCCGCGGAGGACGAGAGCGTCGCGCCGCCGCTCCTCGGAGGAGGCGAGCAGACGAGGGGAGCGGCGGGCGACGGCCCGAGCGAGAGCTTTGCCTCGTTCGGGACGGACGGCGAGCGGTGGAGGTTCCAGATCGGCGGCGCGGCGTCCTTCCCGGGGATGGCTGAGCCGCTTCAGCCGGCGGCCGAAGCTTCTCGCGGCGCATCGTCCTTTCCGGGAAAACCGTACGGGGAACCCGGCCGCGGCGGCGTGGCCTCCCGGTCGCCGTACGGCTCCTCGGACGCGCTTCCGACCCCGAGCGAAGCGGGTCTGCACGGTGCCGCGGGAGGAGGCGGAGGATGCGGAGGAGGAGGAGGAGGAGGAGGCGAGGAGGAGGAGGAGGAGGAGGAGGAGGCCGCTGCTTTCAGGCGATGAAACCCAAGAAGTGCTTCATCTGCTCGTACTGCGGCAAGATGTTCGAGCGCGCCGGCCACCTGGAGAGACACTTACGGATTCACACCGGGGAGAAACCGTACGGCTGCCACGTCTGCGGGAGGTGCTTCAACCAGAAGAGCAGCCTCAAGAGCCACATGAAGACGCACCGGAACGGTAAGAGACGAACCGCGTCCTCCATTCCAGAAGCTCACCCACGCGCTCGTTTTAATTCCCCCCCCCCCCCTCGCTTGCTCTCTGCCCCCGAAACAGGGGAGACCGCGGACGGGCCGGAGGCGCATCGCCCGATGTTCACGATGCCCGAAACCCGACCGCCGAGGAACCCGCCGGAGCCCGACCCCGCCCTGGTAACGCCGGAGGAGCAGGCGCTGGGCGCGGCGTACGGCGAGCACGGCGTGACGGTGAAGCTGGAGCCGCGCGGCGAGGACTTCGGCGCGGACGCGGGGCAGCTGTGGACCTGCGGCGCGGAGAGTGGCGTCGGCGGCGAACAACCCGTCCACGACGCCGGGTATCACCACGCGGCGGCCGTCGATCGGCGGGGATTCGCTTCGCCCCCGAGAGATCCGCCTTTTCCAAACGGCAGCGAGGCGGAAGAAGCGACGGCGCTCGGCGATCGGTACGCGGCGGCGGCGGCCGGCCGATCCGGCGTGACCTGCGAGCTGCCCGTCCACGAGTACGGGTCCCTGAGTGACGGGACGCACGGAGGGGGCGGGTTCGATTTCGATTTGAGCGGCGCTGTGCCGTGTGGCGGCGGGGACGCCGCGGGGCAAAGCTGCTTCATATGCTCGACCTGCGGCCAGAGCTTCGACAGCTTCGCTTGCTTCCAGAGGCACCGGTGCAGCGAGGCGTCGGGGGAATCCTTCGGCTGCAAGATCTGCGGGAGGGTTTTTAATCAGATGAGCGTCCTGAAATTGCACCTCGAGCAGCACGTAGAATGAACGTCACGCAGTGACTTTGTCACCGGCGCAAAGAAGAACAAAACGTGCAGGAATGATCCAGTAGAAGCTTTTCTTTGGTCACATTTCCAGTAGAAAATGTACTTTGCACAACGTTGTGTTTCTTTTACTTTGAGCCGCTCGATGTGCTTGTTTGACTCGAATCACCAGTCGGGTCGCTTTCTGTTTCCATTAGTTTCCCTTTACGATGATCGTTTGTTTTGAGAATCCTAATGGACACGCATCATTGAGGAAATCACTGCGCTCACAGGAGTGGAAGTGGAAGGGAGCCGGTCCGTGACATTTTGGTCTCTTTTTCGTTTCCACTAAAGGACTCTCACACAACCACACGGCTCCAATGACTTTTCATAATTAACATGAAGACGTTGCACTATTACTCAATTTCCAGATTGGAAATGCGCTTTCACGTATCGGCGTATTTTTTGTTCTTTATTATTAAGAACTAAGGGTTTCATGAGAATGTTATTTTTGGCAACAAAAACGGATAATTTTAGTGGAAATTGGTTCAGTTAGAACGAATGTCAGAGATCCTGTTTGTTTTACTGTCCAATAAGAAACATGTGAAATCAATCGGCGCCATCGAGCTTTGATAAGGTGGACCAATGATGTTTTTTCTAAGATACACTTTGTGTTTGGGATCCACATCAATTTATTTTCCCTAAAAATATGGAATTATGCCTCTGGTTTTTCTTCTGAGGAGGACTACTTAAGTTTATAAAGAGACTGTATTGTCTTCACGTTGAGTTGAACCAAAGTAACGGACCCTCATAGTACAAAGTACTGTGTAGCTCAAATTATCATTGCCTTTAAAACTGCATTCACGTATTATTTCATGTTTGATTGTTTTGGTTTAGTCAGACAGATTTAAGGCAAAATGTCAAGATTATAAGAAATCTTTTTTGTTTGATATTTCAAGAAATGGAAGGAACTGCAGTAAGGTAATGCTTATGTGAAACATTAAATACCTCAGTAATACACACAATCTCCTGCCAGAATTGGAAAATCAAATATTTATTTTAGGTAGATATTTCTTTACACATTTACATCACATCCAGAGTCTGCTTTTTTTTTTTTTGTCTTTTTGTATTTTCAAATAAAATCAAAAATAGGTCAAATGAAGTCTTGCCGTCTGGTTTTATGTCTTTGGGTTTTCTGTCTGCGTGGAGTCGACTTCGGGTCAAAGGTCGCCGCGACCTCTCTGTCCCGTTTGAGCGACTCACTCGTACAAACTGATTACAATTTGATGTTTTTTTTTTCTTTCTGGGCAAATATGTAATGACCACAAATGAAATATGAACACGCGTAGAAAGAGGAACCAATCCACGATGTTCACAACCCTCCTGGATGAGGTGGATGGAGGGACGAAGCAAATTCATCACGCCCACTTCAATGACCAGTGTAATCCTTTAAAACCACTGGAGCCAATAGCCTATAGTTGCTACAGGCTATTAGCTACTATGGTAGGATACAATGATGACTCGATAACATTTTGAACGTACGTTGATGGAACCTGCAGCTCCACCCTTCAGTTACTCGCGTTACATCCTTTCCTTCCAGGCGCTTCCACATTCAGGGGAATAACAATAAACAAGAGGAACCGATTCGGATCCTCGGCACCACTTCAAACTAATTTCTAGGGTCAGTTGTGACTATTTAACGCTAACGGACGCGCTTACAAAAGCAAAGCTGCTTGTTTTCAAAAGTGGACCGGTCATCTTTCATAGGAAAAATACACAAACACACTGATAAAAACATCTATCGGTTAGGAAATAGTTTTTTATTTTCTGTAAATTTGTATTTTTAAAAAAACTAATGAAAAACCCACCGTCATTGAAGTGAGTCACTTTTTCTTTATTTTTATTAAGACACTGAACAAAAGACGATGTTGGTTCAAATCCCCGTGCGTCCGTGCGCGTGTATTTACGGTAAAGCTCCTCCGCCACACGGAAGAGCAGCTTCCAGCTAGCGGGCAACACCGAGATGTGAAGTGTTTCAGTGCGTCGCTTGTTTATTTTTTTTAACGCATTTTTTCTTTTAAATAAAAAAAACCCCAAAACAAGCAAACATCGCGCGCGGGGGGATTCATTTCGCGCCCCCCGCGTCCTCGCGCACCAGCCGACATGGCGACGTGCATTCCCTTTCAGACCCAGTTGTCCTCGATAATGGAGGTCCTGGTCAAAGCGGCGGTGGCGGAGATTTCCAAACTGGTCGACGACAAATGCGCGTTTCTGCACCTGGAAATCTCTCGCAGGCAAAGCGAGAACGACGCGCTGAAGAGGAAACTGCTGCTGATGGAGAACAGGAGCGCGCGGCCGCCGCGCGGGTTCGGTGAGATGCTGCACGCGCGATCTCGTCCCCTTATGGACTATTGACGTAGCGCGGGTTAATGTCTCCCCATCATCACGCGCGACGAGGGGTCGACGCGTGCACCGCACGTGGCCCTCGCGAAATACACGCGTTTGCTCCTCTTGAAGCTGTGTTGCGTTTTGACTTTGGGCTTTTTAAGCATTTGTTCCTTTCCTGCTCTAGAAAACTACATGGACCGAGGGACCGATGTGGGGACCTGTCCGCGTCCCGCTGGAGACATCAAGGTCCGCGTCATGTTCACCACCCGTGAACTGTGATTGATGGGTGTATTATTCCTCTGCAGTCCTCTGGGTCACCAAACCGGGCAGACTGAGCGACGCCTCAGAGCCCCGAAGCACCGGGGGCCCTAAAGCCGATTTCCTTCTGCCCAGAGGCCGCCAAGAGCGAGGCCGAGTGTTCCAACCGGACTTGCATGGACGCTGGTGTTGAACCGGCTTATAAAGTCCGAATTAGAGCGGCTCCTGTTAGTTGTGCGTTAAGGGACTTTGCTCTCACCTGTAGGGGCCGAAGACGAGAAGGTAAAAGGTTTAAAGCCTATTGGGGCCCAGTCGTTACAGGCGGCCCGTGTGGGGCGGCAATGAAGTGTAATTATAGTAATTATAAAATAATTTTATATCAAACCCCCCCCCCCACTCCTGCAGAATCTGTTCATGCGCAAATGCAGAGAAATTGTGGGCAGCAGTCCGCACGACCTGAGAAATCTACCGCTGCAAACTACCTATTGCATCATTCGTAAAGCAGGTTCAGATGTGCATTGAAAAGGTCTTTGTAAAAGCGGGAAAGAAACACCGTCACCCAGAAACCACACGACTGATGGTTGAAAGAAGTCACGACTCGGTGAATTAGACATTAAAGAGACAGATGTTTTCCTTCAGAGAGCAAATATTTGAATATCACTTTTTCCGGCCCGTTTGGTCACTAAAATGACTCCAAATGAGCGCCGGCGTTGCCGTGTGCCTGCTTGATTTTCTACGAAGAAGCCGACGTCTGCTAACGTGTTTGTTCTCTTTATTCAGTTCAGTGACGTCGACGGCGCCGCCGTCTCGTTCACAATCAAAGAGGAAAGTCCAGACGAGATGCTGTGGATCAGTGACTCCGCCGCGCCGATCGGTGAGTTGAAGAACGGGATTTTTATGCACAAATAAACTCTATAAACGAACTGCGTTTAATCCGCCGGTCGCCCGCAGGCTCCGCTGCACGATACCGCGCTCCGGCCAACGCCGCTCCAAGCCAGCGGCTGGAGGAGGGCCGCCAGTCGGGCCGCTCGGAGGCCGGCGACTTGTACGCGGGGGACATCGCCGTCGGCCATCAGTTCGCCGTGAAGACGGAGAAGGAGGAGGACCGATCGGCGTTCGGCCGGGGTGGCTGCCTGCACGGCGCCGGGAAGCAGACGCAACTCGCCGCCGACTTCTCCATGGACGAAAGAGAGAACCAGCTGTGGTCGTCCATCATCGAAGGCGGCGACATCGACGCCCGGCTTCCCCGACTTCTCCAGCGTGGTGGAGGAGTATTCCAACACCTTTCCGGACCACTCCGACGCGCACGCCGCGTCCAGCGCCGCCAAGCCGCCCGGCGCCCCGCAGCCGTCCCCCCAGAGGCCGTGCAACGGGATCTACAACAGCGACGGCCCGCAGTCGTCCGGCTTTCAAGCCGGGCCTCCGCCGGACCGCCCGAAGCAGGAGGTCCACCCGCAGAGGGACGCCGCAGCCCGGCCGCCCGGCGGCGGTGGCGGCTTCCACCCCCACAGGCCCGCCCCCGGCGCGGCCCGCAGCTACGCCTGCTCGCACTGCGGCAAGACGTTCGGCCGCCTGCACCAGTTCAAGCTGCACCAGCAGAGCCACAAGAGGAAGCGGGCCTTCTGGTGCACCGTGTGCGGGAAGAGCTTCCAGTGCTCGTCGCACCTCAGCATTCACCACCGGACGCACACGGGCGAGAAGCCGTACGGCTGCGGCCAGTGCGGCAAGAGGTTCACGCAGCAGAGCAGCCTGAGGGTGCACCAGCGGACGCACAGCGGCGAGCGGCCCTACAGCTGCTCGCTGTGCGGGAAGACCTTCATCCTCATGCACCACCTGAAGCGCCACCGGATCATCCACACGTACAGCTGAGGCGTCTTGAAAGAGACAGGAAATGACCCTGAGAAGCAAAGCTGAACGGCGGTTTTGTTTCCTGAGGTCTTTGGCGTCACGTCGTCGCTCACAGGCTTTGTACATCGATGCATATTCCACTATGCAAACTCCATCCGGGCGGATTTTAAGACGCTTGCTTCGCTTTTAAACACTTCTGATCATTAACACGTCAAGCGGCGTCGCGCCGTCAAGACAGGAGTCACGCAGTATTTTTTTCCCGAAAAACCGTCAAAAGCTAGAAATCCAAAAAAGACAAACCGAGGTCCAACATGTCTTTTCGAAGAAGAATCCTGTTCCTCTCCGATCGCCACTTTGTTTCAGCTCCTCGTGTAGAAAACATGCCTTACTCCATTCGAGCACTGGAAGCACAAGACGCTCATCGCCCCACCAACCCTTCGGTCACCAGGGCGCTTCGCACCTCTCACGGTTTATGACTCGATGTCAGTCAGTGGCCCAAAACCTGCGCGACTTATGCTCCGTGAAACGTGTCCCCCATTTTGTTATTATTTAAATTAAAGAACCCTGTAAACCAGCAGCTGGAAATACTGTTTTCACTCATTGCAACGATGGGTTTTTCGTTAACTGGGCTCTGAACTCAAAGATAGAAGTTGTGTCACTAAGATGCAGCAGAGGGCAGCCTAGGTCCTCTGCAGGGAGGAAAGTGAAAGTAAATGTTATTGCCAAATACTTTTCCTGGTGGATAAAGTTCATCCATCTCTGACTCATTGCTGCCAGCAGTTGTGTTTATTTAATCAGTTGACGTGTTGTTCTGAGGTGTTCAGAGGTTGTAGCAGACCTGACTATCTTCACGAGATCACTCAGAGAGTCGCTCAGAGCGTCGTCTTTGTCGGCTGGAACGCTATAATTAGTTTTATTCTGGAAACATCTGGAAACACTATCTGCATATTCCTGTCTCGTGCCGCTGCAGGTTATAAGTCTACGTGTCAAAGTTCATGATGTGGTTCGGTGGTCCATAAGGGTCACACGGACAGATGAGTCAACTTATCGATGCTGTTTTTTGTTTTGTTGAAATGACTGCGTGCCAACATGCACGCAGTCATTTCAACATGCACCATTTAAAGGAGCTGAGGGTCTAAATGCAGATTGTCGGGGAGGATCCTCGACCCGAGCGGAGCTATAGGCCCAGTTGGTGTTCTGACACCTTGTTTCCTGCGTTTCAGCACGCACGGCGCTGCTTGGACAGCCCACGCGTTTCCCTTTAAAGGCTGTAAAAACGCCTGCAGGAGCGCCATGGAAAATGTTGAGGAGGAGGAGGTGGAGGAGGAGGAGGAGGAAGAAAGGGGCATGTGCCAATGGATCTGTGAATGCGAGCGGATCTGGTGAGGGACAAACGGAGCGTCTCTCACGGAGGACAGCTGTGGACAACATCTGGAAGCTCACAGTGAATCAGCAGGATATGAGACAGAGAGACTAATCATAGCGTTTATAAGAATATTGTTGGTCTTTATGGTTTAGACCAGATCCTTTAGGTCCAGTTAGGAGAAGGATCTTCATGCTACAATACACGGTGATATTTTAGTTAATAGTCACTTTGGCGGTAAGATAAATGGCTCCGTGTGAAATGTTTTGGGGTTTTTCATGTGGTGAATTTCAAGCAGCCACAAAATCTATCAAATAAAAAAATCTAAAGAGCAGTTTTATAAATTTGGGAAGGAAAGAAATACGTCAAATACGTGCAATGTCTTTCACAGACGAGGAACTGTGAGAACCTGAACTTGACAATTTCAGGCGAGGATTAAAGTTTCAACTTGCTTGTTTTATTACCGCCGGAGGTGCTGATCTGATTCCTGGTGTGGCTTAAAAAAAATTATGAAAAGCATGAAAAAATCATGAAAAAGCACAGAAAACACTTAATGGATATAAAGGGAAAATAAAAACAAAACGTATTACTTGAAGTGGAAATATCTCTCACCTTCCACCAAACAGATCACAAACTGTCAGCACATGTTACTTTAAAACAAAGCACACAACAAAACTCTGTTTGCAAGTTCAGTGAGTTTATTGTAGAAAGTAGATTAGTAGTAATATATTGAAGCCTTTTTAGTAAAGCATAAAATCCCAGTCGGCTTACACAGTGATAAAACTTGGAGCAATTTCTTCAAAGGGTCAATCAAATATTGATTTATCATCAAAACAAACAAGAACAGCATTTAAGATACAATTAGTTTTAACTATTTTAGGACATTTTACAGCTTTGTCGCAATATACAAATATAATTTCCACCTTTCAGCTCTGATTGCATTAAATGTGATGAGCCTCTACATTAAAAAAGTTGAACATCACTTGATTCACATTTGTTTACTCGCATCAGGGAATGCTATTTGAAAGTCATATTTAAATTAAGTTATTATTATTTTTAGAAATTCACTTTGTGTGCATTATAAAAGTGGCCCAGTTTACTGGATTTTAAGACCAGACTTTAAGTAACAGTCGGTCGAAGCAAAGCAGAGAAGCAAGCGAGTCTATTGTGCAGTAAGTCAGCCGGCTGCTTAGAGCAGAGCAGCTGACCTGGGACCAGCTGCAGGAGGATTTGGGGGAGGAGGAGGGGGGAGAGGGGTAATTCTAGGTTCAGATGTTGCTTTTGTTGTGCTACATCCGGGACACGATGGTGGACACCAGCTTCTCCATCTGCCCCGCCCGCTGCCGGCCCGTCTCCAGCACCTCCTCGTGGTTGGCCTTTCCCGGCTGTCGTAGTCCATCACCGAGATGTTGGTGATCAGCGACAGCGCGAGGCAGCGCATGCCGGCGTGGCGAGCCACGATCACCTCGTGCGCAGTGCTCATTCCTGAGGGGAGGGGGTTTGAAATGTGGTTAAAATGTCCAGTTTTTATCACACTGTGACGTACAAGTGTGTGTGTGTGTGTGTGTGTGTGTGTGTGTGTGGTGTGGGGAGGGAGGTGGGGGTCTCTGCACTCACCCACGGCGTCGGCCCCCAGCTTGTGCAGCAAGCAACACTCGGCAATGGTTTCGAAGGAGGGACCCCCCAGCACGCAGTACACCCCCTGGGCAGGAAGTTGCTGTAGCCCAGCTCCGACGCCGCGTCGCGCGCCAGCCGCTGCAGCTCGCGGTCGTAGGCGTCGGACACGCAGGGGAAGCGCACGCCAAACCTGAGAGGGGGGGGCGGAGGACACGGTGTTAACTCAAGCAACACAAACACAACTGCTGCCATTTGGTACAGAACCCCCCCCCCCACCTTGGGGAGGTATTTACAATTAGCTCTCTGCGTGTGATGTTAACGGGGGGGGCGGGGCGCACAATGGAGGCCTTTGTTCACAAACCGGCTCAGCTGGGGGGGGGGGGTCGGGGCGGTGGGGGACGGACTACGCCCAGCTGAGTTATTCAAACACCACACAGGGCGTCACCACTTAACATTCACACTTAACACTTCTGTAAAAAGAAAAATGGCTTCTCCACCCACTTGTCATCGTTGGGTCCGAACAGCGGGTTGACCCCGGTGAAACCCGGCAGGTTGATGTGGTCCTTCAGGATCATCACGTCGCCCACTTTGAAGTCCCGGTTGAGGCCGCCGGCTGCGTTGGTGAGGATGACCGTCTCCACGCCCAGCAGCTTGAAGACGCGCATGGCATCGTGACCTGGAGAGCGCGGGGGGGGGCGATGCGTTAAGGAGCTTTTTTTTGTTATTGCACACACAACTAGAAGCGCGAGTCGCACAACCCTCGCTTGATAAAAAAGAAGAGGAAAATACATCATAAAATACCATTTAAACCAGTGGCTTAAACCAGTCTTGTGTTTAAAATGTCTACAAGTTGCTCATTGCACTATTCAAACAGTTTAACCTAAATACACTGTAAAAAAAATCTTAATTTTACGGAAAATAACATTTTTACAGTAGTTTTCTTTTTTTTTACAATGCTCTACGGATACAGATATTATCTGTAAATTAACAGGCAACTTTAAATTTAAGTATTATGCTAATATTGACAGATTACATGTTTTTCTCATTTTTCTACAGAAGAAATACTGTAATTATTCCAGAGTATTTTACTGTTTTATTTCAAATAATAATGTAAAATAACGATAATTACATCATTATATGAAGGTTTATGTCCATACTAACAATTTCCTTTGTAATTTTAATGTAAATCATGTTAAGTTTTTTAAAGTAGAATCAAGAACGATACGTTTTAAATCTTTTAGAGGAGCAACATGGGACAACTGCGGACCGTGGTCCTGTGTCACAATCACTAAGATTATGTTTTCTACCTCGTTAATCATCTCGCGATCCCTCAGATTTATTCTCTGCCCCATTAGAGGCTGATTGACATCCGATGGAGTACTTGCACTTGAGATCTGACAACTACTCTCCTCACTTTAAAACTGAAAGTCACCGTCGCTTTCGTAAACCCGCTCTCACCGTCTGGACAGAGTATCCCTCGTACAGGTGGAACCGGCCCTGCATGCAAACACAGGGCTTCCCCTTGAGGGTTCCAAACACCAGCTGGCCAGCATGACCGGGCACTGCAACACACACACACACACACACACGCTCTATTACAAACATGCAAACACACACGTGAATGAGCAGCAGTGTTTCGCTCAGCGTACCTGTGCTCTGGGGGAAGTTGGGAATGTCGCTGTACTTGAAGACCTCCTTGGCCTCCAGCGCCTCGGCGAGGCCCCCCAATCCGGACCCGCACACGATTCTCACCGTGGGACGCGCCCGCGTCTTGGACAGCAGCCAGTCGGCGGTCTTGCGACACTCGTCGTAGCTTTAGTGGAGAGAGGTCGCGGCGAGTGTTAGACGGGGATATGGATATGGCCCGCAGACCGGTGACAGATCGGCTGGTTATGGTCGAGATAAGAGATCAGCGTGTATAAAAGCACCTCGCGCTGAACAATCAAAGGTTGAGGATTGTGGGGATAATATTACACAGATACAAGGAAGTCACGTGACTATCCCTACTTAAATATGAAGGCGTCACACAAAGTTAACTATGCAACCTCATTTCTGCCACTAAGAAGAAAAAAAAGAACGGTTAGAAAGTCGAAATTTTGACTTGAGAAAGTCGAGATTATGACTTAAGATATGCGCAGGCTCCTTGTTGACATCACTACGGTCTGAATGAAGTCTGAATCTGTGAACATCTTTAACTTTACTGAACTGTAAAGTAAATGATGTACATTATCTTCGGTATTTCCGAGACGGAGAGAAATCAAACTCATTGGAAGTTGTTGGCACTGACGATTCTGAGTTCTCTCTTTATTGAACCAGTGTTCAACGAGGAAAGGCGCTGCAGGCTTTGCGCATGCGCGCGTCTCCTGCCTGCAGCTGGACCGCTGCCAGCCGCCATGTTTCTGCAGAGCAGCGCGTGACTTCACGCCAGACGCCACTAAAGTCTCCCACAAAACCAGATAAGGTCGCTGCATTTGTCGCTGGTCGCTTTTGACAAAAAGTCGCCAAGAGGTTTTGGAAAGTCAACCCACAGAACGACGGAGGAGTCCGCGCATGCGCATCTCTTTAATAATAATTTCCACTTTTTAATCTCATCATCTCTACATTCTTAAATCATAATTTCGACTTTCTAAGCCTTCGTGTGTTTTTCCTTAGTGGCGGAAATGTTCTTGCATAGTTAACAGAGCGATGTCCTCATTTACCTTCTGCGCAGTCATGCTGCATTCATGCCACCACCCGGGAGATGAACACCGTTTCATTTATATTTACACACACACACACACACACACACACACACACACACACACACACACACACACACCGCGTCCCTTTGTGTTTCTGCTGTTAAAAATGTCGCTTTATTGCGCATCACGTTCAGCTGATGAAAGGCGGAACAAACGTCATTAACAACTGTATTAATCCCCAGAGGCTGACGACGAATCGCAAACTCCACAAGTCACCGCCAATGAAAAACACACGAAGACGTGGCAAAAATGAACAATAACTCATGAATGCAATTGATGAAAAAATATTAAGTGCGTCATAAGAGTCGATTCAACATGGCTGTATGTGAACTGGACCTCGGCACCGCTGTAACTGTTAGAACTGTGTAAATAAGAATATAAAGCGAGTACTCGGAGCTGTACTTGAGTACTTTGTTACAGTAAGTTACAGCAAAAGCTCATTGTTGAGTTTGTTTTGTATTCAGTCATGAATACGGTGTTATTAAGTTTGTTATAGTTAACCGGTCACTTGTCGCGAGGATGTGATTCGGGTCAAATGTAGAGATATTCAAGCGCTTTTCACTTCTTATTATAGCCGAAACATGTAATGGACTCTGCGGGGGAAATGGTGTCGCATCTGAAGGAATCCCGAGCTTGCTCGATGTACTCACCCGAACGCTTTAGCCGGCACGGAGGACATGATGGGAGTAGAGGAGAGTCGCTGAGGTGTCAAACTGAGTGTGTGGGTCTGATGCAGGAACCGTCCTTCTATCCCAGAGGCCTCTGGCGCCTCTGGCGGCACAGCGGGGACGCGCCTGCCGCGTTTCCGGGGCCGCTTCAACCGCTGTTTGCGCGCCAGCAGACGGTGCGTTCAGGTGCCCCTCGTCCCTCCCGGCCGCCGCTCCTAAAACAAGCCTCGAGCACGTGTCTGGACCGAAATGATGACAAAATAAACACGCGCTATCGTTGAAATGAAAAGCACGCTTATACACTTGGAAATGTTTGCCTCCGCGTGTATGTGGAGATATTATGTTTGTTCTTCATGTCAAGAGGAAATTGGCTTATATGCAAAGCAAACAGATGGCAAATGACAGAAAATATACAAAACTCAAAAAATACCGGTCGAATTCGGACACTCCGGCCTCAGCAATTATTATGTTGCACTTTTATCCTTCCACGTTTGCTTGTTCTGTAGCCTCTTTATTTAATTATTCAGTCGTCACTTAACGATAAGCGGTTCGCAGATGGATGGATGGACTTATGCGTTGAACTGTAGAATGTCCGACAGTACATGAAGGCTTCAAGGTCCCGACGCTGATGCAAAACTGCGGGAATTAAACACAGTTTAATCTTATCTGGAGATTCACTTATTTGTAATTCATAACATATTAGATTTTTTTAATTTGTAATTACTTTTGTAATGTGTTAAAATTACAAAAGTACAACTCGCCGAGATATTTTATGCTCGGTGTACGATCACAGTAGGTCCGATCTTGTGTTCTCACATCTGGTTTCATCAAACTCAGTGGTGGAATCTAACAAAGTGCGAGTATGAGATATTCTGAGGTATCGGGTGTGTTCTCAGTGTATCGATGGTCCAGTGAGTTTTCCCCTGACAGCCGTGCAGGACAAATAGACATGGAAGTTACTGAAAACCTCGGGGTCAACTCTGCTGTGACCTTGATTTTGTGCAGACTGTGGTCGGTGTTGAAACGGCATGACGGTAGTTCCAGTCAGAGCAGGACTTCTTCAGAAACGAAACTGAAACAAAATAAACATTTACGCAGCTGTCAGACTGTTTCTGTGTTCACGTGAAGTAAAGCATTACCTTCAAAATGCTGCTTGAGTAAAAGTACTGCAAGAAAATACCCGTTACGTGATCAACGACAAAGTGATGCATGCAGAATAATTTCATTATATTTTGGATCGTTATCACTGATTCTGGTTCAGTAGAAATCCAAATTTTTCCATCTGAATCGCGGTGGATTAGAAGTTTGAAGAAGCATCTGATGAAATACTTGAGTCAATTGAAGTAGTTACATACATGTACTTAGTTACTTTCCACGGTGGGCTTGTGTATACGCAGTGAATTGGTGTGTGTGTGTTGTTTATCAGCACAGAGCAGCTCCTGTATTCAAACTGTTCTATAACTGCTGATTTGTAATCGGGCCCTTTCACCCCGGAGCCGCTAACAAATGAAAATAAAAAATAAAATAAAAAAAATGTTTATTTCATACTGATCAAATGTCCCTTTTACGTCAGTTCGCAATACAAAAAACAATTTAACGTGTACGTTGTGCTGCTCTCTGATCAGTTTAGGAGTCATAACGGGTCTCATTTCTTTGATTTCTATTTGGTTTTAAGTCTAAAATCCTCCCACCTGTGACTCTGACTGAAGTCCTCACCTTTGTTCGTAGTAAACACGCAGCTCCAGTTCCATAATGAGAGATCCAACAGCACCTTTCTAGTCTGCGAACTGACCTGGAAGCTGTCTGTGTGGTCTCCTCGGTGTGCAAATGAACCTTTATCGTCAGGAAACAAACTGGGGCTTCTTACTGTGTTACATCCTCACACACCTGTGCGTTCATTGAGCTTGTCGAGACGTCCAGGCTGAAGAAAGGGCCGGTGAGGTCGGCTTGATCCATCACACAGGCACAGACTGAAACATCTGGAGCCCCTTTGGAAGGATTCTTCATTGAATTGAGAACCGATATTTAGGACTCTTGCAGACAGCGTGATCTCCTTGTGCAGGTTCAACCATCAGGGATCAGGAATCAGACACACGAGGAATTTGACTTAAACCGATTTTCCCCGGGGTGAGAGGGGTAGACTACAATCTTGAGGGTCCTGGAGAGACCCAGAGACCCTCTCTGCAGAGCACGACACAGGTTGCACTCGCTCACAAGTTCGCTCCGCTTTCAGGTAACCAGCTAAACGTTTGCGTATCATGACTTGTAAATGTCATCATTTTACTACAACAAATGCACCGATGTTAAAATGAGGATTACACATGGCATTCTGGGAACGTAACGGAGAACTCGAGAGAGAGAGAAGGTCATGCATTTGTTTCTCTTTCTCTAAAGTACCGCTTGAAAACAAAAGCCAACCCCTCCGGAGGCTCTGAACAGAGTAAAGTGGCCTCTGCTTCGCCTCCACGTGGCATTTTGAACTTTTAATTACATGTTGCGGCCTCCCTGACCTGGGATTCTCCGTGGCAGGAGCCCAGCCTCTCCGTGGGTATCGCTTTGGTTCAGTTCAATATAAAACAGGCCCTGATAAGAGCCCATTTATCAGGGTAATAACTCTGTTGTACCGAGGTGGCCTCTGTGACTCTCACGGTCCTGCTTTCTGCCACCACAGAGCAGCTCCGCGTTCAGCCGCACGTGACCTTCGAGATTCATTTATCGAGCACCTTTAGACTCTTGCATTTGACACTAAGACAGTGTAATAAATTGCGTTGTATAATATTAAACTCACTGCACGTCACCTTTCAGGGGAGCAGGCCGGAGCGTTTTCACAGAAGAAAGAAGAACACACACACTTTTATGTCCCATTATTGTGTTTGTGGTGTTGAATTGTTTCAGTGGCGTTATTGTGCCGACACGTTCGGGTGATAAAACACAGGACGCCACGTTTCTATGAATAACACATGAGGTCTGGCGCTGTTATACTGACGTAGGAGCCAAAGGCCCTAAAGGGGGAATAAATACAATTGATCAAAAGATACCAGGCGCATCATAAACAGGTGAATGCATATAAAGTCGTTAGGGTCACTTGGTGTAACTGTCTGTAACTTGTGTGTTTTTGTGCGGGACAACTATTTAAAGCAGCTTTACACAGAGGAAGTCCTGCAGAAAAACAAAGCAGCAAAGAAAACAGTCGTCTGTTGCCGCCTGCTGGCTGGAATCAAACCTGCAACGAGGCCCCAGAGGCGAGTGAGTTAGATGGAGCCTCCTGTCCTTTATTCATCTGATGATTGAGAAACTATAACGAATCTATACTTTCAGAGGGAACCAGACATTTTAATTTGACTGGTTTTAATAGAAATAAGCTATAAAGAAAGTTAAAGCCAACACAGAGACGATGGAAAAAATCAATATGAGGTGGTAATATGGGGCGACGTGGTGCAGGGGGTAGAGAGGGTCCACTGGGAACCGCAAGGTTGGTGGTTCAAGTCCCGGCTGCCCCATGTTGAAGTGTCCCTGAGCAAAACACCCAACCCCTAACTGCTCCCCGGGCAAGAGTGTAAAACGGGTTAAAAATGTAATGTAAGTCCCTTTGGATGAAAAGCCTCAGCTAAATGACCTGTAATGCAAAATCTAGACTTTCAATAAGAAACTGTCTAAATTTAGACCCTTATGCTACAGAAAGGCCCAGATTTAGTCCTTCTACCTAAAATCAAGACGCATGGCATAACTTATAAAGTCACTACTTCATCTTCTCTGGGTGGAGAATCTTTGAGATGCAAAGCGAATAAAAGGCTGATGAGTTACCTGCACATCAGATGTTAAACACAATGAATGAATTCTTCAAACAAAGATGCCTTGTTGAACCAAAGAGACTTTGTTTTAACCTCAACTGGGACACCGAGGACACCGAAGGAGGGAAGTGAACCGGCAAGCAAATCATTAAATGAGTATGCAGGAGACGGCATAGGAAGCCAGAGAGGCTGGAGGGGGGGTGAATAAATCAGAGGTAAGTTCACAAACACCACAGTGAGCCAGAACACACACACACACACAGACACATATGCACATGCAAAACATGACGTTGCATCATGCAGGTCTTCTTCCTCATGATGAGCCGTGAGATTCATCTGCAGCTTTGCATTCATTCGAGCACTTGAGATGTGGATGACCAGCTTGTCCTTTAGTTGATTGTGTTGTGTCAAGCTTCATGTGTTTGCTCACCAACACAACAACAACAACAACTATGACATAATTAACCCATTTGAAGAGTCGCTGAACGCTGAGCACTGAAGGCTCTTTGGATATTTGGCAAAATTGTTGTGTTTATTGTCAGAGATCACCTGCCACTTGCACAGTGAGAGCTGTCATAGAGTAATACAGGCCCCCCACCTCCACCTCCACCGTGTGTGTGTGTGTGTGTGTGTGTGTGGGGGGGGGGGGGGGGTCTGCCGGGCCCGTTGGCGGGCGTGTGCACGTGTGCCAGAGTGCACTTGTGGGGAATTTGAATGCGAGGCCGCTTTGTATCTGCGCGCGTTCCCGTCCACGTTTCTGGACGCTAAATAAAGGTTGTATTTTGAACATGATACCAGTATCATGCATCAGGTCCCTTATTCCGATTCTGATTGGACACCAGAGGGAAGGGGGGGTCAATTATTACAGCAATTAAGCAGACGTGTGGGGGACAAAACAGGAACTCGGGGGGTGAGGGAGAGGGAGTAAAAGTGAGAGAGAGGGATAGAGAGAGACCCCTCTTATAAAGCCAAGTCGTGTCTCTTTGGGAGGAATATGCGAGCGGTGGGACCGGGCTCGGGGTCCGATGAGCCGGAGTCGTGGCCGGACGCAGACCGATGAAGTTACTCTTCTCGCTGACTGCAGTCGTGTCGCGTGAGCATGCGAGAGACAAAACGCTGACGAAAAGGCTCCTCGGTTCTCTCTGCACGCGTCTGACAGATTGCAATCCCTCCGTGAAGGTAAGCAGATCTTCAGCCGCGTGAGAAATAAATAAAGAGCTTTGCACGGCAAAGAACGTTAAAATGTTTGAACTTTTCATTATTCAGTTCAGGTAAGGTAAGTTTATTCATTTGAGTCATGTTCCATTCAATAACTAATGTGTATTATTTCATCTCATTTTCCTCTCATGTTTGTTATGTTTCACATTTAAAATAATATACAATTGTAAACTTTTCGACAAACCGCTTGCAACAATAGGAACTCATATTTTGGCCAAATCTTTAAGTCTGAATTGAATGTAAACTAACATTTAAGCTCACAGAGAGGACCTTACCAACGGTTACTTGTGGATGCGTCGTGTTCATTTTCCAGGCCAATGATAATCTGTAAAAGCATATTACATGACGACAAATATCAACAAAATGATTTCACAGGATACACTTCAAAACCTAAACCAGAGTGTCATAGTGGACAAAAACTTTCAACCTTTGGTTGTGAAATACAGAAATATAACTTACTTCCAAATGTGGAAAATATAATAACGTAAACCTGTAGAAGACGAAATATAAATAAATCAGTTCACAACTTGACTCATCTGTCCTCGGTCAGCGCTCCCATCAAACTTAACAACCCTAAACTCTCTCAACTTATATTCTTATCTTTATTTTTTAAATGCAAGTTCACCTTCATCACGTCCCGATCGCTGGAGCTGTTTTATGTCGTGATGCATCAATCTGGTACCAAAGGGAACAACTGTTGAACTGCAGGAGAAACAGAAGGAAAGAAGTAAAGAGTCTTTTTCATTAAACTAACGTTTACACATCACGTGACCAGGATTGGGAAGTTATTTTTTCCTTCTCTTCTAACAACCCGTGTGTGTGTGTGTGTGTGTGTGTGTGTGTGTGTGTGTGTGTGTGTGTGTGTGTGTGTGTGTGTGTGCGTGTGTGTGTGAGAGGGGGAGACGGAGGGGGAGAGATGAAGGGGGATTACTCCTCACTCCAGAATACTAACGAGGGCCTTTTGTCACAGATCTCTTTCTCTCTCCTTTCCTCTCTTCCGTTCACTCGTTTCTTTTCACTCATCACACACACACACACACACGCACAAATTGTACACTGTTATTCAAATAATTGCACGCAAACACACACACCGTGCAGACAGAACGACACATGTGCAGAAATAGACACACACACACACACACACACTCGGATGGGCAGAGGGTCGTTTTTTGTCAATGGTGTCTTTTGTTTCTTTTATCTCAGCTGCTAACAAAGCATTCCTGTGTACACGGTGGCGAGAGAGAGGGAAGGAGGGAGAGAAAGAGGAGACAGAGACATCGGGGGAAACATTCAGCGTCGCTTTGGCAAAAGGAAAAGTTTTGCTTCCGTCTTTGGACTCGGCCCTCAGAGGCCGGGCGGTGCGGTTAAGTTGCCACGTTGCCATGGAGATGGAATACATCCTCCTGAAGAGGTTGGTCGGAAACGTTTTCCCGCCCGTTTGTTCCCGTTTGCTCCTCCGGCCATCTGATATGCGTGTTGTTGTTGTTGTTGTTGTTGTTTTCCCCTCTAGGACCTGAGAGTCGGGGGGAAAAGGGGGTGTGAGGGGGATGCAAAGTTGAAAGAGTGAAGCCTTTTAGGGGGTCACGTTACATAATCACCACGGCGTGATGTAATCAAAGCTGATTGGTTATGTCATCCAGGCTCAGCACTATAGAAGCTATATAGGACCCAATGAGTCCACGCTGGTTCTTCTAATGTTCAGAAACCAAGAAAAGCAAGTTCCACAAACTATTTGTGTAAGAGCCAAATATGTGTGTGACATCGGGGCCGTGTTCCCCTTTTTGTACACTGGGTGGCGCTCCACTAAGCCCTGACAAGCGTGAGTATTTAGCTTGTGGATTGATGGTGTTTGTCAGGTGTTTGAGCCTGGAAGGGAAAAGAGGTTTGACCGCTAAACCAGATGTTCAAATCTACCAGGAACTGTTGCACGTTAAAAGGGAATACATTTATTCTAAAGCGAAACTCTGTGAATCTAATATTTCCCACACAACAATGCGAAACAGCCACATGCAGAGAGGACTCAGCGTTATTCCAGAGGTAGATACACCTCAGTAGCTCATCAAAAGTTGGTTTTACTTCTGTCTTTGGTGAGGATGAACGTAAACCCCATGGATGCTGACTGTGAGTCAGGTGCTACCTTTGAATTCCGTGTCTTCTGTGTTTGAGTTGTTTGTGAAGAAGTTACCCGTCCGCTCCGATATCGTGCGGAATGCGATCCCACCTTCCACGCGGAACATCTAGAAACAGAGAGACCTTGTGAGGATCCAGAGTTCAAAGCAGCATAAAACACCCGAGAGAAACCAGCGTGAAAGGACTCCTGTATCCGGCTGAAAGACGTCCTGAGCAGGGCTCCTCGAGAGCCAAACCTTGGCCCATTTCCTAGCAAACGCTTACCTCCGTCTCCAGTTTCCAGTCAGAAGCTCCCTCTTTGTCGTCTGAAGGCCTCTCTGGTGAGACCAACAGCAGAGCCTGAAAACGAGAACGCTATCTAGGACGACGTCCGACTCGCAGACAAAGATGTTTCGCCTTTAAGTGATTCGTCAAAGCGCCTCCTCTCTTCTCCGCCTGACAAATGAGACGCTGTGTGGAAGGTTTGCCGGCTTAATGCAGTACGTCTTCATCCTAATTCTACTCTCCCCTTTTGTGTCTCCCCTGTTTCTTATCCTGCTCCCTCGTGGGTCATCATCTCCCCACTGGCCGACGTGGCTTGTTGGACGTAAGTGAGTGTGTCGGATGTCGGATGTAGATACAGGAACTGTGTCTGTGTGATGGGGGGAGACACCATGTGAATGTTCTGACAAGGGCCACATTCATGCAAACGCCCCACGGCGTAAAGCTCTAAAAACACATACATGAACTGTGGGAACATTTGATGTTAATAATGGCGTTCAGAAACCGTAGAAATCACAAATTAACACTGGCGCTCTGTGTTTAATATCAGCTTCACACATAAATAAAGATCACAGCAGGAAGTTTCTTAGTTTGTGTTCAGACTTTTTATCAAGTTCCTCACCCTGTCATCCAGTGGGGATGTGGCAGAAACTAAAAAGTGTGTCTTGCTCAGGGACACTTCGACATGGGGCAGCCAGGCCTCAAACCACCAAACCCTTGCGGTTCCCAGCGCACCCTCTCCACCCCTGCGCCACAACGACCAATTTTTGTCACTTCTAGTGTACTTTTTTTAATGTCATTGGCCTTTAAAGTGAATGTTTAAAAGTTTCCCGTGAGAACGAATGCAGTTCGCAGTTGACAAAACCAACACTCATCGTTTCCATCTCTAGTGTAGCGGCAATACTGATGTTACGAATACTGTATATTAAATATTTATCCATCCTTACAACCAAACTTAAGCCAAAAAATAACCTCAAATGAGCCTCTTAACAGCAGTGGAACCTTAACAAATCAATCAGAGGAAGGATGAACTCCTCTTTCTTCTGTCCCCAGATGACATCCGCCACACCTCCGTCCTCTCGTAGCTCCTCCCCTCAGAAGGTGTGCCACTCGCAGACGCAGACCGACGTCTTGAAGCCCTTGCTGGGTGCTGGTGCTTCTGGAGGGGGGACCCTGAGGAAGAGGAGGCGTGTCCTGTCCAAAGATGGGCGGAGCAACGTGCGCATCGAGCACGTCAGCGGGCAGAGTGCCCTGTACATGCGTGACCTCTGGACAACGTTTCTGGACATGCAGTGGCGCTACAAGTTCTTCCTGTTCACGGCCACGTTTGCGGGGACTTGGTTCCTTTTCGGGGTCCTGTGGTACCTCATGGCCCTGGTGCACGGAGACCTACTTGGTGAGACCTGGTACATGGCGGTATTTTTTTTGTTCAAGTAAACATTAATTGATTGACCCCGAAAAAGGACCGTTGAGTACCCGAACAGCTGTTCACCGCTAGCTGTCCAACTCGCTCATAACTGGCGTTAACGCAGTTAACCGAAGTCAACGTAACGGTGTCCTGACCGTTTTTAGCTAACTATCCAGTAAAACCATTGATAAAAATAATTGTGTAATGCTGGGTTTTTTTTTAAATTCATTTTGATTCAGATTCTCAAGACATTTAAATTTGTGGAAAAAAAATTGGTTGGAAAAGAAAAAAAAATTGTCTTCTCAACCAACAATTTCGTGACCCCCCTGCAGTACCTCCGCGGACGCCCTGGTGTAATGTATTCAGGTGATTTAACGGTATTAAAGTAAGCGTTCTCCTTACCTTTCGAGCCAAATACTGTTTTAATTATGTTAATATTTTCGGTAAAAGGACGCTAACGCCGGTGGCAGACGTCCATCATCATTGTAAACTTTTTTTACGCGGAGAGTAAACACCGGCTAAACGGTCGCCACTATTACCATCCATGCTGTCAACATATCCCGGAACCCAATTCCGGCCTTTCACAATAAGCTATCCCGCTTCAACAGCCCCAAATAGCGCTAAAAAAAGCTCTTTCATCATCATCTCAACTTTTCTGGAGTCGTTAGACATGTAAATCGGAAAAAATGCCCGCAAAAATAGTGTGTGTCCAGGTCTGGGCAATACTAGCTTCTACTGTCCGGGTTTGGACCAGTGTTAATTTCGTCGACGAAAACTGACGAAAACTTCGTTAACAAACCTTTTTTTCCACGACTAAGACGAGACGAAAACGATCTTAAAAAATAAAAAATATGACTAAATCTATTCTAACTTTCGTTAACGAGACGAGACGAGACGAACATGTCGAAACTTTTTCCCCCCTAAATTCGCACGCACCCAACAGACCGGCAAAGTACGGCGGATATTGACGCGTCATGATGACGTCATCCACCAACCCAGAACGCTCGCGCGCTGCAGCGGTGGTTCTTGTGGACCGACTGCGGACCGCGACGACTATTTTACGCTTCGGCGAGTTTGAACGTGGCTTCGTTAGTTTAGCTCAGCTGTCTCGGGTTAGCTGCCTGTTAGCTGCCTGTTAGCAGGCTGAAGCCGCGCTGCTTCACAGAAACATGAAGACCCGTTTAAAGACTGTCGGACCTTTCTGCTCTGTTCTCTGGCGACGGCAGGCAGCGTTTCCTCGGCTGGATGAGACGCTCCGTCACAAACACGTCTAACGTAATAAACTTATTGCAGGTTCTGAAGCCTCACGCATTTCAACTATAGTTCACGCGCCACATCGTGAGAAGACGGTGTTAAACCGTCTCGGCCACCGTACGCTCGTTACTAAGCAACGTAGAGGCGCGCACACGTGACAAGTGGCCGTGTCAAAAGCATTGCAATTAAACAGACAAAGACAACCAAGTGTTGCGTTTAGGTCCCTGGTCCTCATGAACTTGTTACACCTTTGCCAATTTGTTAAATTGCCTTGCAAACAAATGCTTTGCTATTTGTTAAAATCCAAATCCTTTCATGTAATGATTTTTCTCATGTCATTTAATTAGCTCACGCAAACACTTCATCCATTTGTTCTTTGCCCAGCTCCTCCGTCACATTTTACAACACACTGTGGCCCGCGAGTCAAAAAGTCTGCCGACCCTGATAGACCTGTCCTAAGAGGGACATCTATAGACCTGTCCTAGGAGGGACATCTAATGGACAACCAAGTACTGCAAGCTAGACTATTATGCAGCTGTAGATACAACACAGGGGGTCCCTGGGCCTGAGAAGGGAAGAAAAGGAGTTTAATATGGCTATTAAATGGGACTAAAACTAGATTAAAACTTATTACATTTTAGTCTAGTTTTCGTCGACTTAAACTAAAATGTTCTGAGTTTTCGTCGACGAAAACTAGACTAAAACTAAGAAGGATTAAAATGACTAAATGTGACTAAAACTTATATGCATTTTTCGTCTAAAGACTAAGACTAACTCAAAAATAGCTGCCAAAATTAACACTGGTTTGGACACCGTTACGTTGGCTTTTTAGCGAGTTAGCTTGTTAGCTTGTCGTGGGTGCTAGTGTTGCAATAGACAAATAGCTCCGACCGCTGCGCAATTCTGAAATATGTTTAAAATAAACTCTGACGCATGCTGCACGCGGCAGTTACGCGCACCTGCGGACAGAGAGCGCGCGACTACCTCCCCCCCTACTGTAATAGAAATGCAATTTATATCTGTCTTTACTGCAAATTCATCTGCCAGGCTTTACAAAATGAAATGAATTGAATTGAATTAACATGAAAACAAACCGTGGAAGGTTGGGCACCCCATTGTGTCTCTTTGATAGGCCACATTACTAGCTAGCTACTAGTAGAGAGCGTGCACCGGGAACCGCTAGGTTGGCGGTTCAAATCCCCGGTCCCTGAGTAAGACATTTCGGAGATTCGCATGATTTCCTAAAGCCTAGTTTATGCTTTTTCAGAGAGCTACGCAGGATCACATTTCCGGTTTCATAGCACATTACCGCCATTATTAAAACGGCAATGACGTCTATGATAAATAAATAAACAAACCAACAACTTCCAGACACAAAGACGTGACTCTCTCGGTCGTCTTTGACAAAGAACGTTACTCCACCTGTTGTTCTGGAGGTGAATTGCACTGCTACGCACGCAAGACTCTTTGAACAATGGATTGAAATGAGTGCGTCGACACGACGGTGCGTAAAGACGCAGAAGCAGAAGCATGCGCCAGCCTTTAGTCATACCGGTGTTACACTGTAACAAAAATGGACAATTGTAAACGTGAAAAAAAATCACTTGGTGGCGCTTGGGAAATATGTCAAGGGGACAAGAATCCGGTCAATTTTCAAAATAAAACATTTTCCAGACAATAAAGTCGAATGTGGTGCCTGGTACCAAATGGCCCATGGATCGGCACCGGTCCCTACTAGGTAAAATAAATGGTTTAAAATATCAAAGCAGGACGTTTGGTCGAGTAGACATTCTTCATTTAACCACTCGGGATGCACTTCGGACTCAGATGTCAGATGGTTTGATCACTTCCTGATCGAATGACACCCACACAGTCCACTCAAAGTCTCAGTATACAATGATCAAAAGAACAATAGCTACTTTAGTATTCATGAATGTTACATGAAAAACTATTGGTGAGAAATGACACCTGCAAAGGAGGCGAGATGATGTATCTGCATGAAGTGTTACTGGGATGGATAAACACCATTTGTCCCTAAAACACCATTTGCATCCACGTGTGCACTTTCACTGGATATTTCTAGCAGTAGTGTAGAGGCGATAACATGTTGGTTTTCTGAACAGTATCTCAAGCTTTAACTAACTCAAATAAAATGCATAGCTGTTCATTCATAAGACACCAGCTCTCCTCGACTCTTCTAACGCTCACTTCTCCAACTTTCGCCCAACTGCAATTAAATGTCCTGTGTAATGTTTTGAAGCTAAAACTAGGATGTCCTGCTCTGTAAATGTTTATTTGCACATTAGCATTGACACTGCTCCTACTATATTCACACAGAACATTAGCACAACTTGAATGAGCTTTTTTTTTTTTTTTTCAACCTCCAGAGTTTGATCCACCTTCCAACCACACACCGTGTGTGATGCAGATGCAGACCCTGACGGGGGCCTTCCTCTTCTCCCTGGAGACCCAGACGACCATCGGCTACGGTTTCCGTTGCATCACTGAGGAATGTCCTGCTGCCATCGTCCTCCTCATCGTCCAGCTGGTCATCACCATGCTGATGGAGATCTTCATCACCGGTACCTTCCTCGCCAAGGTAGCGTATGCACAAGACACAATACACAGTTCCACACGGATTCATGCACAAGACCGAAACCAGAAGTAATTCCTCCGCTCAGGTCGCCCGGCCAAAGAAGCGCGGTGAGACGGTGAAGTTCAGCCAGCATGCGGTGGTGTCGACCCACGAGGGGAAGCCCTGCCTGATGATCAGGGTGGCCAACATGCGCAAGAGTCTCCTGCTGGGGTGTCAGGTCAGAGGAGAGAAGCTCCATTAGGTCACAAATATAAGTAGATTACATGTGTCTGTACAAATTGTAGAACTCTTTGCACATTGTTCATATTATCGCCCCCAAAGGTCAGTGGAAAACTGCTGCAGACGTCTCTGACCAAGGAAGGCGAGACAGTTCGTCTGGACCAGAGGAACGTATCGTTCGAGGTGGACATGTCCAGCGACAGCCCTTTCCTCATCCTGCCCCTCACCTTCTACCACCTCATCGATGACAACAGCCCCCTGCGAGCCTGGGCGGCCAAAGGTAAGTTCTATGAGATGAAGAGACGATAGACGAGAGATTCATGCATCCAAATGGGAGAAAAGACGAGTGGTAATTTATGTAAGACTGCAACATTTCTCCGTAAAACATTTACATTTTTTGTTATAAAACCTCCATCCATCCATCCATCCATCTTCAACCGCTTATCCGGGGTCGGGTCGCGGGGGCAACAGCTCCAGCAGGGGACCCCAAACTTCCCTTTCCCGGGCCACATCTACCAGCTCTGACTGGGGGATCCCAAGGCGTTCCCAGGCCAGTGCAGAGATATAATCTCTCCACCTAGTCCTGGGTCTTCCCCGGGGCCTCTTCCCAGCTGGCCGTGCCTGAAACACCTCCCTAGGGAGGCGCCCAGGGGGCATCCTCACCAGATGCCCAAACCACCTCAACTGGCTCCTTTCGACGCAAAGGAGCAGCGGCTCTACTCCGAGCTCCTCGCGAATGGCTGAGCTTCTCACCCTATCCCTAAGGGAGACGCCAGCCACTCTCCTGAGGAAACCCATTTCGGCCGCTTGTACCCGTGACCTAGTTCTTTCGGTCATGACCCATCCTTCATGACCATAGGTGAGGGTAGGAACGAAGATTGACCGGTAGATCGAGAGCTTTGCCTTCCGGCTCAGCTCTCTTTTCGTCACAACGGTGCGGTAAAGCGAGTGCAATACCGCCCCCGCTGCTCCGATTCTCCGGCCAAACTCACACTCCATCTTCCCCTCACTCGTGAACAAGACCCCGAGGTACTTGAACTCCTTCACTTGGGGTAAGGACACATTCCCTACCTGGAGTAGGCAATCCATCGGTTTCCTGCTGAGAACCATGGCCTCAGATTTAGAGGTGCTAATCCTCATCCCGACCGCTTCACACTCGACTGCGAAACGCTCCAGTGAGAGTTGGAGGTCACAGACGGAAGATGCCATCAGGACCACATCATCTGCAAAAAGCAGCGATGAGATCCGCAGCCCCCCGAACTGTAGACCCTCCTCCCCCCGACTACGCCTCGATATCCTGTCCATGAAGACCACAAACAAGATTGGTGACAAGGCGCAGCCCTGGCGAAGGCCAACCCCCACCGGAAACGCCTTCGACTTACTGCCGAGCACCCGAACACAGCTCTCGCTTTGGGCGTACAAGGATTGGATGGCCCCAAGCAAGGGCCCCCTCACCCCGTACTCCCGCAGCACCTCCCACAGTATCTCTCGGGGGACCCGGTCATACGCCTTCTCCAAGTCCACAAAACACATGTAGACTGGTTGAGCATACTCCCAAGCCCCCTCTATGATCCTGGAAAGAGTGAAGAGCTGGTCCGTTGTTCCACGACCAGGACGAAAACCGCATTGTTCCTCTTCAATCCTTGGTTCGACTATCGGCCGAACCCTCCTTTCCAGCACCTTAGAGTAGACTTTACCCGGGAGGCTGAGTAGTGTGATACCCCTGTAATTGGCACACACTCTCTGGTCCCCCTTTTTAAAGAGGGGTACCACCACCCCGATCTGCCACTCTTTTGGCACTGTCCCAGACTTCCACGCAATGTTGAAGAGGCGTGTCATCCAAGACAACCCCCCAACACCCATTGCTTTTAGCATCTCTGGACGGATCTCATCAATCCCCGGGGCTTTGCCACTGCGGAGTTGTTTGACTACCTCAGTGACTTCCACCAGGCTAATTGACGATGATCCCTCCTCCGCCTCCAGCTCCGCCTCCACCAAAGAGGGCGTAGTAGTTGGATTCAGGAGTTCCTCAAAGTGTTCCTTCCACCGCCCGATAACCTCCTCAGTCGCGGTCAACAGGGTCCCATCCTTACTGTACACAGCTTGGATGGTTCCCCGTTTCCCCCTCCTGAGGTGCCGGATGGTCTTCCAAAAACACTTTGGTGCCGACCGAAAGTCCTTCTCCATAGTTACCCCGAACTCCTCCCATACTCGCTGCTTTGCCTCCATCACGGCAGAGGCTGCTGCCCTTCGAGCCTGTCGGTACACTGCAACTGCCTCTGGAGTCCCACCGGATATCATAACCCGGAAGGCCTCCTTCTTCAGTCGGACGGCTTCCCTGACCACCGGTGTCCACCACGGAGTTCGAGGGTTACCGCCCCTTGATGCACCTAAGACCTTGAGGCCACAACTCACCGCCGCGGCTTCAGCAATGGAGGTTTTGAACATAGACCACTCTGGTTCAATGTCCCCTACCTCCACAGGAATGTGAGAGAAGCTCCGCCGGAGGTGTGAGTTGAAAATCTTTTGGACCGGGGCCTCCTCCAGACGTTCCCAGTTCACCCTCACTACACGCTTGGGTTTACCGGGTCTGTCCCGAGTCTTCCCCCATCCTCTGACCCAGCTCACAACCAGATGGTGATCAGTTGACAGCTCTGCCCCTCTCTTTACCCGAGTGTCCAGAACATGCGGCCTCAGATCAGACGATACGATTACAAAATCGATCATTGATCTTTGGCCTAGGGTGCTCTGGTACCACGTACACTTATGAACATCCTTATGTTCGAACATGGTGTTTGTTATGGACAATCCGTGACTAGCACAGAAGTCCAGTAACAAACACCCGCTCGGGTTCAGATCAGGGAGGCCATTCCTCCCAATCACGCCTCTCCAGTTATCTCCATCGTCGCCCACGTGCGCATTGAAGTCTCCCAGTAGGACTATGGAGTCCCCTACAGGAGCCCCATGCAGGACTCCATTCAGGGTCTCCAAAAAGGCCGAATACTCTGAGCTGCTGTTTGGTGCATATGCACAGACAACAGTCAGAGTTTTCCCCCCCACCACCCGAAGGCGTAGGGAGGCGACCCTTTTGTCCACTGGGGTAAACTCCAATGTAGCAGCACTCAGCCGGGGACTTATGAGTATCCCCACACCCGCCTGGCGCCTCACACCATGGGCCACTCCGGAGTAGAATAGAGTCCACCCCCTATCCAGGAGTTTGGTTCCAGAGCCGAGGCTGTGCGTAGAGGTAAGCCCCACCAGATCCAACTGATAACGCTCCATCTCCCGCACAAGCTCCGGCTCCTTCCCCCCCAGAGAGGTTACGTTCCACGTCCCCAGAGCCAGCATCTGCCGCCCAGGTCTGTTCCGTCTAGACCCCCCACTGTCACTGCCACCCTTGTAGCAGCGCACCCGACCCCATCGGTTTCCTCCACAGGTGGTGAGCCCATGGGGAGTAGAGTGTTGGGCTGCCGCGTCACTCCTTCGGGCTGTGCCCGGCCGGGCTCCGCGGTAAACCCGGCCACCAGATGCTCGCTGTCGGGCCCTCCATCTGGGCCTGGCTCCAAATGGGGGCCCCGGGCTTCCTCCGGGCCGGGTAACTCCTTCCCTCTTCCGTTTTTTCATGGGGGTTTTGAACCATTCTTAGTCTGGCCCCTCGCCTGAGACCACTTTGCCAAGGGTACCCTACCAGGAGCACAAGGCTCCCGACAACACAGCCCTCAGGTTCATAGGGACACACAAACCTCTCCACCACGATAAGGTGACGGTTATAAAACCTGATGTTGTTTAATAAGAAATTATTTGACAGAAGTTTAAACTTCCTCGTTTGAGGGGTTTTGTCAGCTGCTTGCATGAAAGACCCTTTTGGCCTTTCTGCCTTTTGTTCCTCATTCTGTGTTCTTATAGCAAACCTCTTCCTCTTCTGCTTTTTAACGGTGCATCGCTGCATCTCCTGAAGCATCACCTTTACAAACGGTCGATCGGTGCAGTAGTGGAAACCACTGGCAGGATTTATTTCACTTAATTGAGCATCTAATCAACCAGCTCATAGTAAAGTTACTCCTGGTGGTCAGAAACTCCACTGAGTCCCTTTTTTAAATTCAGTATTTTGTACAAATTCCACCTTCCTCCCTCCCCTTTGTATTACACGTCTCCGTACTGTGTCCCATCCCATTGACCCCCCCCTCCACCAGGTGGGGGCTGGACGGATCCAGAGTTGGCGGACTTCGAGCTGCTGGTGATCATGAGCGCCACGATTGAGCCGACCTCGGCCACCTGCCAGGTGCGCACCTCCTACCTGCCGGATGAGATCCTCTGGGGCTACGAGTTCCCCCCCGTGGTCTCCCTCTCCCCATCGGGGAAGTACGTGGCGGACTTCGGTTTCTTCGACAAAGTGGCCAAGACCAAGACGGCGCCCGTCTTCAAACCGTGCAGCCCGCAGCGCGCGTACCAGAGCAACGGGGCCGGGCCCGTGCCAGATGTGGCCGATCCAGAGAAGATCCGTCTGGAGCAGAACTACCGGGACAGAGGGGGGGAACGAGGCCGGGCGAGAGACACTCCCCTCAGTGTTCGCATCAGCAACGTGTGAACGATGACGGAGTGGAAGGAAACATCACGTGGAAACAGCTCGGACACTTTTAGACTGAATGGAACCTCTGGACGACGTCTGGGGAGATAAAACATGGAGGACGACTGTAACTCACATGAAGGCCTAACACACTGCTGACTGCAGCTACTGCTTCTATTTCAGTGTGGCGAGTGCACACACACCTCACACACACACTTTATAACAAAGGAAATAGCAGGTGGAGATATTAAAATATATAATAAGCATATATATAAGCAGCTGATGTACATTTGCACCTTTGTAGGATTTGCTGTTGAACTTGGGACTTTGCCGTAGGAGGATTTGCTTCGATGCGACTAAAACACTTTTTTTTAAACATCATTGAATTAGAGACGCTTCCTTCCAACGAAGCTTATTTGGATTTTCTTTTTGTGTCTCAGCAACTTTAAACTAACGACAAAAGAAGAAAAGGTTTCATCTCAAACGGCTGCGACGTGAATATAAACATCCATCAGGTCACTGTGGTTTGCAGCAGTTTATTTTTACTTAGCACTTTATTATTAGAAGCTCTTTCTGTGTGAAGTGGAACCCTACTTCTATTTCTTTTTACTAACATTGAATTAACAATGAATATTTAGTGGAAGCTCCTTTTATTTCCCCGTCGAGGCAACAAGGACGTGCTGAGGATGTGAAAGTGATCTTTGAGTCAAAGGTGTTATTCTGATGGAAATGTGTGATGATGATGAGGATGATGGAGTTAAATATGTGGGAAGTTGTATTTGTTGATTTACATTTTACTGAATTAACATCAAGCTGTGAACTGTTAATAGTGTTTAAATTGCAGATGGACACATTTCTCTGGTTTAATAAAATAAAGTATTTAGTTTGGTGGCCGTACAGAGTTCCTACAGACGAGCATCAATTGAAACATTCATTTAAACCAGGAAGACTCTTCTAATCTGGTTCTTGTTCTGTTTCATTGATCTACGTGTTCACCCTGGCTGATAGACTGCTACTTAAATTCTCACTGTCATTTTCATTCTCCTCATAGTTGTGGTTCTATCCGTCTGGCTTTATAATGATCGAAGGAAAAGAATCGGTAAGTCCAATTAAACGTTCCAACAAATAATCTCAACATCTGTAAAATCCTCTTTGTTTCCTCTACATAGAAACTCAATGTCTCCAAGTCCTCCATAACTATGTACCCACCTGTTTGGTTAAATAGCCCAATATCACAAATCACAGTTTGCCTCAGAGCGCTGAACAATCTGTACAACACAGGACGTCTTTTACTGCATCAGATAAGGAAACACGTCTGTTAAAATATACATGTGATATTTTACCAAAAGGTGCTTTTTATCTCACTGGGATTGTCATGATTTGCTGTTTTGATACAAACATCCCAACACATCAAATCCAACACGTCAACATGTGCTTCTGTTTGAGGATGGAGTAAATTAGACACCACCCAAAAGATGGAGTCACTTTATCTGCAGCTCAAGTAAAGTAAATGTACAACAGTTCAGATCTTTAAAGGGCTGTTTGTTCTTCTTCCATCACTGACCTGCAGGTTTAACACAGAAACATTAACTTTTTCAGGAAGGAGCTGCTTGGTTAAGCGTTACGTTTTTAAACTAACTTAAGACATTTTTAGGATCCAAACTTTGCACCAAGGTTGTTTCCAGGTGGCTTCGTGCTGCTACATCCACACATCTGCTGCTTGCTTGTGCTCAGATCTGTGGAAAATAGAACCATTAAGAAGTCTCAAGTCACCTTTTCTTACGTGTCACAATTGGAGATGTTAGTAATCACATATTTTACATTTAAGATCAATGTAAAAAAAGTAAGAAATGCTTCTGTTTTATATTTTTATTATTTAAAAAAAAAACATGTATCAAATATGTTTTAACTGTGACAAATATATAAAACAGAAAATTAGGAGATAATTGTTTTTATAATTTCAATTTTTATCTCATTTTGACTTTCTAACCTAAATTTTTTGGTGGAAAGAGGATTTCACAGAGACGAATATGTGAACAGCAGAGAATTTAAGATATATTTTTTTCCATAACATATTTAGTCATTCAGTGTATCAAGTGTCTTTACTATAATAACATCACATTGATTCTTTGGTAAAAACTCACAGTAAACCAGAGAGGAACACGTGACCTTTTAATCACTGAAACACAAGATCAGTATGAAGCTTCAACAAGTTCTAAGTTTCCACCCAAAACAAAACCTGCTGAACAGAATTATGTACGAGTAAATACTGTACAAGCAGACACATATGCAATGTATTTATTGGTCAATGGGACCGTATGCAGTATTATACAGTGTATTTTTAAAGGTTTTTTGCTCAAATATAGTTGGTCTTGATTATACATTCAAGATAATATCCACCGAAAACATATTGACATGGTCTTGTGTGTGTGTGATATATTGTGTACAATCAATGGATTATCAGCATTTGTTTTAAAGGTGAACTATGATTTTTACATGAAGTTTTTTCTTGCCAAATTGCATCTTTGAGTCACGTTTTTAATGTCTTTCCTTCACCAGGAAATATCTGCAAAGCTGAATTTATAAATCCTTTAAATCCTAAATAGTTTGCGTCCATGTTTGCTGCTCTGCGCTCGTCTTCCTCTTTTCTTCTCCTGGTGTGTTGCTGCCACCAGCTGTGAGTCAGTGGAACATCATCACGGGTTTAGAAGGTGACCTTTAAGTGGGAGCTTTCCTCCGGGCAGCGTGACGTGTTTGACATCCATTTCTTTGTTGGTGCTTCTTGAAGTCCACGAGGTGAACAGTGATGACGGCAGACACCATGATGATCAGACCCACAGAGAACACCACCATCTTCACCAGGAACACGGAGGGAAGCACCGGACCTGAAACACACCACAGGTGGATTCATCACAAACACAACACGTCTGTGCTTTCTGCTTGAGTTTGTATTTAACCCCTGCGTCCCTGACGAGGAGCTTTAGAGAGGCAAAGAACTCAGAATTCACTCAGAAAACACACAATTGTTTCTTTACAACACAGAAAGGCTGAAACTACAAACTGTTATCAGGAATTTGTCTCCTCTCAGTCTTACCAGCATGGTCGGAGCAAAGGTGTTCAGTTGTTTTAAAGTCGTGGGTCCTGTGAACCTTGTTGTTATGGTTACAGATGATCACGTTGTTCAACAGGTAGATCTGGAGAGAAGCCCCAGAGGTCGTGACCTCTGATCGCTCTCCTCCCTCCTGACTGCAGACCCGGTCGACACATCTGAAAGTGCTGCTGATGTGAGCGTTGTGAGTCCTGCAGGTCACATGGAGGTCACATGAATCTGAGCTGCTGGAGTCCACTCGGTCCACGATCAGTTCAACTGGAGACGCTGGTCCTGAGGGGGGGGAGGTTTCTGTGAAGAGTTTATGAAACATGGCGGCAGAAACTATCAGTGAAATGTTTACAGACTCACCTTGAACTGTGACCTTGTATTCGGTCAGTAGTTTGTTTCCTTGAAGTGTTCCTGCTTCAGCAGAATAAACTCCACTGTCGACCTCTTGTACATTCTTCAATATCACAGAGAATTTATTCTCAGGAAACTCAAACCCTCCAGTGGAATTACGAAGGACAGTTTCTTCTCCACTAGGTTTAAATCTTACTAAATCGACTGTTTTATTGATTTTCCAGTCAACAAATAAAACCCCCTCAGGAGGATCAGCATGAAGCTTGAGGAGCAGATCACGTCCCTTCAGCACAAACACAGGAGTCACAATGGTTCCTGTAAAAACAGTAGACACATGATACAATAAACATCACACACAATATGTGATGAATCATTCACTGCTGAATGTTCCTCCATCACTACACTTTATTTATTACACATTGAACCAGCGGTTCACCTTCAGCTCATCACTGCTTAACATGAAGTGACAGAAGTCTCTTCAAATGTCTCACGTCGTCTCTTCCTGAGGACACAGAGAAGCTTAACAGCAGAAACTAAACCCACTGAGAGCAAGTTGCTGCTCAAAGTTCTTCTTCTTGACGTGACAAAGTATTTCCATTCTGTCTCTTTGTCCTCTTTCCCTCCGTCTCACCACACTAATGTCCCCCAGCATCAGCTACACTGAACATGGACGACTTTAGAAAATAAGACGTCCACAGACTGAACGCTGAAGGAGTTAAACTCTGAGAGGAGTAAAGGTCAACATTTGTCTTGGAGGGAAAGAAGCGTTCAGCCCGTTTCAACAAGTGGTGAGAAAGTGTCTAAAAGCACCTGAATGTTTCCTCTGAATCACACACGTCTTCTGTTGGAACACTCAGAATATTCACTGAAATAAGACGTGAATATTACGGAAGATTTTTAAATGAAAATAGTAAACTCATACTGAGACTATTTCCTGCCTCTGAGCTCCGTACAAGAAGGAACAACACGAATCCTGATTAACCACAAAGAAACACAGAAAAATTCAAAAATACATTTTTAACCCAACTTCTATTGTAGAAATAGTGTTGCGGTATAAAAGCTTTGACCTTGAAAACGACAACAAAATACATATAAAATCAAGTCCTCACCTTGTGCTTCACATAATGTCAGCAGAGAAACAAAGAGAAGCTCGACGCACGACTTCATTCTGCAGAATGAAAGTATGATGATGAAACGAGTGGAGAACTTTTTACTTCCCTTCAAAGCAACAACCAATTACTTCAAAGATTGTTAAAATGAAGCCATATATGTCTCTATGTGGTTGACTTGTAACTACCGTCACATCATGACGTGGGCTCATATTTTATTATTAATGGTCTCTTCACAACATCAGCTCCGACTGCTCGTCTGTAGGAACTCTGTACGGCCTCCAAACAAAATACTCTAATTAAACCAGAGAAATGTGTCCTTCTGCACTAAACACTATAAACATTCCACAGCTTGATGTTAATTCAATCAAATATCATTTATCAAATACAAACAATTTCCCACATATTTAACTCCATCATCTTCATCAGTGCTTCATCATCATCACACATTTCCAGTAGAACATCATCACCACCTTTGACTCAAAGATCACTTTCACATCCTCAGCACTCACCTCTGGTCCTCATCGCGTCCTTGTTGACTCGACGGGGAAATTTAATAGGATTCCACTAAATATTCGTATATTCGATGTTAGTTACTAACCCATTGCATTAGCATTAGCATTTCATTTCCTTCCTGAGGACACAGAGAAGCTTAACAGCAGAAACTAAACCCACTGAGAGCAAGTTGCTGCTCAAAGTTCTTCTTCTTGACGTGACAAAGTATTTCCATTCTGTCTCTTTGTCCTCTGTCCCTCCGTCTCACCACACTAATGATGAATCATTCACTGCTGAATGTTCCTCCATCACTACACTTTATTTATTACACATTGAACCAGCGGTTCACCTTCAGCTCATCATCACCTCTCAATGGTTGCAAGACGTCTCTTTAAATGTCTCACTGAGGACAGGAGGACTAAGGAGGTGGAACAATTGCTTTTAAGTTCTCACCTTGTCCTTCACTCCTCTCACGCAAACTGTTGTTGCCCAAACTTTAGTCAGACAAGTCATGAATGTATTTGGAAAGTTTGTCTGATTGTTCACTCGCTTTGATGCATTTCTCCTTTTGTTTATATAAGAATAAATAAGTCATTCAGACAAAAAAGTTTAACGTTTGTATTGTAAAGACTTCATATAACATTTTAGCATACTAATAAGATATTGGTACATTTAGTTATTTTCTCTTGCTAAATCTCTTACATTGTTGTATTGAGGCTTTGTCTTTAATACTGAAAATAAAATGTTTGCAAAAAGAATTCTCGAGCAGAAGTTTTTACTTTGTAGTTTTCAGCTTATTATTATTCTTTACACCAACTGCAATTATTAACTTAAATAATAAATTAAATAATTTTGCAAAACAAAATGAATTGTAGATACAAGCTATAATAAGTAATAAAAACTCAACACAACGATTTTATAAAATGTATTTAGGACAGATGAACAGCCGTCCCCAAAAGACAACTATGAAATATGTGTCAGTGTGTTTGTGTCATTAACCAGAAAAATTCCACTGGACACAAAAATATCAACAACAGAACATTAAATATTTGTACCCATATCTACATTTTAACAGTCTAGTCTATTGGCTATTGCATCTTGTATAAAGACACACGTGAACAGCATGTACTAAACCCATTAATGAGCCACACATGACGTTGCTTGGGAGACGGGAGTCTCAGGGAGCTCAATCTGAAAAACAAACAAAAACAAATCTAAAACCGGCATCGATCGGACCCTGAAAGCACCGTCTCCACCTGTCAGAAAGAACCACAGCGAGCGCGTAGAAAACTCCTTCGAACGCGAGCAGAGATTCTACTCGCGGAGACGGACTTTTGTGAGGAACCGCTGTTTTATAGCATTGACAAAGACGAAAACTAAAGACATTCTCTATAATTCTATTTTAGTTGTGTAAAGACACACTAGTTTGTTAGTTATCGGTTTATTTTCCTTTCAGTTAACGAAAAAAAAAATCACAGTTTTCGTTTTTTCGTTAACGATAATAACCTTGGTCTCATCTCAGTATTCTAGAGAAAATAGTTCCCACTTCATCTCATTCGTTCACATCGCTCATGAGTTCACCGTAACTGTCCGGTTGCCTGAAACTGATCATTTGTGAGATTTCCCTTTTTTTCCGGCGATCACCACCGAGATAAAAGCTAAAAACTAACTGTAGCGCAAAATCTAACGTGTTACTTTGAGTGCGCAGTGATACTGAACGCTCGGGTCAGGTGTAGAACATGTGACCCGCTCTCAACCAATCAGAAGCCTGGATTTCATCTACTCGTATTATAATGACCGATAACCTATAACAGGTCTTCAACAAGGGGCCGTCAAATGTTGATAAGACCTTTTTTTTTTTAAACCAATTTTTTTCCCCCACACATTTAAATGTCTTCAGAATCAGAATGTTATTCATGGTCTTTAAACCGCCAAGACAAATTCCTTGTATGTTTGACATATTTTGGCTAATAAATGTTTCCTGATTCCTGATTCCTGATTAAATACAAATTAAGACGTTATCTTTCAGTCCACAACACACACATTCAGCTTCTCAAGCTGCTCACTGGTTCATTTACAGTATCACATCGCGTTTATGCTCACGGCTAAAGAGTGCAAAGCTCCAAAATAAAGAGATGACGCACAGCTGGCCTCTTATTCAAAGAAGCTCGGAGACGTTTGCACACAGCTGCTCGTCATCAGGCTCCTTTTGAACTTCCTCTCTGACGGCTTGAGATCTGTTCCTGTAAAGAGAGATTCAGGCCGTTTCTCAATACCTAAGACGGCGAGAACGGACTCGCGTTCCCGCGAGAATAGACTCGGGAGACAGACTCGGGAGTCCTGACTCACGGGTACGGGAGAACGGAGAACGGACATTTCCGCAATTGGAACAGCAGCTGACTTGATGACGTCACCACAGTAGGCGGTCTTTGTTTACGCACGCAAGTATCTCATCTGCCATCGCAGCTTGCTGAGGTGAAATGCATTCTGGGATATATGTCTCTCACAAGAACAGACGAGCCTGCTTCGATGCATGCCCGGTAAAATGGGCGGGGCGAGTCACATCCGGGTATTATGACCGTTCTCGGCCAGATGCGGACTTGAGAATTGGAACAGTACTCGGGCTGTGACTGATGACGTTTCACGAGTCCACGAGAACAAAAGTCCACACAAGAACGCATATTGAGAAACGGCCTCAGTTCAGCCCTTTGTCAAGGAGGCTCATTTACACCTCAACGTTCATCAGAGGAACAAAGTAGGCGGACACCGGATCCTCCTGCTGATTAAGACTTGGGAGCAAAGTGCTGCCTTCAAGTGGTCGGAGTCGGCTGGGTTCATGCTGCCACTTCGTTCTGTCACGACCGGACAACGGCCCTGAACCCAAACGCACGACTCGTGGACAAAAGTTACAAAAGAAATCAAAGTTCATTAACAAAAGGCCAAGTGCCACTGAAATAAAACACTATGTACTAAACAGAAGAACCCAAATGTGGTAAAGCTACGGATGCTCACATACACTGGTTCCTTGAGACAAGACGAACTAGTAGTGATGTGTCGTTCGTGAACGATTCGTTCATTTTGAACGAGTCCTCTCAAAAAAAAAGATTTGTTCATTTCTCGTTCATACTGAACGAGATTCAAAGAACCGAGTCGGTAAAAAGATCCGGACTTCCCATCACGACGAACTAGCACAGGACAAAGGGAGACGCAGACAACAAATACACACAGGTTAAAAGGCACAGGTGGAAACAATCAGGGGCGGGCAGACAATCAGACCAGCACACGGGGGGAAGAGGCAAGTTGCCTGAAACGAGAGGGAGGTTCGTTTTCAAAATAAAACAGGAAATCACGAGACACGAGACAACTTGACTAACCCCGTTTCCTGGACATGACGTTAAATCTACAGACTGTGGACACAGCAAGTGGACGTGAGCCAGAGGACGAGCACCACGCCACAAAGTACCTCACCTGCTCCACTTTAAAGGCCTTATTCATATCATGTGAGTGTCGTAGAGGAAGCTTTTCATCTCTGCTCCCTGGAACAAAACCAACATTTGAGAGAATAAAAAGGACCAAACATTATTATGTCAATAAACTACATGAATATAAAATGTTGTTTGTACTGTGTGTGTTAGTTGCGGTTTTGCTTCAGTTTAACACCTTTAACGTATCTTGTCGATCACTGCACTCGCAAAGACAAACACTTCCTTTCTTTTAAAATGTTCCCACTGAAAATAGAAAATGTGTCAAAGAAAGAGGAACCTGCAAAAGCAACTTTTCTCAGAAATCATCCTGCACATTAAATGATTCTGATGAGCAGCGTCTAATGGCAGAAACATGTTTGAACATAAATAAAATATTAACATACAATATAAAGAAACAAAACAAGTAACTGACATGAATGAAAGAAGTGGATAACAGGGAGTAAAGAGTAAATGTTTACATACACATTTGTATCAACAACTTATAATGTAAATCAGCGATTCCCAAAGTGTGGGCCGCGAGAGGTCATTTACAATAAATAAATAAAAAGTTTTTAATTTTCAATTTTGAAAAGTTTGAAATTAATCTAAATATATGTATGATGCGGCACATTAGTTATGTGAAACATTAATTGATGAAGCACAAACAATTTAAATGAACAGATTGGTTAATCGGTTGATCCGTACTGGTTGTACACTCTGCCAAACACGCCAAAGCTCGTCTACGACGGCGAGAAGCTGAGCGGCGCTCAAGCGCGTGAGATGCGGAGCTGCTTTCAGGGCGCGTCGGAGAAACAAAGCTGTCGTTCTCGCCGAGCACTTCATGAGATTAAAGAGCGAGACGGCGCCGTTTATTTACAGTAGCTGAACCATCTTAACGGGGAAATAAGTTAATCTAAAAGCAGCCGAAGATTTAAGGCGTGGATGGCGAGGGGGCGGCGGGAGCGGACGCACCTCGCAGTATCGATCGGACCCTGAAAGCACCGCCTCCAGCAGAGATTCTCCTCGCGAGCAACAAAGTTCACGTCTCGCAAGCGAGCAAATACCTTGCGCGAGACGAACTTTTGCTGGCGGATGTTTGATTTACGCACGCGCATCAACCTGATTTGCGCTCTCGAATTTTGACAGTGATTTGCGCTGATAGACTGCAGTAGCTTATGCGCCTTATTGTGCGGAAAACACGGCACATGAGCTCCGGAGAAAATGGTATACCAAACATACATTGGCAGAATAATCAGTGTGCTTTCTAATTCTAGTTCTTACATGAGATCTCATTCAGTTCAGTATAACTTGAACTTAATTTAAGATATGCTTAGGCTATTTAGAGTCTATGCACCTGCAATGCACTTGCATAGCAAACCATTGCCATCTGCTACTTAACATAAGCTGCATGGCTGAACTGTAAATAACGCACCCTATAACATTCCAAATTGCAACGCAAAGACATCAGCGGTTAGGCTCGATGTTTTCTCCACGATACAGTGAGCACCAGTGTGGGGGTTTAACATTTACTCTATAAAATGAAACACGGTGTTAACTATGGTAACAGGCTGCCAGCAACACTGATAACCACTCCGTTGCTACTCCGATTGGTTCCAAAGAGATAACGTTTCAAATAATAACCTAAAAACAGTATTAATTCTCTCCCAGGTTCGCTAGCATGATGCTAGTAATGCTAACAGTGACTTCCAGTTTGCAATTATTTGATGGGATTATGTCAGTTGACACTCTCAACTGGCTGTCTGGATGTCTAGTTGGAAAACAGTCTTAATATAATTAAATGTAAGCTATGATAATATTCTGAATGTTTTATATTATTTTGTACCGAAACACGGGAGCTTCTTTCCTTCACGTCTCCTGGAAGGATAAAAAAAGGGATTCCTCGCTCGTGGGTATAGCTCCCTTGAGCGAACGCAAGCGTGCCCCCCAGAGGCAATAACTGCCACTACTACTGGTATTAGTAGCCCTAACTTCATGAGGGTTATATAATACATCATTAAAAGTCACACATATAGTAAGTCATAAAACATTTAATGTCCTTGTGTGTTGTTCTGTTGTCGGGTCGAAGGGATTGATCTTGATTTCTTCCACAAGCAATCAACTTTTTATAATTTGAGGAATCGCGTCATTGGTAACGAGCTCCCAAACATCTCGGTGGGCCCCTGATTAGTAATCGAGTCGTACCTGAACTGTGTGGCTCCATCGTTGCGTCACTGGCCCCACAGACCACGTGACTACAGCTACAGCCAAGGACATCCATCAGGAGTCCATCAGGAATCATCGCTCCACCCTATTTACTCCTTTTCTTCCCTTTAATTCAGGTTTACTTTAATGCCTCCTGGGGGGGTGAGGTGGCCCCGTTCATCCCCACTGGTCCAGAGGACATGACCGGCCCGGCCGCAAAGGTGGAGACGGCCACTGGTCTGGGTCGGAGACGTGTTATATAGGTGGGGGGAATTAGTTCAAAGTGAGACGTTAAGTTCCAGAGTGTCATGGGGTGATAGAGGGTTGAACTCAAAAGCAGGATTCAGAGGATAAAAAGATTTTATTTTGGCAGCAGAGGGACTTAAATAGTTTGGGGTCCGTGGCCGGGGAAGATGCTGGAGAGGCAGAGAGGCACAGGGGTCCAGGCGGCAGGAGCAGTGCGGTAGATAGAATCCACGCTGAAGGGAGAGGTAATGATCCGGCTGGCTGGAGGAGTTCTCCCAAGCCGCGGAGGGCGAGAGGGGAATCCGTCAGGTTCCGGGGAAGCAGGCTGGGATGGGACTGAAACACAACAAAAAAAAAAAAAAAAAGCTTTTCATCTCTGCTCCCTGGAACAAAACCAACATTTGAGGGAATAAAAAGGACCAAGCATTATTATGTCAATAAACTACATGAATATAAAATGTTGTTTGTACTGTATGGTGTACACTGGTGTATGTAGACCCCAGGGTATCTTACCTAGCCCTGCTCCACAGCACTCTTGGGGTAAGTACATAAACACAGACCTGGGTGTACAATAGACGACAGTTTAACAAACAACATAAACCATATATTCTTTCACTATCTAAATCAATGTCACTCTCACACTCTCCCACTACACAAGACCCCCTCTTTTTCCAAGCTCTCACACACAAACATTTCTAAAGGAGCAGAGCTGAGAGCTGGATTGGCTGGAGGAACAGCTGGCCACGCCTGCATCATCAGCAGCAACTCACCACACCTGGGAAGAACAGACTGGAAACAAAGACATGGGGGAGGAGAAAACACTAATAGAGCAGCCGGACGTAACAGTGTGTTATTTGCGGTTTTGCTTCAGTTTAACACCTTTAACGTATCTTGTGATCACTGCACTCGCAAAGACAAACACTTCCTTTCTTTTAAAATGTTCCCTCTGAAAATAGAAAATGTGTCAAAGAAAGAGGAACCTGCAAAAGCAACTTTTCTCAGAAATCATCCTGCACATTAAATGATTCTGATGAGCAGCGTCTAATGGCAGAAACATGTTTGAACACAAATAAAATATTAACATACAATATAAAGAAACAAAACAAGTAACTGACATGAATGAAAGACGTGGATAACAGGGAGTAAAGAGTAAATGTTTACATACACATTTGTATCAACAACTTATAATGTAAATGTATGATCCAAGTTTCATCCTCTTGCTCTATTTGAAGATGGATTAACTGACTTATGGTCTAAAATTCCCTGCTGATCAGTGGAAACTGATCTTTTTTTCTCTGTGTAAATGCTTCTTAAGCCACTTCTTAACAAATAAATAGATGCAGTAAAACATCTGATCGGGTCACAAACTAACTCTTCACACTGGAAACATCGGCTGATGTTGTGGTGCACACATGACCGGAGTAGATTCCTTGGCGTGAGGATTTGGATGTGTGGCGGGAGTGCGTGACGCTTGAGAGTCCTGTATCATTTCCTGTTAAAAGACAGACAGACGTCTGTCCAATCAGAAGGCTCCGTCCTCTCCTATAAGGCCCTACCCTTTCCCTAAGGAGTTAATTTTGTTGTGCGTTCCTATTTGCCGTTGTGTTTTGCACTTCATGGCCACGGTAGAAATGAGGGCGACATCTGATTGGCTACAGACAGGTCCATGTTGAAAGAAACGCACCTGTGGATCTGCGACGTCAGCAGAGTCTCAAAAAACCCACACACACTGTGAGGGGTCAGGACTTCGACTCAGGTGCAGAGCAATAAGGCAACAGAAACTTCTTTCCAGGTTTGGAATCTTTTACTAGGAAAATAAACTAATGCAAGACAAAAGGGTGCACAGGCAAAGGCGGAATCCACACGCTCTTGTAGAAACAAAAAGGAAGAGAGCCTGGGAACGAAGTAAAAACAAGATTACCAAAAACAGCACTGGGAACTACAAACATGCACCTCTAGGAAAGACAAAAGATAACCTGACACAGACAAGTGGGGGAACTGAGGCTTAAATACAGGTGGAGGTGATTGCAAACTAAACTCAGCTGTGGGGGGAAACTAGATACAGGAAGTGCCGTGGTTACAAAAATAAAAACAGGAAGTTAATCTTCACTGTCTCTTCGAGTCGTCACACACACATGTGAAGCAATCCAAATAAATGCAGTGCGATCAAATATCAATCGCAATTCATTGATCTGTGCATTGGAATGTATTTGTAAATCAAATACATTTGTGAATCTTCCGGTTTGCATTTGTGAGTCGCTCAGTGCGCATTCGCAATTATTAAGACTGATCTCACCCCATCATTTCTCCGCTCAGGTCGCCCGGCCAAAGAAGCCCTGAAGTTCAGGCAGCATGTGGTGGTGTCGACCCACGAGGGAAAGTCCTGCCTGATGATCAAGGTCGCCAACATGCGCAACAGTCTCCTGTTGGGGTGTCAGGTCAGTGGAGGGAAGCTAAATAGGTCACAAATATAAGAAGATTATATGTGTGTCTACAAACGGTCCAACACTTTGCACTTTGGGGGGGCGGGTTTACAGACGGCTGGCCGAGGAAAGCCGGAGTATTTATGTCAGCTGGATAACGGGAAGATGAGACGCCGCTGTGTCAATGGAGGAAGGTGCGGCAATGAGCGGGACTCTGAGGACACTAGTGGGGACACAGAAACAAAAACACAAGCACATGGCAAGACCACAACAGACAGGGGAATGACATCAACGTGAGGAGAGAACATGGGAGAACGAGGGACTTCTCCACGGAGGTCTCCACCCGCTCACAACGCCCATTGCTGTAGCGCATGGGTCTCCAGCCCGCTTGGACCCCATGACACCCACAGGCAGAAGCGGCCTCCTGGGGGGGTGAGGTGGCCCCGTTCATCTCCACTGGTCCAGAGGACATGACCGGCCCGGCCGCAAAGGTGGAGAAGGCCACTGGTCTGGTTCGGAGACGTGTTATATAGGTGGGGGGGGGATTAGTTCAAAGTGAGACGTTAAGTTCCAGAGAGGGGTAGCCTGCACCCGGGTCTCTACAGGTGGCGGTATTGTAGCAGACCAAAGTCTGCAGACTTGTTTTGTCCCACCTGGCCAATATAAAGAAGGCGGGGCAACGAAGGCGAGATTGGACACACCTGACAGGCTGCGTGTCATAGGAAAGAGGAGTGAGAGACGAAGGGACAAACAAAACAGCAGATCGCTGGTAGCTGGACCTGTGGTGTCCTACGAGAGGAATCCTCAAAAAGACCTGCTGGACACTGACAGAGGAAGAATCGACCCGGGGAGACCTTTTGGACCGCCCTGGACTACGGCTCGCCGCGTCGATCAGGAAAGATAAGTCTGTGCAGAAACACCTCACCAACTCACACTCACCACCCCACACGCACCCAACCCAACCACACCCAATGTCCCTAACCCATTTAAGCATTTTCCTTCCATCCAAATGGTCAGTGGAAAACTGCTGCAGACGTCTCTGACCAAGGAAGGCTGGACCAGAGGAACGTATCGTTCGAGGTGGACATGTCCAGCGACAGTCCTTTCCTCATCCTGCCCCTCACCTTCTACCACCTCATCGTGCCCCTTGCGAGCCTCGGCAGCCAAGTGTAACTTCTATGCTGAGATGAAGAGACGATAGAGAGAAGAGTGGTTTAAGCCTTTTCCTTCCATCCAAATGGTAGAAAGGACGGGTGGTAATTCACGTAAGGCTGCTTCCTTCCACCTACTGCAACATTTCTCTGTAAAACATTTACATTTTTAGTTATAAAACATGATGTTGTTTTTCTAAGAAATGACTTGACAGAAATCTGAACTGCCAATCAGCCCTGAACTTCCTCGTTTGAGGGGTTTGTCAGCTGCTTGCGTGAATGACCCTTCCTGCCTTTAGTTCCTCTTCTTTCTTTTAACTTCTACATTCTGTGTTCTTATAGCAAACCTCTTCCTCTTCTGCTTTTTAACGGTGCATCGCTGCATCTCCTGAAGCATCACCTTTACAAACGCTCGATCGGTGCAGTAGTGGAAACCACTGGCAGGATTTATTTCACCTGATTGAGCATCTAATCAACCAGCTCATAGTAAAGTTACTCCTGGTGGTCAGAAACTCCACTGAGTCCCTTTTTTAAATTCTGTATTTTGTACAAATTCCACCTTCCTCCCTCCCCTTTGTATTACACGTCTCCGTACTGTGTCCCATCACATTGACCCCCCTCCACCAGGTGGGGGCTGGACGGATCCAGAGTTGGCGGACTTCGAGCTGCTGGTGATCATGAGCGCCACGGTTGAGCCGACCTCGGCCACCTGCCAGGTGCGCACCTCCTACCTGCCGGATGAGATCCTCTGGGGCTACGAGTTCCCCCCCGTGGTCTCCCTCTCCCCATCGGGGAAGTACGTGGCGGACTTCGGTTTCTTCGACAAAGTGGCCAAGACCAAGACGGCGCCCGTCTTCAAACCGTGCAGCCCGCAGCGCGCGTACCAGAGCAACGGGGCCGGGCCCGTGCCAGATGTGTCCGATCCAGAGAAGATCCGTCTGGAGCAGAACTACCGGGACAGAGGGGGGGAACGAGGCCGGGCGAGAGACACTCCCCTCAGTGTTCGCATCAGCAACGTGTGAACGGTGACGGAGTGGAAGGAAACATCACGTGGAAACAGCTCGGACACTTTTAGACTGAATGGAACCTCTGGACGATGTCTGGGGAGATAAAACATGGAGGACGACTGTAACTCACATGAAGGCCTAACACACTGCTGACTGCAGCTACTGCTTCTATTTCAGTGTGGCGAGTGCACACACACACACCTTATAACAAAGGAAATAGCAGGTGGAGATATTAATTTGCACACTAACACCCCCTGGAAAACAAGGATAAAACAGTGATCTAATCAGGGAGCTGCAGGTGAAGCCCCATTGTCTCGTTTGGCTCCTCCCCTTTTGTCAAACGTCAAACCAAAAAGAGAATAACCTGTAAGTTAACACAGACGGGGTAGAACCTACAATACTTCCTATAATATAAATAATCATATATAATACACACATGCTCCACACATTGATAATAGTCTCATGATTTTTAGTTTCTTTTACATTACAGGTCACTTAGCAGACGCCTTTATCCAAAGCGACTTTCATTACAATTTAAACCCATTTTTGCCCGGGGGTTAGGGGTTAGGTGTCTTGCTCAGGGACACTTCGACAAGGAACATGGGGCAGCCTGGAATCGAACCACCAACCTTGTGCTTCCCAGAACACCTTCTCTAACCCCTGCGCCACGACAACCCCGTGAAACTGAGTTTCTTCTCAGTTATGTGTTTATAATATGATGACTGATGTGTGATCTCGAGTTAAAGACACACAGACAAAATGACAACGCACTGTAAAATGTTGAATAAAGCACTTTCTGTTAATGTAGAACTACAAACTTCAGATTGAATATATTGTGTTGAAGCCTCGACTGAGTCTGTCGATGGTTTGTCTGTTATTGACAGTTAGCACTTTATATCATGTCATATAAACACCTGATGTACATTTGCACCTTTGGAGGATCAGCTGTTGAACTTGGGACCTTAATGTAGGAAGATGAGCTTTTTGATGCGACTAAAACACTTTGATATTAAACAACATTGAATTTGAAGCGGTCACACACTTTTAAACAGACGCTTAAGTCCAACGAAGCTTATTTGGATTTTCTTTTTGTGTCTCAGCAGCTTTAAACTAACGACAAAAGTAGAAAAAGTTTCATCTCAAACGTCTGCGACCTGAAAATAAACATCCATCAGGTCACTGTGGTTTGCAGCAGTTACTTTATTAATATAAGCTCTCCTTTCTTTGTAAAGTTGAACCCTGTACTTCTGTTTGTTTTTAGAGTTACTAACATTGAATTAACGAATATTTAGTGGAATCCTATTAAATTTCCCCGTCGAGGCAACAAGGACGCGATGAGGACCAGAGGTGAGTGCTGAGGATGTGAAAGTGATCTTTGAGTCAAAGGTGGTGATGATGTTCTACTGGAAATGTGTGATGATGATGAAGCAGTGATGAAGATGATGGAGTTAAATATGTAGGAAATTGTTTGTATTTGATAAATGTCATTTGATTGAATTAACATCAAGCTGTGGAATGTTTATAGTGTTTAGTGCAGATGGAAACATTTCTCTGGTTTAATTAGAGTATTTTGTTTGGTGGCCGTACAGAGTTCCTACAGACGAGCAGTCGGAGCTGATGTTGTGAAGAGACCATTAATAATAAAATATGAGCCCACGTCATGATTTGACGGTAGTTACAAGTCAACCACATAGAGACATATATGGCTTTATTTTAACAATCTTTGAAGTAATTGGTTGTTGCTTTGAAGGGAAGTAAAAAGTTCTCCACTCGTTTCATCATCATACTTTCATTCTGCAGAATGAAGTCGTGCGTCGAGCTTCTCTTTGTTTCTCTGCTGACATTATGTGAAGCACAAGGTGAGGACTTTATTTTATATGTATTTTGTTGTCGTTTTCAAGGTCAAAGCTTTTATACCGCAGCACTATTTCTACAATAGAAGTTGGGTTAAAAATGTATTTTTGAATCTTTCTGTGTTTCTTTGTGGTTAATCAGGATTCGTGTTGTTCCTTTTTGTACGGAGCTCAGAGGCAGGAAGTTGTCTCAGTATGAGTTTACTATTTTCATTTAAAAATCTTCCGTAATCTCCACGTTGTATTCAGTGAATATTCTAAGTGTTCCAACAGAAGACGTGTGTGATTCAGAGGAAACATTCAGGTGCTTTTAGACACTTTCTCACCACTTGTTGAAACGGGCTGAACGCTTCTTTCCCTCCAAGACAAATGTTGACCTTTACTCCTCTCAGAGTTTAACTCCTTCTGCGTTCAGTCTGTGGACGTCTTATTTTCTAAAGTCGTCCATGTTCAGTGTAGCTGATGCTGGGGGACATTAGTGTGGTGAGACGGAGGGACAGAGGACAAAGAGACAGAATGGAAATACTTTTTTTTTGGGGGGGGGGGGGGTATTCATATTCCGGGAATTGCGAACAGGGGGCGTGATGGGTTTAATATTTTTCGGGAAATCTAAGTTAAGGCACCCGGGAGCCTTTTTGACATAGACTTAGCTAACGTTAGCTACAGCTTCATGAGTTAAGTCATTTAACGCGCCGGAGAGAACGAGATGACTGAAAAAAAAATTTGTTCATTCTACTGAACGAGATTCAAAGAACCGAGTACCCCCCCTATATCCTTCTCACCTTTTCACCCTTGACCCGTTTTCATGCCTGTATATTGTGTGTGATGTTTATTGTATCATGTGTCTACTGTTTTTACAGGAACCATTGTGACTCCTGTGTTTGTGCTGAAGGGACGTGATCTGCTCCTCAAGCTTCATGCTGATCCTCCTGAGAAGTTTTTATTTGTTGACTGGAAAATCAATAAAACAGACCTTTTAGTAAGATTTAAACCTGGTGGAGAAGCAACAGTCACTGGAAGGGTTCAGTTTGGTGAGAATAAATTCTCTGTGAGATTGAAGAATGTACAAGAGGTCGACAGTGGACTTTATTCTGCTGTAGCAGTAACAGGTGTAAACAAACTACTGACTGAATACAAGGTCACAGTTCAAGGTGAGTCTGTAAACATTCCACTGATAGTTTCTGCCGCCATGTTTCATAAACTCTTCACAGAAACCTCCCCCCCCCTCAGGACCAGTGTCTCCAGTTGAACTGATCGTGGACCAAGTGGACTCCAGCTCAGAGTCATGTGACCTCCTTGTGACCTGCAGGACTCACAACTCAAACATCAGCAGCACTTTCAGATGTGTCGACTGGTTCTGCAGTCAGGAGGGAGGAGAGCGACCAGAGGTCACGACCTCTGGGGCTTCTCTCCAGGTCTACCTGTTGAACAACGTGATCATCTGTAACCATAGCAACCAGGTTCACTGGACCCAGGACTTGAATACTGCTAAACACCTTTGCTCCAAACATGCTGGTAAGACTGAGAGGAGACAAATTCCTGATAAGTTTGTAGTTTCAGCCTTTCTGTGTTGTAAAGAAACGATTGTGTGTTTTCTGAGTGAATTCTGAGTTCTGAGCGTCTCTAAAGCTCCTCGTCAGGGACGCAGGGGTTAAATACAAACTCAAGCAGAAAGCAGACGTGTTGTGTTTGTGATGAATCCACCTGTGGTGTGTTTCAGGTCCGGTGCTTCCCTCCGTGTTCCTGGTGAAGATGGTGGTGTTCTCTGTGGGTCTGATCATCATGGTGTCTGCCGTCATCACTGTTCACCTCGTGGACTTCAAGAAGCACCAACAAAGAAATGGATGTCAAACACGTCACGCTGCCTGGGAGGAAAGCTCCCACTTAAAGGTCACCTTCTAAACCCGTGATGATGTTCCACTGACTCACAGCTGGTGGCAGCAACACACCAGGAGAAGAAAAGAGGAAGACGAGCGCAGAGCAGCAAACATGGACGCAAACTATTTAGGATTTAAAGGATTTATAAATTCAGCTTTGCACATATTTCCTGGTGAAGGAAAGACATTAAAAACGTGACTCAAAGATGCATTTTGGCAATAAAAAACCTTTAAAATAAATGCTGATAATCCATTGATTATACACAATATATCACACACACAAGACCATGTCAATATGTTTTCGTGGATATTATCTTGAATGTTTAATCAAGACCAACTATATATGAGCAAAAAAACTTTAAAAAATACACTGTATAATACTGCATACGGTCCTATTGACCAATAAATACACATTGTATATGTGTCTGCATGTACAGTATTTACTCGTACATAATTCTGTTCAGCAGGTTTTGTTTTGGGTGGAAACTTAGAACTTGTTGAAGCTTCATACTGATCTTGTGTTTCAGTGAATAAAAGGTCACGTGTTCCTCTCTGGTTTACTGTGAGTTTTTACCAAAGAATCAATATGTGATGTTATTATAGTAAAGACACTTGATACACTGAATGATGACTAAATATGTTATGGAAAAATATATTTTTTTATTTCTCTGCTATTTCACATATTCGTCTCTATTAAATCCCCTTTCCACCAAAAAAAAAGTTGAAATTATGAAAAAATTGTCAGTTACACCTAAATATATCTTAACAACAAAACACCGGTAAAACAATGGTGCAACACTAGTAGGACACTTTTGAGACACTCGTAAAACATCGTCATCTCTCTGTGACTTTCTGCTGCGTCACTTCCCCCCTCATCAGACTCTCAGTCCCGCCAATGATTTATTGATTGACAGAATATCTAGAAAGCGGCATGTCTCAGATTTCAGAATCGGATGCAAATAGTTAAGGAGTCACGGTAATTTGAATTATCCACGTCACTTTCCGTCGCCGGCGAAAGGCTTCGGATTAAGAGGGTTAAAAGACAGACAGTCCGTCTGTCCAATCAGAAGGGTCCGTCCTCTGCTATCTGCTATAAGGCCCTCCCCTTTCCGTGAGGAGTTAATGTCGTTGTGTTTTCCTATTTGCTGTTGTGTTTTTCCCTCCAGGGCCACCGTACATTTCCACCTATCACAGCTCCCCCTCCCTCCCCACGAGCCTTCCAGCCTTCACAGCAACGCAACTTGCGAACGGGTCCGAAGTCAGCAAACAATGGCGTCTGGTAGTGACGACGCTCCGCTTCTACTGTAGGTGAAATGAGTTTAAAGTTTCATGGCGTGCATGATTAACGTTGAATAAAGCTTCAGGAGATGTAACAATGCACCGTTGAAAGTAGAAGAGGAAGAGGTCTGCTATTAGCACACAGAATGAGGAACAAATGGCAGGAAGGTCAAAAGGGTCATTCTCGCAAGCAGCTGACAAAACCCCTCAAATGGAAAAAATTTAAACTTCTGTTTAATCATTTCTTAGAAGACGACGTCAGGTTTTATAACTAAAAAGGTAAATGTTGCAGTAGGTGGAAGGCAAGGCAATTTTATTTGTATAGCGCTTTTCATACACAAGGCAGACTCAAAGTGCTTCACATCATAACATTTCATACAATAATGTGAAATAAAATGCAGGAATTAAAAGACAATTAAAAACAGAAAATTAAATTATAAATTAAAATCTTATTTAAATTGTTTAATTAAAGGCAGAGGTTAAAACTGCTAAATTTGACCTACATTGCACAAGGCGAAGCTGAACATAAAAGTTTACAGTCTTGTTTTAAACGTGGTCAGAGTTGGGGCAAGTCTTAAATCTTCAGGAAGTTTATTCCAGCTGTTTGTTGCGTAGTAACTAAATGATGCTTTCCCATGATGTGTATTTACTCTGGGAATCACTAACAGATTGGTGTCAGAAGATCTTAGTGATCTTGAAGGCTTATGTAGTGGAAGCATATCAGTGATATACTTTGGCCCTAAACCATATAGTGATTTATATGCAGGGCTGTAGTGGAGGGTAACTGCACGTAAACGCTGTTTATGCACCTCTAGAATTTTGGAAATAGGGTTTACGCACCTATAAATAGCGTTTACGCACCTATAAGTGGCGTTTACGCACCTCAAAGTTCCCTGCGCCTTGTATTCTTCCGTTGGAATAATCCGAAATAAACTTGGTGTAATTTTAAAAGAGCTAAGACTACGTTTCCTATTGTTGAACATATAAACGTCGTAGTCTGAATCATGTTCATCTGCGCTGTATTACGGTCTGTGAGCATCCAATCAGCGCCTTGCGGCTGCAGTAGCGACCAATCAGGATCCAGGAGGTGTGTAAACACACGTTGTGGTCCCCAACCTTTCTTACCTCACTGACCAGTTTCATGTCAGACAATATTTTGCGGACCGGTCGAGAAGTTCCAACGGGGGGGTGTAGTAGTCGCGCGCTCTGTGTTCGCTGGTCGGTAAAAGGAGAAGAAAAACCCCTGGTGACGCGTAGATTAGAAAACAAGTCAGTTCTCAATGTGAAAAAAACATGCTGTAGGCTATTTATGATGACATAGGTAGTACATGAGTGTTCCTTTAACTTATGTTGTCAGTGTGATTGACAGGCTGCTTAACTGGTTAACTCTTAAATCAACATATTTTTTCATGCAGTGAGAGGACAGGCAGTGATGCAGAGAGCACAGGGAGAGGAGGCCCTCTGGGCACTACTGTAAAAAGAGACTCCGTATGTAGATAGTTCTTAATATGCAATTGTGTTGTTGTCTTGTGTTGACATACTTTTCTTTACTGTTCTTAAATTTAACACTTAACATAATGCAATATAGCCAGGACAGCCTTACAGAGTCGCGACGCTTTGTGTTGCGTTGCTATGTGTCGCGTCGGTCTGTATGATCACAAAATTCAGAGTTTACCCACCTCTAATTTTACCACTACAGCACTGTTTATATGTGAGTAGTAGGCTTTTGAAATTAATTCTCTGACATACTGGGAGCCAATGTAAGGATTTAAGAATTGGTGTAATGTGCTCACATTTTTTGGTCTTTGTTAGAACTCTAGCAGCAGCGTTCTGAACAAGCTGGAGCTGCCTGACTTTTTTTTGGGAGACCTGCAAGGAGACCATTACAATAGTCTAGCCTACTAGTTATGAAGGCATGTACAAGTGTTTCTAAGTCTTGAGCTGACATGAGCCCTCTAAGTCGTGCTACATTTTTGAGGTGGTAGTAGGCCGATTTTGTTACTGATTTGATGTGACTCTCCAAGTGTAAATCTGAATCCATAATAACCCCCAGATTTCTGGCTTTATTTGATGTTTTCAGGGACAGAGAGTGAAGGTGTTGGGTTACTTTAAACCTTTCTTTTTTAGCACCAAATACAATGAGCTCAGTTTTGTCTTCATTTAGTTGTAGGAAATTTTGACACATCCAGGCCTTGATTTGCTCAATGCACTGGCACAGAAGATCTATGGGGCGATAGTCGTTTGGTGATAGCGCTACATAGATTTGGGTGTCATCAGCGTAGCAATGGTGGTCAATTTTATTTTTTTGCATGATTTGTCCTAGTGGGAGCATGTAGATGTTGAATAAAGTCGGCCCTAAGATCGAACCTTGGGGGACTCCACACGTTACGTCGGTTGTTTCTGATACGAAGTCACCAATGGAAACAAAATAGTTCCTGTCTTGTAGATATGACCTGAACCAGCTTAAGACTGTGCCTGAGAGCCCAACCAGTTTTCCAACCTGTCCAAAACTATTGAGTGGTCGTCAGTATCAAATGCAGCACTGAGGTCTAATAGCATTAATATTGAAGTTTTGCCAGAGTCTGTCTTAAGGAAGGAAGCAGCCTTACCACTTGTCCTTTCTATCATTTGCTCTAAAGCCTAGTTTATGCCTCAAGCCCCCCCTTGCCTCAGGTCTTTATTCTATATGTTCTATATCAGGGGTCCTCAACGTTTTTCTGGGCAAGGACCCCCAAACTGATGGCGAGATGGAGCAGGGACCCCCATTCTATGGAGTTTGGTCCGTCATCTTTTATTTTGGAGCTTTGCACTCTTTAGCCGTGAGCATAAACGTGATGTGATCCTGTGAATGAACCAGTGAGCAGCTTGAGAAGCTGAATGTGTGTGTTGTGGACTGAAAGATAACGTCTTAATTTGTATTTAAAGACCATGAATAACATTCTGATTCTGAAGATTTAAATTTGTGGGAAAAAATTGTTTAAAAAAAATTTGACGGCCCCTTGTTGAAGACCTGTTATAGATTGTCTGTCATTATAATACGAGTAGATGAAATCCAGGCTTCTGATTGGTTGAGAGCGGGTCACATGTTATACAGCTGACCCGAGCGTTCAGTATCACTGCGCACTCAAAGTAACACGTTAGATTTTGCGCTACAGTTAGTTTTTATCTTTTATCTCGGTGGTGATCGCCGAAAAAAA